ACTGTGCTGATGTAAAATGGAATAATGGACGCAAATAAAATGTTAAAGCCAATCAAATGTAATCCTGCGTAATGTTGTTTCTTATTCATGTATGTAATTTCGCGGCAAACTGGTGAAAAATAGGGCTCAGATTTGGCTGTGATTTAAAATACCACACCTTAAAATCTAGTTAAATTGGTGTTCACGAACATGTATTTTTGTGTAAATATAGCTTTTCCTTTGCAAATACTTCTTTTTAAGTATATGCACTAAAACGTGTTCGATGACTGCAGTGGCAAGATATTTAGCCTTGGATTCACGCCTGTAAGTTTGCTGGTGATCGTTGGTTAATAATAGTTGGAGGGAAGGGGTTGAGATTACTGTTCAAATGCTGCCTTGTTGTAGATTTGAAGTTTTCGTGACTGCAAGGATTCATATTCTTAGGTTTTTTCGGTAAAGTCAAGTAGATAAAAAAAAATATGCTGCCTTGTTAAGAGTTACAAATGAGAGCCCGGGTTATCAAGATCGTGCCCCGTCATATAATCGCCATCTGTCACCCTTAATAACAGACACTGACCTGTTTGGCCCCCAACCACCAAGACCTTCGGAGGGGGGGGGGGGGGGCAACTCGCAACGCACACGAGAGAGACCGAGCCACATTCGCTGCGGTGTATTTATTGAAAAACAACGAGAGCAGCGCTTGTGGCGTTGCTTCGGCGTGTCACCATTCATTTGTGCCCGCTGCAAAAAAAATAGACGAGACTGAAATAAAACACACGTGGAAGACAACAGCAATTATGAACATTTTTAATATGTAGTTTTACCAAGTAAACAGTCGACCTTTGCAAGAAAGAATCCTTCAAAATATAAAATGCATAACGCCAAATAAAAGCCTGCTCATTAAGATAATATATAATTATCCATTAAATAAATGGACACTTTGAATCTCCATTTGTATTTTTATTCCAGATCGCATTTGCACCAAGGATCATGTTTAAATTGGTTCCCACTGGGTTTAAGGACATTCTGAATTTTTTTCACAATCTTATTTTACTCTGTGTGTTTTTAGCGCAGCAGGGGCACGTGTCGCTAGCGATTGCCGTCCTCTCAGAGGGGATGTTTAAAGAGCAACATTTCATTGTGCCTGTCTGCTCAACAATAAATCTCTTGGACAAAGGGATTTTCGAAACGAATGTAGTGGCCATGCTGCCCTCTATTGGCAGAGTGAGAACGTGAAACTTCCAATCCATATACTGGGATTACCTCGAATTTTACGGACGAATTTTCGACTTACGAACTTTCAGAGATACGTATATCCAATTGCCTGTTCAGATCGAGAGTCGTAAGTTCAACCGCCGAGCAATAGATGACGGTGGTAGCATTTACATCTGCAGAACATGAAGAACCAGTGGCATCTATGCCTACAGTAGATTATCTTCTTGGTTCTTTCGGTAAAGTCACGTAGAAGGGAAGTAATACAATAATACAAATAAAATAATACAAATAAAATAATTGTCACGACGTTTCGGCCACAACGCAAGCAGCCGTCCTCAGGTGAAGAACAGGTCTGTCGATAAGACAGAGTCTGAATGACACGTCCTGGGCTTGGATCGTCTATTTAAGCTGGGAGGGAGGAGGAAGAGCGCCTTGACAAAATAATTTGCATATGAGGAGATAAGAGCTAAGCTAGTTCTAGACAGAATTCGTTTAGCATTAGAAGAAGTTACAGCAGCAGATGTTAATGTAAATGCGTTTGGTATTACCTTAGAGTCGCGGCATCTCTTCAGAAAGGTGAGAGACTCGATTAGCTGAGCCTTCTTATCACGGAGCTTGTTGAAGGATCTCAAAGTTATGTGGAATCCCTCCCCGTAGAGGCGGTTAAATTTCGATTTAAAGCTTTCGTGACTGCAGGGATTCATCTTAAAAGTCACTCCCCGTGTTTAGTGTACATGCCGTGCAACATGTTTGGAATCGACGGGAAAAAATTTGGACTTACGAACAAATCGACTTACGAACGGATCTCTGGAACTGTCTCGTTCGTAAGTAGAGTAGTCCCCTCTAACAACTATCGAATGGCAAAACGATCTCAATGTACAATGAAATGAAATATGTCAAGCGTCTCAAACGGGGCGCATGCATTATTGGTTGAAAGACAAGGGTTTCATGGGTACATAAAGGATTTATACAAAGTAAGAAAAAACGCGTTAAAGTTACAAGGACCGTTGATTTCATCACGCGCTCATCATTTTACAGCTAATCCTAATTGCTGCGCCAATTATAAACCTGAGTGCAATAGATGACGAGTTGCAAATTGAAAAGAGAAGCATTGCTTGGTCATCATTTTTTCTGGCACTGTTATTTATTTTAAGTAGCTTTTATTGCCAATTAGTGCCTTTAGTTTTGGTGGCGTTTTTCATGAACATGCAGTAGGTTTATGTCAGTATTTTTCGACACGTGTTAATGTTCTTGTATGAATCAATGTAAGGTTGTTATGCTAATGATAAACATAAAAACATGTTTTGTGTGCAAATAAACAATTATAGTACGTAGTTTAAGTAGACATTCGCGACCACATCAACACACCACAACCAAATCAATTTGGCTTTTGTGTACCAACAGGTACAAAGATAAATATTACATGTAATTATAACAATTACATTTCTGCTCACACACTTAAAACGGATAATTAAATGTTGTAGATGTGGTTTTATTTACATATATACTGGCATGTGATATCTCAACTGGCCCTGGCCATGCATCCCCTCTTCAATAACCCGCACTGATCAGGGTGGTGATTTTTATATATGTCCCTTTGTGCTATGAATAAATGGGTCATTGCCTGAAACATCACCTAAATATATTGTGTATATTTTCATCATCACCACGATCCATGGGCAAATAGCCCTTAGGTGTCCACTGCAAATGTCATTTGTTTGCACTTTCCTCTGTCTTGTGCCAATATGCTCAAGAAGTAGTGCAAATCTTTATGGGAAACAATCTCTTATGTTGCCGTCAAGCTATTATTAGATCTTCTTCTTGTTCCGGTTCTTTCCATTTTTCTAAACAACACGTTTAATGTTCCTGTTGTTGTCCATCCTACATATGTGTCCATCTAGTGCCAGTTTCCTTCTCATCACTGCATCATCAGGTCACTGTGGGTCCAGTTTAGGCGCAGTATCCGTCTGCAGCAATACATTTAGAATGCCAATATCGTATCTTGTTCTCAAGGCTGTGTAATTGACGAATTTTGCCGAGAGTAGTGAAGTATGGTCAAACAGGTGCAACATGGCGTAGGGGAGGCCTTCATCTAGCAGTGGATAGACACGAGTTTCAATTATTTTGGTTACTAAACACCAGACGCAAAATTTAAATATGCATCAGCAGTTGTGCATTTGCATAATGCATCTTGGCAAGTTATAATTTTTTTTGACATATCTACTCCAGAAAGCTCTGACAAGGTTTGCTACCCAAAGGCTATATGGAAAGATCTTACACGTTGTGAAAAGGGTAAAGTTATTCCCGTGGATTGAATAAATGAAGGGCTGTTGCCAATGGACTTGCATGTGTGGACCAGTAAAGCAATGTGAATTCAGAAAAAAATGCCCCAGTAAACTTGCAATATTGGGCCAACGTGCCATGGTTACTGGGAAAAGATGGGCCCAAGTTGGGCACATTTTTTAGACAATTATAGCCAACATTTCCCATTGCCAATACCATGCTTGATCTTATTTCCAATACTAGAATCAACAGAAATACTCATCCACTGCTGGATAAAGACCACTCCAAGCCATCCCCATTCCTCACGATCGGACAATGTAATAAATATAATCCACCAAGGACATGCACAGGGGCCGATTCATAGCTCATGCAAATTCTCATTTATTCCACTAAGTTACGGAGTTTCGCAACAACAACAATTCTCACATTAACCGTTTAAAAAGTTTTGTATATCCCATTAAATGGGTGAAAACTTCCACATCATTTAACTTAAATGAGTGGAGTGAATTATCATCGAATGTTACAATACACTTTCAAATTCTACGGTATCTCTCCAGGGCGGTCCAGATGTCTTGTGACCCCCAATTAATTGATCCCTAAGGTTGTTTCCATTGCATATTCATTTATAATTTAAATAAGCCTTCCTTAAAAAATATTACATTTTAGATCATTTAAGGTCACAAGACATCTGGACCACCCTGTAGATCGTGCAACTTGCATCTGGTACAGTCATCAATAAAGTTTGAATATAGCAAATTTTATTATTAAACGAGGCGATAAAAATGCAGTGTCCCGTTCAGTAAAACACAACGTGCCACATCATCGGTAAATGTGAACAAAAACAACGCTGACGTTACTATATTATGCGCCGCCATCTTGGTAAACACATCCCGCCGCCATCTTGGTACACACATCCCCCGCCGCCATCTTGGTACACACATCCCCGCCGCCATCTTGGTACACACATCCCCGCCGCCATCTTGGTACACACATATCCTCGCCGCCATCTTGGTACACACATCCTGCCGCCATCTTGGTACACACATCCCCGCCACAATCTTGGTACACACATCCCCGCCGCCATATTGGTACACACATCCCCGCCGCCATCTTGGTACACACATCCCCGCCGCCATCTTGGTACACACATCCTGCCGCCATCTTGGTACAGACATATCCCCGCCGCCATCTTGGTACACACATATCCCCGCCGCCATCTTGGTACACACATATCCCCGCCGCCATCTTGGTACACACATCCGCGCCGCCATCTTGGTACACACATCCTGCCGCCATCTTGGTACACACATCCCGCCGCCATCTTGGTACACACATATCCCCGCCGCCATCTTGGTGCCACCAAAGCCCTGCAGGACAATCTTCGGGTAAGGGTGCGAATAATTTTCCAACGCCTTTAAAAAAAAAATTACAAACGATTATCATTACAAATATATAAAAAATACAAAGCGATTACAAACGTTCGTATAAACAAACTATAAACATTTGAATATATACACACGTTAAATGGGCACAAAAAAATAAAAATAATAAAGAACCACCCTCGCATCTAATTAACCCTTGACACGGAAGCGCTCTCGGTGTGACCGTCACCGGGTGCTGTGGCGATGGCGTCCGTGCGAGTGCAAGTGCCGCCCGGCGGAGGCTTCAACTTCGACAACTGCAAGAGGTGAGGATGCCGTCCCTACTCTCACTCAAGCGTGCCCCGCCAGGTTGTTGCAAGGTGGTTATAGATTCCACCACCCAAACCCGCCGCCCTTGGGAGTCAGAAGCCGGAGAGAGAGAGAGGAGATGCGGGGGATGACTGCGCATGATGGATGTTGAGGCCTGGCTGCTTAGGCCGCAGTCGTTTTGTGTGCGTTTGAGTGTCGTTTGCCGAGTTGGTTTCTGTGGCTTTTGTTGAGTTTGGGCGTTGTCGTTATTGAAGCAGTGGTGTATGGGATGTGATTGTGTTAGTTGTGTGTGTTACCGCGCGGGGCTGTCTGCGTGAGTGAATGAATGGGCGATTGTTGTGTGGACGGGAGATGCATTGGGGCACATACAGTAGATTTAATAAATCGTACTTGTCAACCCATACGATTTACCCGTGTTCTTGTACATGGGAATTTAGTTAGTTTTCAGGTCCATACGGCGGACAGCCGTTTAAATATGGACAAATGTGGGGTTTTTTTGGTTGATTTGTTTGTGTTTCTCCCTTGTGATGGGACTTTGTCGGATGAACGTTGAGATTTGTAAGGGCACGGAGTGACCAATAATGTATTAATTGGTCTGTGTAATAAGGTAGGTGGGCACTAATAAGGGGTTGACAGGTATGACACGTTAACATTTTAGATTTACGAGACACGCAAACACGTGAGAGAGACCCAAAGAGAGGCAAACACAAAGAGACACTGATCCATACACGGGTAGACATAGCCATGGTGAAGGCAAGAGACTGCATAGAGAGACAGAATCACAAAATCAGGGACATTTTTGCCAGTATCAAAGTGTGAAAAATAAGAATAGATTTTACTCTTTCTGGCAATAAAACAAGTGTTTAGATTCGATTCGAAGCTTTCGTGACTTTGGTTCTTTCGGTAAAGTCACGTAGAAAATTAAATAATAGAATACGACGTTTCGTTTGTAACACAAGCAACCATCATCAGGTGTGTGTGTCTCTCTGCATGTGTGTCTGCCTATGTTGTTTCCGTGTTTGATCATTCATTCTTACCTGATGATGGTTGCTTGTGTTACAATCGAAACGCCGTATTCTATTATTATTTGATTTTATTTTCTACGTGGCTTTACCGAAAGAACCAAAGAGTAAGTGTTTAGATGTTCAAACACCAATCAGTTTCAAAGACAATGCGAATATTGTCAGAGCATGTTTTTTTGCATGTACTCACCACAAGTACGTGTGGTTAATGCAGACTTGATTCCTTGCAAACGGTCTCCATTTGGTGTTTGAACACATTAACACGTATGTTAAACTGCATTTACGTAGCCAAATGTGACCACATCTGACAAAACCTTAACCCTGTCAACACCTGTGTTACGCTGTTGTTATTCGAGTTAATTTTGCTACACCGTACCTCGCGTTTAAGTTGGATTTAATCTTGCATCCCTTTCATCCAGGAATGCTTTCCTCGAGTTGGAGTTTGCCAAGCAAGGTGTCCCACCGCCAAAGGCGAGAAAGACCGGCACCACCATCGCTGGCATCATCTTTAAGGTAAACGCTGAGAGTACTACGGGGTGATATCTGGCTCATCTTCTCGGGAATTTAAAAGACACGAATTTCAGTTTTTGATAGGACATGCTTTTCGGTTTAATGGTTGACAATTTTAACGATGATGGCAACAATGTACAGTATGTGGTTATGTAAAAATTAAAGATCTCGACCATTATTGGCCTGTAGATAATCGCATTTATTGTAATTTGAATATTGTATTTAACGTAGGATGGGGTTGTTCTCGGAGCTGACACTCGTGCAACAGAAGACACCATTGTTGCCGACAAAAACTGCGAGAAGATCCACTACTTGGCACCAAACATGTAGTAAGTAACACTCGTCTGCAAGTGATCAAATGTAGCTTGTACGTGATCATTTCCACGCTACAAGATTTCCAGCATGGGGCACAGCACCTGATAATCCCACATTTTGGCATCATTTGGGCTGTTGTTTACAAAATGTTCTTACACAACCGACTAGTTTGACGCGCAAATTTCACTAAACTCACGAACTAGACGTGTGCGTTTTTAAATAAAGGCAGGAGTGCAATTTTAAATACCTGCTGTTTGTTACCACCACCACCAGCTGCTGTGGGGCAGGCACCGCTGCTGACACCGAGATGACAACGCAGCTCATCTCGTCCAACCTGGAGCTGCACTCGCTCTCCACGGGGCGGCAGGGACGTGTCGTCACCGCCAACCGCATGCTCAAGCAGATGCTGTTCCGGTGAGCATGGTAGCAAGATGTTAACTACCTCGCCTGCTATGCAGGAGGGGTGGGTTCGATCCCAACCCTGACACCTGTAGATTTGGAGTTTGCGTGTCTCTCTCCCCCTCGTCACGTGGATTTTTCTCCAGGTTCTACGGGTTTTCCTTCCACATTTAGAAACGTGCATTTAGAGTATTTAGCTGCTATAAATCTCCACGTGATAATCTACTTTGTTGAGCTATCATTTGTGGCCAAGTCACTTCTGCAAAAGAGCTACATAGCTCTTGTGGGCCTTACCTGGTAATATACAAAGTTTAGTTTTAGTTTAGAGCCATTGACTTTGAGGGTAGAGTTACCACGATATTGCAACACTACGATAAATACCCACTTCCCAATGGATAATTGGGTTACGTGTTCTGAAAAGGCTTCTGGAGATCCACCCACGTGCAGTGAAATGTCAGACATGCGAAGAGCATGCAGTTACAACTTGATAACACATTGGAGAGCAGGACAACAAAATTACCTATGCAGTTGTATTACCTCAACAATGTCGTATAATATAAGAACTACAATCTGTCATGTTTTGAAAAATATTATTTTTTAGATATCTTGTTTCCTGGCCAAAGATTTAAGTCATGGAAAAAATAATGGAAGTTCTCATATATTTGCCATTAAACACTCAATATAAGCCGTAGACGATTGTAGACGTTTATTTAATTATTTAGGTTCTAGTTGACAGCACGTGCATTATAAGTAAAATATTTGATAAAGTTGCAATCATTCAATGATTTTGTGGAGGGGACTGCAGTTGAATAAGTTTTAAATAATATTTTCATACTGGAAGTAAAGGAAAGCGCAGAACAATATACTCAACATTCAAAATATAATTATAACTTGTAGAAAACTAATATTGCAGTAATGATTACCCTAGCTTTTAGGTTAATTCATTAGCATGTCCTGGTACCAATGTTTGTTGAACTTCTTTTGCACCATACGTAGACAACTACTAATCAGAGGTGCAAAATGGTTCTGATGGTGGGAGGCATGAATCGGTAATTAATTTGTGTGCACAGGTACCAGGGTCATATCGGTGCTTCGCTGGTGCTGGGTGGAGTGGACATCACCGGCCCTCAGCTGTACAGCATCCACCCGCACGGCTCCACAGACAAGCTACCCTACGTGACGATGGGTAAATGCTCGTCGTGTACCACTAAGTCGATTAATATAGTTAGCATTGATCACGATTAATAGTAATAATGTCTGATTTATAACACGCACAAAAGTCGTGCAATGAGTCGCTAACATAAGTCAGGCGCAGATACATTCATTGGATCACTTGTGTTCAAATTTATTTTTTATTCAAACATGCTGCTGCATTTAGGCTAATGGAGCAACTAAACATAAACTAGACGGAACAAATTATGCACACGAGATGGTTAAAATGAGATAAACGGATTCTGGAATCAAATCACATCCTCGACACAGCACCTGATAATCCCACATTTCATTGAATTGCTGCGGGGGTGAAATTTTACATGGCCAGTAAGCACTGCTCCACCCACTTGTACACTTGTGTAATGGGTTCTGGAGACACTTGTAGAGGTAACTTCTTTATTATAATACAACACTCCAACATTCCTGATACTCTGTTACAGCCTAGGTACACAGCCTAGGTACACAGCCTAGATACACTACTCTGGCTACGCTCTGGAGTCCTCCGGTTACAATTACCCTAGGGGAGGCTAATCTGACCCGACCCAGCCAAGGTGCGGGTCTGGACTCTGGCTTCTTCGGAACTCGCCCTTACAAGGACGTAGAGCCGGGAGTCCCAGAGTCCCACCACTGGCCCTCACAGCGTCCCGGCCCTTACAAGGACAAGCGGGACGAGGGGGTCCAGGGTCCTACTGTGGCTGGTCTTGGGTCTTGAGCTACAACTGGCCTCGATCGGCCAGGGAGCTGCCCTTTTATGCCTCGTCCCCAAAGAGGGGTGGGGTTGTGTGCACCCCCAGGTATCCCACAGAGCACACACAGCCCCCCCCCGTTGGTGGCGCCAAGGGGCTTAAGCGTCTGGGTTGCCTGGAATTCTAGCGCCTGGCGCCGAGGCTTATCTGTCTAGAGTCCCAGAGCCCCCAGCAGCCCCTCCCCTCTTATGGCACTACATTTGTATTGTCCACTGCCGTGGTGAAGTGTGTCTGGTGGGTGGAGAGTTCAAGGGACAGACATAGGGACTCCTGGCTGCAGTAGATGTCATTTACTCTGTGGAGTTGTGAATGGGGAAGGAGATGGGGTATTGTCAGGGGACCTCTGTTTGACGTTGGTGGGTTGGATGTTGTGCACTGTCTGATCGTGGATTACAATATTCGTAAGACCGTATACTCGTAGTTAAGGTCTTTATACATTTTTTGACCAAAATGAAATTACATTTTAACGTATTTCTTAACTATAAATGCAAATTTTGTTTTCCTTTCACAGGATCTGGATCCTTGGCTGCTATGGCTGTTTTTGAGGATCGATTCAAGCCCAATATGGAGGTTTGAAATCAAAGCATAAACTACATCATGAAATGTTGGCTCCATGTAAATGTATTTTATTTGAGCTGATCATTGTTATCTATCACAATCTGTTATTATTTATACCACACCTCCCATTCTGTAGACCTGAGCTCCAAAACAAAGGTTAATTTGAGCTCTTTACTGAGAAAGTAACTTCAAACCTATACAATTTTTTTTATATATATAATATACAGAATGAGACTAAACATTTTAGAAGTGCTTGAGACCACACTCTTGTCCACTGCACTTGAGTTACTCATGCACAATCTGAAAATGTCTTTAACTTAGTTTTAAATTAATACACCGGTGCATCAATGTTTTCCTGTTAAACTGTTTCACAACTTTGGTTCCAAAATACTATTTGTCGTGCGGTAATTCTTAATTCTTCCCCACCAGTGTTATAATAAAAGCTCCACTATATAACAAGTGTCGTCCTCCCTACAGGAGGAAGAAGCCAAGAAATTGGTGAGGGATGCCATTGCTGCTGGGATCTTCAATGACTTGGGCTCTGGTAGCAACATTGACCTGTGTGTGATCACAAAGGAGAAGGTGGACTACCTGAGACCCTATGAGGTGGCCAACAAGAAGGGAGTCCGGTGAGCACTGCATTTGCTTGTTGGTAATTTAAGTGCAGGTGCCTCAGGTTGCGTTGTCAGTAGTTTTTTTTTCATCATAATTGCATACAAAATGAACTATTAAATAAACTGATTGGTTTACCAACCCAACGTGAAGTTATGGTAAAAATCCCATCATTGACATGGTGAGGCCTTCATGAAGAGTGGCTTAATAAAGGGCTGTCAAGTGTTTTTATGTATATATTTTATGTAACTATTAGAATGCGTTGTGCGGTTTGAATATTCTCGCATGCCAATCGGTTTGACCGTTAATAACATTAATCTGGATTTGATTACCGATTTCGTGACTTTTGGGATTGACTAATCAATTCTGTGATCGGATCTCAAAAAATATCAATAAACAGCCTTAGTTTTGACTCGACTCTAATTCGTAATGTTGTTCCCGCAGGCAAAACAGTTACCGCTACAAGCGCGGCACAACAGCAGTGATCTCGGAGAAAATCACCCCCATCAAGTTTGATGTGGTGGAGGAAGTGGTTCAGACCATGGATACCTCTTAATGCTCATGCCAGCTGAGAAGATAGCAACAAGAAAGTGTTTTTCCATGTGATTCTGTCCAATTGAGCGTTGTTCATTTTTATGTTTGAGCTCATTACCAAGGGAGAGAACACAATCTAAATTTGGCGGTGACACTACGTAAATCACTGATGTCCTGACTGAAGTAATATTTTCCGTAATCAATGGGGGTGTATGTAAAATGGGCCTACAGTGAGCAACATCACCACCTATGCATGGCTCACGACTGTGCATTACAGCTTACCACACCTTGCAATAGCACTTCATCTGACCATAGCAACTATAACAGTTACACACTGTAGGTTTTTTTTAGTATGGGGCATCCAGTTTGGCTGTTGTAGCTTGGACTACTTGTCTAAAATGTTAGTTTTGAAGCTCAAATAAAAATTACTCAACAGAATTGCATGTGTTGTATTTGCAGGAGTGGGAATGTGCTTCTGGTGAAATTGACTTTTCTTTTGAATGCTATTTCCAGTTAGAATTTAAGCTAGGCTTACGTGTTCCATTACAACGGGGTTACACTTAAATAAAGGTGTCTGTTTTGTAAAGGTCTGTATAGTCGTTTTTGTCACCAATTTAAATTGATTAACACAATTTAACACTTCACAATACATTTCCGAATGGCATTTTTCTATATTTCAAACGACCTTATGTCTTAACTAAAAACGAACACTGAAATGCATGACAACAGTACAGAAATGAGGCATTCACATTTCAGTCTAAATCATAGGCGATGCTGTGAGTGCACCAAGACAAACTCCTCAACAAGATGCTTAGTCAAGCATGCTTTTGTATTAAGTGTAGCCATTGTGGCACCGCAGTTGTCATTAAATTGATGTTGCAGTGTGTAAGGAAAACTTTATTATATAGAACAGTTTAAAACAATGTAAGGCACAAACAGTTGAGGCATGCCAAGCAAGATGCAACATTTAACTTGTATAAACACTTAAAAGCTGAAGTTAATCATCCCAAATGCCACTTAATATTAATTTACATGGGCATTTAAAATAATACTTTTATGTTGTAACTTTTGCAAACAATGTTTTGAGGATGCTGTTAAAACTTAATTGTGTAAATTAAACGAAAAATATTGAGTTTAAATGCTCTTCCCCACCCCGCCCAATTTTGCACCACCTACATTTTTATACGTCCCCAGACTTTATAACCAGGCTTTTTGTTAGTTTAGTAGCTGTATCCAACATTTTTCTTTTATTTGGTGTTTTCAGGAGGCAAATACTCTACTAAACTGTCATAAATTAAAACTGCACAGGGACAACCAACTTGGCAAATTTCATGTGGTAACCAAACCTATGAATTCGGTCTGTATAATATAGTCCATGAGCCAGAGCAGAAATCGGTACCACTCGTGGTCAAAAAAACTTTAGTCGTACTCATGTATGAATATGGCTAATAAGTCATTTGGTAATCCACTAATTTCAGATGGTTATCACAATCCGCTTTTTATTGGCCACAGAAATTGGAACCACAAGTTATGCGCGTGGTTCTGACAAGTGGCCTTATGGATGAATGTATTCAGTCTACTACCAGGTCTGAGGCATGAATGCAGTCGAAGTTGGATATCAGCACACTGCTTGCAGGAGCGAGTCAAATGGACTCATGCAACGTTCTTGTATCAGCTGTTTCCCTAAAATTTCCCACCACAAGTAAAATGCAAGAATGTGTTGCAAATATAGTATGCTTATATCTAAACTTATTAAAATAGCTACCATCCGTCAACATAAAAACAATCCCTACGGTCCTTATTACGTGGCAGAATTGTTTTATATACATTACTTGCTAATAGGGTTACAAATACAAATGATACAGGGTGGACAATTTATCAAGACATTAAAATATTCCATAATACAAAGACTTGTATAGTTAACACAACCATTCTGCACGAAGTGTTGAAAATTTACAAAGTCAAAACGCACTTCACAGGTTAAAACGACCTGAGAATGTAATTATCCTTTTAAAATAATTCTATATCAGACCTGCACGATGAAATAGGAAAACTCCCCACACGTTCGCTTATAACGGATGGCCTTGGCACACGCTGCCTCTGTGCCTGTCGGTGAACGATTTATAAACGGTGAACAAACTTGTTCCCCTGTGTGAGCAGGCACCCTCCGCCAATGATGGGAGTGGCACTGTCGTTCTAGAAAGCTGGGCTCTGCCATCTGATGTTGCTTCCTCGTTCGTGTTGCGCATGCATGCCACGCAAAAAAAATGAAGGTCCTCGTCGAAAGTGCAGATGCTCAAAAGCGGTCTATGCCACGTATCCGTCGTGCGAGCTGCATGTCGCGTGGGAAGAGTGTCACTCGCTTGCCGTGGATGGTGCACAGGTTTGAGTCTTCAAACAGCTTCACGAGGAATGCCTCTGTGGCCTTAATGAGTGGGCAAGGCAGATGTGAAAAGGGAGACAAAATTACTGTGAGCGGCACAGCTCAAATGCGAGGTTTGTAACGTTACTCAGGAAAGCCTCGATGAGCTGAGACTTCTTTTCAGGAGGGTTCCTGCAGGTAAATATATGGTCAATACCATTTCATTATAGAGTACTTGACCTCATGTGGGAGGAAACCAGTACTCAAAGAAAACATACAAGAGAGTGACAGTTGCCATCTGATAATACTGCAACACCGTTCCTACAACACCTGGAAAGCCTTGATAGTCACCTATCCAATTACTAACTAGGCTAAATCCCTCATAACTTGAGATCTTTCGATTTAAAGCTTTCGTGACTGCAGGGATTCATCTTCTTGGTTCTTTTGGTAAAGTCACGTAGAAGGAAAAATATAAAATAATAAAAATAAAACAAAATAATACGACGTTTCGGCCACAACGCAAGCAGCCGTCTTCAGGTGGAGAACAGGTCGGTCAAGTAGTTTTATTTTATTAATTTTATTATTTTCCTTCTACGTGACTTTACCGAAAGAACCAAGAAGATGAACTTGAGATCTAATGGGATCAGCTGCATTTAGGGTGATTTAGCCACAGGCCCCTTTATGGTAGAGGCTGACCGAAACTGAATTTCTGGTTTCGGCCAAAACCGAAACCAGACCGAAAGTAAAAAAATAAACTTTCGGCCGAAACCGAAAGTTTAACTACACTTTTGACCGAAACCGAAAGTAAAAAAATACACTTGCGGCCGAAACCGAAAGTTTAACTACACTTTTGACCGAAACCGAAAGTAAAAAAATACACTTTCGGCCGAAACCGAAAGTTTAACTACACTTTCGACCGAGACAGAAAGGTATATAACCGAAGTTACCGAACACAAGATTTAAGAAATATGTCATGATGCAAGGCTACTTTAATTAAAAATAAATCTACAACTAATCATTCAGAGCCTGCAGTAAGAGTTGCTAAATATCAAATCTTTAGGTGTTACTTAGTAATTATATCCAAACAAACGAATGTTGTAGTAAAGAAACAACAATAATAATAGGTGTCAGTTTTGTTGCCAGATAAAAGGGTAAAACAACAGTTATATTTTGCTACTGGCAAATGAGGTTCGAATGGTGAAAGAAACAGTATTTCCGCATTCAGCCTGACAGGCTGCCGTCTGTTGACCGATCATATATACATTAGCAGACCATGGTTGCGGCTGTAACCTCGCTCCCAAGCTACTGCTGCTGACGTGTGTGTTTGCAGCCTATCGCATAGGATTGCCTCGCGCCGACTGACCGGTCGATAGGCAGTGATAGACGTAGCACTCGCGTTATATTCAAAAAATAGATCTTCGGTTGACGACCCAAAGTCAATATCAGTTTCGGCCGAAACCGAAACCAGACCGAAAGTAAAAAATTGACTTTCGGCCGAAACCGAAAGTATGCCGAAAGAGGCCATTTGCCAACTTTCGGTCGGCCTCTACTTTATGGGTTTTGTATTTTGTTAGATCGTGTGTATTATAAACCTTACAGCAGTGACTGGCAGGAGAGCCCCACTCAAATGTTTGAAAAAGTTCAATGTATCAATATTATGTGTATGTAAGATGATACAGGATAAGTCACTTACCTCCTGCAGAGCCAATAATGCAAACGATTGCCAATTCAACGGATGCACTGTAAGACGACAAGTCAGCTCCCTCACCTGCGCACAATGCACGTAACACAAAGCACAACAGCCAGACAACTCCATAATTTAAATCCAGAATGTAGCTGTAAAGATGTAGCAAAATAGCAGTTAATTTAACGTGAAATCTGCAGCTATAAAAGTTGAGGCCCAACTTGTTCCAGGTCTAGCCCTCCCGTGTTCACAATGCCCACACAATTTGTTTTAAATGCTATTAAGTGGTGTCTTGGTGTAGAGGTTAGCACATTGAGCTATACATCTGGCAAGTTTAGCTCGGTTAATGGCAGCAGTAAATGTCAGTGGCAAGTAATATCTGAAATGCTTCTGCCCCCCAACCAACTTCACTAACCTGCAATGACCAGCGTGGTGGTGTATGGTCAAACAACCTCCATGACTGGCATGGAGATGGGAGGCCTTCATTCAGCAGCCAAATGACAAAGGTATGTAAATTATTACTCAAGTGCTATAAATTACCAACAGTTTATATATTGCTATAGGGCATCCATTCTCCTTGGTTGTGTTGAAAAGAAGACTGGAGCTGGGTTTATAATCCTGGTGAAAGGAAATGGTGCAGGCAAAAGTTTGCTGTCTCAGGTCAAGATTCACGTGCTTTCGGAGGACAGGATTCTGCTTTTGAGGACAAGATACATTACCCATATTGATCCTATTCCATTCGTAGATGTGTAACGAACCAGACGTGAAAATGGAAGCTTGCGGAGGAGCAGATCTGTGGATTTCTGATACTTGCGGATCTCGAGTAGTGCCCTGGAGCCTGGCCGAAAACGATGCTTCCTTTTCGTTGGAGAACGTTCTACACAGCCAAACAATTCAGCCAAACAATTCAACCACATATCTGGAGTCCAATGTGTTCGCACACACCCGCACTGCTTTAAATGCGTCAGACGAGTATACACAGCACAAATCTTGTCAAAGTTGGGATGATTTGAAGCTTTCGTGACTGCAAGGATTCATATTCTTAGGTTTTTTCGGTAAAGTCACGTAGGTAAAAAATGAAAATTAATAAAAGTAAAATAAAATAAAAATCACGACGTTTCGGATTCTTCGGCCGTTGCCGATCATTGCTACAACTCTGTGGGCTCTCATGAAATTGTCTTTTCCGAGACCAAGGTGCTCTGCAAACCTCCTGGCTACCATCAAAGGTTTGTACACGAAGCCATACAAATATACAAACACAGACATAATTTCAACCGTGATGATGGTTACAAACTGAGTAATCATTGGAAAGATGTGATTAACCATGCAAAAAAGATTTAACTACACTTATTTGGACCATCTTATTTGACAGACTACTATTACAGGTTATTGATAGACAGCCAGTTTGTTTTACCAGGTTTATTTTTTTATTTTTTCACACTTTTGTTATGTAGGCTAGTCGTAGTCACAAACCGCACCTCTCCATAACAAAGGCTCAGTCTTTTGTTATGCAGTCTATTCTTAGTCTTAAGCCTCACCTTACCATATTAATAAAAACGTGTGCCGTACTTGGCCCTTCCCCTCTTCAACCATTATATATACGGAGTGGTAGCTCTTGTAATCTCTCATTTACTTGATACAGCTGTCGTGGCTGTGACGGTTCCACCTGAAGACGGAAGCTTGTGTTGCCTCCGAAACGTCGTGATTTTTATTTTATTTACTTTATTAATTTTAATTTTTTACCTACGTGACTTTACCGAAAAAAATCTAAGAATATGATGCACCTAGTTCTTACCTCACTGTACTGGATCGGTTTCAACTTAAAGCAGGCGGGTTGATTTATCCAGCACTCCCTGATTCGGTCCAGCCATTTGCTCACAGGCAGTCAGTCACCTATTCTTCTATCGTTTCGACCATGGTTACAATTCACTCATTACAGTATTTTCTCCACCCATACTGAGGACTCGGTCAACTAAACGGACTGTTTCGTCTCATCCACACTAAGTTCAACTTCCGCAATGCAGGTCAAGATACTTCTCTTTCTGCTTGCATCACACTGCTCCCCACTTTGGAATTCCCTCCCATCATCTATTTTTCCAAATTCTTACAACATTGCTCATTTCAAGAAACACATCAACTCTTTTCTATTAGACATTCCATAGTAATGTTTGTTTACTGACCTGCTTCTTTGAGCCTGTGCTCACCAACTTGTGATTTAAAAAAAAAAACATGTGATGAGTAAAATCACATCTCTCCTTTAAACATAATTAATCTAATAACTGAATGTGGCGGTGGTCACCAGACCCATACATATATTGCACCACAAAGCAGCAAGTCGTCATACACATTCCCCTATCTCCAAAGGAAAACAAGCACATCTTGACCAGACTATTCACCTGGTGATTCCTTATAAGGGATCCTTAGGGTGGCCCAAGTTCCCCCAATGAACAGCCGTGGTCCTCATTTATAATCAGCTAAACACAGTGGTAAAAACATTGTCCTATAAACCTGGTGACCTGAGTTGAATTCCGGGTCGTGAATTAGACCGGCGGTAAAATTTGAGCATAGCGTAAAGTATGGTAAAAAAAATCATCACCGACACAATACGGGGAGACCTTCATCCAGCAGTGGACTGACCACCAATTGTACGTTATTAATATTACGATCTCATCGAGAAACCAGCAGAGCATGTCCCCATTTCAGAGGCAGTTTTCTACTGTGGCCCGTTATCGGTGTCACCGCACCTCGCCAGTACTGTACATCCTTCTTCCGGATCCAGAAGCAAGTGCAGACACCCGACCTCCAATAAATACGATTACTGTATTAATATCAATTCTGCCACTCACGAATATAGCTACCAAATAGACCTATCGCCGTACGCTCTCAACAGTCTCGAGCCTGGCGAGCACTTTGATAGATGACCAAACACGATTTGCCGGGTGCTGTAGACGTCTGCGAGGTAAGTGCTGTCACCCCCTCGAATGCGTAGTGGGTTTCCACCGGCTTCCCCGATTTTCTCATACTAACTTAAAGCCAAACATCTAGCAATGGAATCGGCTAAACCAGGGGTCGGCAACCTACGGCTCCGGAGCCGCATGCGGCTCTTTACGGGCTGCTTCTTGACGATATGTACAGTATGTACTCAGATGCATTGCGGCTCTTGAAAAACTGAATTTTGTACCGAATTGGAAAGAAATGGCTCTTCTTGTTATTTTGGTTGCCGACCCCTGGGCTAAACAATCCATATGTTGCAGGACCAGCCTTAAAAAATCTTAAGGAATAACCATTTTTAATATTGTTAACGTCACCATTATCATCATCGATCGAATGATCGATGGCGTTCCCAATCAAATTACTGTATTTAGCGATGCTGCGTTGGCGGCGGTGCTTGAGTACGATTAACAAACAAAAACACCCTCAACGCATTCGTCAATAATACCGTGGCCTTTAAAGAAAAAATGCATATAGTAGGCGACGTTTCGGGCAATGGCCCTTCTTCATAGCACATCATTTGGCTACCACCGCTGTGTTAACCGTACCCTAGAATCTGCGTTTGAGGACAAGATACATGTATCTGCTGCTGTTGACAACGTAAGCAGCTATTGCTTTGCCCGTGAACCTTGCGCCTTGATATTACCTCCCGCAGGGCGCGGGGCGCTAGCAGTCGAGGTGCTGGCCCGCGCACTCCGCTCGGGGGACTCCGCGACAGACAGCGGCTGCCTCCGCTTTGGCGCCGGAGGTTTCCTCTTGGAGGCGCCGCCGCCGGTCGAGCCACTCTTACGAGGCATTGCGGTTTGTAATTACTCAGCGCAACAAACAAAACAAAAAAAAATACCCCGGTCGTAAAATAAACGTCAAAATGCCCCGAATTGAACACGAGAAAACGATCTACGGAGAAGCTGGTGAATGATAAGGGATGCGTTCTACAACAAAGAAAAACAACCACACACACACTAGTTTGTCGCGAGTTCTATTGCCTATTAGATTGCGGGTTAAAGGGGCGACGCTGCTGTGCGGCGAGTGGGCTGAGGACATCCACGTGGAGCCGCTTCCGCCAAATTCAAATCCCGCGACCGTTGCGGTTGCCCCGGCAACGGACCGGAACCGGAAACACGCAACCGCACAGCTGTTTAATTAATTATTAACGTTGCCTATATTTATCTACTCAATTTATTAATTATTGTTTATCTAACCTATATTTATATGCTATATTTATATAACATATTAATTATTAACGTCGACTATATTTATATGCCATATTAATGATTAATGTCGACTGTATTTTTTATACTATATTAATTATAAAGGTTTCCTATGAATACCAAATTACTTATTAACGTAAACTTTATTTATATACAATGTTACTTAATGATTCACGTTCACTGTATTTATATTACGGATTTATACTGGTTTAACACGTAGACTTTCGCGATTAATATCATCAATAATATAGTTTTTGGGGGGTTAGATCGCGTAAAATATATAAATGTGTCGCTAAACCCGCCACCACCCGACACAGCAAATGCAAATTCGTTACGAGCACAGCACACCGGTGTGTTGGAGAGCAAATCCACAACATTTACAATCTAAGTGATATCGAGAGGATTTATCTATCTGTGTACCCCGCGTGCGAATAGAATGACCACAAGTCTGAACGACTGCTGTATAAAGTTGAACATTGAAGTATCCAATAAACAATTTTTAATAGTTTGGAAGTACAAAGCATTTTGGGAACGTCGGCCCAGTTTTAAACAAGAGTAGCGGTATTCATCTTCTTGGTTATTTCGGTAAAGTCACGTAGAATGGAAATAAAAAAATAATAAAAATAAAACATTAAATAATTCTCACGACGTTTCGGCCACAACGCAAGCAGCCGTCCTCAGGTGAAGAACAGGTCTGTCTGTATTATTATTATTGCAACATCAACAGCCACTGAGTGGCGGTGACGTCACCACGACGCTTGTGCCAGGCTAGGTGCACCCACGCCAAGTCACCGTTCACGTGACCGTCACTCCAAACCGAAGCCCGCTCTGTAACGCTGGCCAACCAGCGTTGACGTGATGACGCCATCACGTAAGGGGCGTGATGCCGTCATCGCGTAATATACGTGATGACGTCATCACGTAATGTACGTAAGCGAGGACACCAAATAACGTGTACGATGACGTCAAGACGCAGACGCGGGGTAAATCTTGTGGGGGGGGGGGAAATGACGTCACCACGCAGATGTGTGCGCGATGACATTGTCACGTGGACGTCGGCACGTGATGACGCGTGAGTGATGACGTTGAAAACTGTCGGGAGGTCAAGGGTTAACGTTTCGATTGCTGTTGAAAGTCTGTTTATTTTAATTGTGCAATTGTAGTTTATGGTAACGTAACGATCGTTATAATTAAGTAAGATTTTTATTACGCAACGACAACTTTCCGGTGCATGTATACGACGATTGTTTTACTGCAGGCGGCGCTTGCATGCTTTGTTTACTAAATGCGTTGTATGTACACTATGTTAAAAGTGTTAATCTCGCGTTCCACGTATCGGAGGTTATCGCCAATTTATTTTTTGTATTGTGATAACGCTTGGCCAGTGGTGTGCAAGCAACCAACGATGGCCCTGTTATCTACTACCTCTCTGTGAAGAAGGGCTATTGCCTGAAACGTCGCCTATTACACGCTCGTTTCTTCTTAAAGTCCCACTGTTATTGACAAATGTGTTGCGTTGGTTGACTTAACGTGGGATGATTCGGGTTAAATGCCTTCACTGTTACCGTATTGTCCGGATTATAAGACGCTCTGGAAAGTAAGTCTCGTCAGGTCTCAATAAATGTCCACAGATCTGGGGGCATATTTGATTTGTTCCAAGGGTGATCCCGTTTAGCCAGCTTTTCGGCTATGTGGTGCATGAGCACAGCAATAACAAAAAGACAAAAACATGAATATTGCAGAGGAGTTAAGGAATTGCAAACGTGGGAGCAAGATGCCCCAGAAACAGAGTTAGGTACAGGTGCTGGTAACCTCTGTGTGTTGGTCTGATAGGGAAGTAAATAAGTGGAGTGAAGGTAGGGAACTAAGCTGTAGATTAGAGGCAAGGGTATTCCAGATCTGGTCTCATGCCGGATCTTAAGACGCACCTCCCAACTTTTCTTTAAAATGCGGAAAAGTGCGTCTTATAACCCGGATAATCGGGTATTTGGGATTCAGTATGGTTCATTTGTGGATTGTTACGGGTTGGAGATGGAGCAATGAAATCAGTTCGTGTGTAGATGCTAGGTGGATTGTCACATCGCAAGATTGAGGAGGCCTTCATTCAGCAGTGGATTGACCGTGGCTGATGAGAGGGTTCACTGTGAGATGCATATTTGTTTTTTACACAGTTGCTGAGTACAAGCCAATTTGCACTAAACGTATATATTGTTCAGCAACAAACAACTCTTTTAATTGTTGCCCCCAATACGGTATATGCATGTTTAAGCTACGTCGTGTGTGGCAACAGAGGGCAGAGCAGCGCAATCAATTGTTGTACTGCATGTAGTTGTATGCTCTCACGTCTTCAACTCGCAATGACCAACGTGAAGTATGATCAAGTAAATTCCACAATCTTAACGGCAAGGGGAGGCATTCTTCCAGCAGCTATAATCTGTTTATGCAAGGTGGTCAGCCCTCCTAACACTATCCAAGCTCAACCCTGCAAAGCTTCTCACATCTGACGAGATCAGATGAAGTGTACATAAACATGTGTTGTAATGCTTATCTCAAAAATTTACTTTGGATTGTTGTGTTTTTGTGTGCACCATTGCTTGCATGCAGTTGACTTAAATGGGGAAGACGAAACAAAAGCGACCGAAGGAGGTGCAGTCGTTAACTATGGAAGCCTTCTGCACTCGCAAACGTAGCAAAGCGGTGCCCTCAGAGGCCCTGGCTCAGGTGGCACCCGCGAAATCGCCAGACCATTCTCAGAACCTCAACAATAAAGACACCGGCGCACCCAGCTCAGAGAACCATGGCCCAGACAGAAAGGCCAACGACCCCAGCAGCAGCGACAGTGGCAGCAGGCGCACCTCAGGGCCATCCAGAAAGCGCTTGGGTGACCGGCGAAAGCATATATGGCGGAAGACACACAGGGAACGAAACCACTCCTCCCGCACGTTCCTTCAGCGCGGTGCTAGCAAGGTGACGGGCATGGTGGCCGGGGAGGAGACCGGCAGTAAACGCTGCCAGGCAACATTGCACAAGCCCAGCAGGAAAGAGATAAATGAGAGAGGAAATCAAGCAGAGCCCATGGTCGTCAATCCAATGCAGAGGACAGTCCTGTGTGACATGCAGAACACGTGCCAGCTGATCACGCAGAACACGTGCCAGCTGATCACGCAGAACCGGCTCACGCAGCGCTTGGGACTTTTCAGCCAGATGGTGGAGTCAAAAGATATCAACAATTTGCAGGCCCAAGCAGCAGTTAAACCGTCCAAGACAAGAGGTGCTAAGAGTGATATGTGCCACAGAAAGATACGGAAAGCGAAGCGGGATGAATCTCTCAGGTCGACTGCGCTTCAGTCCAAGGTTGTATTTACGTATTTATTTTAGTGACTTACTTAACTGTTCTCTATTTTGCACTCCTATCGTTTTTTTGTATTGTTATAACTTGCTGACCGACCCCTGTGAAAAATAGCTTCATAGGTCATCAGCTTCCTCCAGAATAAATACAGATGCTGATTCTATTTAAAGATGATACACGTATCACTTTATTTTGAGTATTACAATGTTTATTCCTTGTAAGAGTGTTGAATGTTGTAATTTGATAATGGGGATTTTTTTTTCATGCGATTACAATAACCGTTAAATTATATTTTTTTACGCAGGTGATCGTTGAATTGATCAAATCTCCTTCAGAATTTTTACAAATGGAGTCTGTGAGCCACAGCACGCCTCTTAGCTCGGCACGAGACAGAGCCTCTTTGTGTTCTTCTCTGCAAGGTTCACAGCTCGCAGCCGGCCATGCGGAACGTGCTCACAGAAATTCCAAAGCTTGCGAGGAGCCTGGCACAGATGAAAGGGCTACAAAGACCCGCTCCACAGCAGAAAGCCTCAGGTCGCACACTGGTGTGGGCAGAAAGAAAAAGAAGAATAAAAGGCACAAACACCAGGAGAAGCCAGAGTTAACCAGAGACAAAGAGAAAATGAGTTGTTGCCCAAAAGAGACAGGCGGGGCTGACAACGAATGCATTGACTCTGGATACTGGGACACAGATACAGGCAAGGATGATGCACAGGACTTTACCGAAAAACCTAAGAGTATAAAAATTATGTTCACTTCGGTGTACAACTGTCAATTTACTGGTGGTTGAGGACCATCTCACAACGTACAAATCATTTGGCCATACTTTGCCACGCTAGTCAGTGCAGGTTGGTGAAGGCCAGGAGCATAGATGTTGGGGCATAGTAGAGTATAAGTGTATTTTACTGCACAGGCCTCTGCTGACAATGTAGTTCCTGGAGCAGGCTATAACACCTGTTTCATATACTGTGGTCACTCATCAAAGCATAAACCTGCTTTGATTTCGGGTTTTAATGAGAAATGGCAAATTACTCGTGGTTTAATAAAAGACACGCTTTTAATGTTTTAAAAATATGTTTGCAATGCAAAGCCTAACGACTGTCTTTGATGTGTTTGGTTCTATGCAGTGAGTTTGATATTTAAAGCTGCAAAAACCGTGCAGCACTTCTTGGAATCTCGCACTTACTTCCCAGGTAACTCACCGCACACTCCAGTTAATAATATAGATACATAATAGTCTTTCATGCTACTGTCATGTTTTTGTTGTATGTACATGTCCATATAAGTCATTTGTCAGTCCTCTGATGGGTAAGGGCCTTCCCACGCTGTTTGGGTAATTTGGCAATAAGTTTAAGAAGTTTGTATGATACAATTAGCTCACTACCATGCATCACAGGTGTTAAATAAAGATTCTGATTATAGCCTATGAATGGCTAATGTCATGTACCAACTTTAAACGACATGTCGAGCAAAACTATCGCACACATACTTAAGCTGTCTTAACGAAGAGGAGGGTGACATGATAATCATCATACGGAGGATCCAATGTGAACGAAACTCTCCTATAAAGTTGTGTTGCTACTGGTGGCTTGCCAAAAATACGAAGACAAAAAAAACAGTGCTGAAAAGCACCCGCCTTGGCACCCCAGCCCTGCCGACCGAGGCTTGCCATCCTTGGTGGAGCCGCTATCCCTGCGCCATTGTCTCATGCACGCCTATTGTGTTTTTATATTTATAGCTCTTCAGATTCCTCCAGTATAAATAAATATTCTGATTCATCGTGACCTGTGGACGCACTGCTTGCTGCACACCTGGCACGAGCGCTCTCATTATAAATATATGAATACTTCCGAGGAACAAAACGCACGTGAAAGGCATTACACTCGAATGGCGAATGCATAATTTTGTTCCGTTGTTTAAATCTATTTTTGATAGTTGAATATTGTCATCAGCGGTCGAATGAAGTCTGTCCACTTTGCATCGCCACTCGTTTTCAGATCGGCGCTTGGCGTTGGAGCACCGGCGCGTCCTCGTTTCATGTATAAAATCATCGCAACATCTTGAAGGTCCAAGCCTTGGACGGATGTCCTTTCCCGGGGTGGCGCCACCACCTACTCAGGTGATAAAGGGACCCGACGCTCCGAATGGTGCACCCCCGCCTATGGTTCAGTCGCAGAGAGGTGAGTTTCCTCTGCACACGAGATTGAAAACTCATTCTCGATTTGAAAACTCACTTCGAGATTGAAAACTCATTTATGTAGAACTTAGCTTGTTGTCATTTCCCGCACCTCCAATTAGCATGGTTGGCTATGTACTGTGCAAACGAAGTTCAATGTAACATAACAGACCCCTGTGGGGGTGTATGCACAACGATGTGTGATTATGTAGAGCAACCGATTGAGATTAAGTCGTAAGCAATTTAGCCATTCACTTACTTTTTCAGCATTGGTGAATTGCAGATTGCCTTCAGGTGTATATTTCGGGTAATAGGAAGTGATATGGTTCACGATTTAGTTCATGACTTAGATACCCAACTTTTAAAATTGTCATACTTAACAGCTGATTTATAGTAATTGACTTTTAAGTTAGGCCGCGTAATGATATGATTAAATGTCATCAAGACCCCCCCCCGACCCCACAGCCAAATAATACACAATGAGATGACAAATATGTTGTTATGAGCTCATAAAGGAAAACTTGGCATTATTTTAAAGTGCAATGGGAAATTAGAGAGAGTGGAGGGTATGAGCATTAATATATTTAAATGGTGTATCCTAGACAAATTATAAGAGGAAGATCTTAATTCTGGACTTCTACAGAGGGATGGGGTCAACCGTGCAGTTGTGGGGTGGGGGAGTTCCAGACTACGAGGAACTGCAACGGAGGAGTGACTTCCCATTGTGTGGAGTGCTGAGCTGCGGAGGGGAAAGAGAGCGCGTGGGGGAGTGTAGAGTGAGATGGTAGTTAGGCTGGGTGGGGTAAGTCCATAGGGGATCTTGAAAACTGTGAGGATCACCTTGAATGTTGATGCGGGAACAGATTGGTTAGCCAACTCTTGTTGCCGAGATTAACCATTATGGTTGTGTAAACAATTGTATTGGACGTGTATCCAAGCGTTTATTCTCTCCTTTGCAGGGTTCTTTGAAAGGGGGCGAGAAACCAGTGCTTGCTACCAAATGTCTGTAAGTGAAGTCAAATGATTGTCTGTTTTATAACTCCCACCATCACTGTTGATTATAGATTGTTCTTTTGAATCCAATGCCATAGCATACAACCCACTTTAAAAACGTCACATTTTTTGGTCAAATGTTTTATATTAGCCTTTTTTCGATTCATGTAAGTGAAAATGTGTAATTAAGATTAAGGGAAAACGTGATGAATGGCAAAGAATTTATATTCACTGTTTTGAGCAGAATATGTGTTTCCAGACCTCGCTTCACAAGCAGGAGCAGGCCAAGTCCTTTCTGCATGACCATGCAGCAGCCCTGTGTCCACTCCCCACAATGTTCCATCCAGCAGCTGTCAGCCACCCCACTGTGATGGCAACCCGTCTCCCGAACTTCCAACCTGCTGATGTTGCCGCTGGAGGTGGCTGTTTTGAAAATGTCTCTCAAATCTGCCAGTTCCTGCCTCCAGCTGGGGTTACTGGCTTCACTCCAAAAGCATGCGACCGACCTACTCTGAAGCCTTACAGGGGCCACCAGTCGGAGGTGGTGAGATGTGAGAATTTTTCACGGCGGTCAAGGGCAGCGGCTCATAGCCCAGAAGATGCGTTTGTGCGTGATCACCAACCCTGCACGAGCAACGGCCACTTCTCTGCCTTTGTAGACAGCTGCCCAGTGCATGTCGCCAGGCAGCCTGACCAGGCTAGGCCACGTGAGCAGTTTCCTTCGAATGGCGAATTTGCCTTTAAACAACACGATATGTGTAAGTTTCATCGCGGTTTGTCGCATCACCTACGTTAGCACGGAGTCGGCCCATAACAAGGAGAGGTTCGACCATCGGGCTAACACTCACCAGAAGTCTTTGTGTCACCCGGAGCCAGCAAAGGTTCCCACACGTCCCCAGCCCTCTTTTTCTGCCTCGGATTACAGTCCGGAGGAGTGGCAGTATCCCCGAATGTGCATGTTTTGAACGGTATTTGACAAGTGCGTAATTGTTGCTAGCCAAACACTGCATATTGGCACACATTCATAACTGGCGGGAAGCAGTTGTTTTGTGATGTGGCTAAGAAGTGTTCGTATTTTGTAAAGTTGTATGAACATTGGATTAATTCACTTTACAGTAATTTGTGAAAAGGTTGTGGATCAATTTATTTAGCCGTATGACCAATTGTAGCAATTGCGTGAAGATGTGTCATTACGATTCCAAATGTGTGCAGCTTATGTAATCTCAAACGTGAAGGGAGTCACATTTTTAAACAAGCATCCATCTTTCAGTGAAGCTTATACTTTATATTTGCCTAAAACTAAGGTATTTATATACATTTTTCGAGGAATTTATAAAAGAACTGATTTAACTCGTACATGAATAAATGGGTTAACAGATTACCCAGGTTGCACCTGATTTAGTTTGATCTTAGAAACTAAGCAGGTTTGAGGCTGGATGTGCTTGGATGGGCAACCACCATGCATAAACCAAAGGCTGTTGTGGGGCTGTATTGCCACCAGAGATAAGTGCAGAAATAGCCATTGTGATAATGTACCATGCTCCACCTTCAAGTTGTTCTGACCAGTGTGATGAAGTTGGGTCAAATATCCCCATGATCCACACAGCATGGGGAAGAGGCCCTCGTTAGCAGTGGTTTGACAAAAGGGCTGCACATGTACATTACAAGAGTACCAATTGAACAAACTGTTGAGATATAAGATATACAATGTAATATATATTGTCTTTTGTTACATTTTACAATCTAATGCATGAAGGTAAACTTGTTCTTATAAGTTACTTTTACTATTCGAAACATTTATGTGGCTGAAACCAATGCAACATCGCTAGCACTATGTAATTTGTTGAATTTGTTTAATGTATATGACAATATTTTTGTCGATTTTTATAATATATTTAAAAGTGGAAGGAAATAACATAAATCTTGAGAGTTTTGCTTATGTTTAAAATTATTTATTTTTGAAACCACATGCTTTGATGTTTTGCGGCTTTTGCCCATGCATTCCTGCCTGATTTGCATTCAACTGTCTTGTTATTTCAGGAAGCAATGCATTGCTTGGCAGTGTGTTTGATTTTAACTTGCTGTACGACCTTGGTGGAATCTGAGTGGAGAATGTACGCTTTGGCCAATCAAAATAGGAAGTCGACGCATGGCCAAGACCAAAAGGCTTCGTTTAACTAGACAGAATCCTCTTCTTGGTTCTTTTGGTAAAGTCACGTAGAAGGGAAATAATAAAATAAAACATAATATAATTCTCACGACGTTTCGGCCACAACGCAAGCAGCCGTCCTCAGGTGAATAACAGGGCTGCTTGCGTTGTGGCCGAAACGTCGTGAGAATTGTATTTTATTATGTTTTATTTTTATTATTTTATTATTTCCCTTCTACGTGACTTTACTGAAAGAACCAAGAAGATGAATCCCTGCAGTCACGAAAGCTTTAAATCGAAATTTAGACAGAATCCTCTTAATCTTTTTTTTTGCATCAGATATCCTTTTTGCGGATATAAAAAAAACTAATTTTGTCACATTAATTGAACTTAATTCACGTGCAAAAATTATGGTTATCCATTCATCATATGTAAAAAAAAATGTGCGTGGTTGTACCGATCAACATCGCGAAAGTGCGTCTGAAATGGGTTTTGACTCGCAAATACCACTTTGTTAATACACCGATTGGTGTATTTTGATGGGTTTAACCAAATTATATTAGCCGAAAATGTAGGTTTTCCTAGCCAACATCATTAACGTAACTGACCTGATATTATTGCGAGGTGGCAGAGGATTGTGCACCCGTTGCCAACATTTAATAACTAAGAGTGGACTAGGTATTTGATTTCGTCGACTAGACTAGAATTCCTGAGATAATCTTTAACAGAAATCCACTGGCTAAGACTTGACTCACGATCTGCAATTTGTTGTGAATTTTCTTAAGACCATGACTAAGAATGCGCACTGTCGCCAGTTTAGAGAGAGATCTGTGGCTCATTTCATTGACGTAGTAAAAAGGAAGTTGGCTATAATTGCATCACGTTCCAAAGTAAAGGTGTCGGAACCACCACACCTCTTCGTCATTACCAAGGCCGGAGGAAATGTTTACTGAGATTTAAGAGTTATGTTCGTTGTGCTAAAACATCATGCATTACAACCCCCTGTCTGTATTACATAACATCGTGGGTAAAATAAAAACAGGGTGATTAAATTCAGGGAATGTATAAGTATGAGCAAGCCAGTATATTTCGAGCCTGTAAATGAGTAAATACACTGCTGCCGTTATGTAATCATTGTGAGTCATGTTTGAGTGGAACGCGTGTCGTGTATTTCATTTGAGATTATTCAACGCAGACTTTGCCGATTCATCGGTTACGGAGAAGTTTAACTTTTACACAATTTTTCCATAAACTTTCACCGTAGTATTGAGATGAATTTCGAAACAGGTTTGAAAGCGAGGTGTGAATTCGTGTCAAAGCATGCAATTATATTCTTTGGATCTTTCGGTAAAGTCACATAGATAGGTTCAAAGAAAATACAAAAACTACGACGTTTCGATCACAACACAAACGGTCTTCAGGAAAAGGGGGGTGGGGGGGGTGAGCTTCCATAGGCAAATCAAGTTTTTATCTATAAGGGTTTGAAATGGGAGTAGCCCAAATGTCAGCAGCCAATGGTTGGTTTTCCACCAAAGGGCTGCCAGGTGAAAATTAGCATGTTCATGAGAGATTAGCATGTTAATTGGGGATTAGCATGTTAATTGGGGATTAGCATGTTCATGGGGAAATCGCAGAGCCGCAACCGAGGGGTAGTCGGCGCGCGAAGTGGCTGTGTGAGTGTGAATCCTGTGAAAGTGCAAGTTTGAAATGGGCGTAAAGCAATTATCATTACATTTTGTTTATGAAGATGGTTCTGTTACGACCCGTACAATTATTTTCATATCGGAAGGTGAAAACTCCTTTTTATCGTAAAAAAACAATAGCAACCGATATTCTCGATATTAACCTGGCTCCCAACGTTTGATTGCCACGCGTGCCTAAAAGCACTGGGGAGTGGACATCTAAACCAGTCAAGTAAGTTCCAAATGCATAATAATTACGTATTTATTCAAGAAAGCCACACTCATTCCAATGACTCTTTTTCAGTAGGGTCCTGCATTGAATTTTTCTTATTTTAAAATAGCCACCACCGCCTCGCTAAATGAAATTTGTTTCACAAAGTCAGACGTAAAGAGACCCGGATGAGTCTCGTTTTGCAAGAGTGACCTGGGTAAGCGAAATTATAAAAGTAAAAACAACAAACAAAAGTAGAGCAATGGAGTATGGAAACAGCAATCAGAACAAAAACATTCACGCGAGGAGTCAAAAAATTGCAAACAGCAATGGTTAACCAAGGCTTAATATTACATTCTCTGCAGGGCAAAGCGGTTAGCAGATTGCCTTTATCAAACAACCCTCCAGCCACATTCACTTGACCAGCGTTATTTATAAAGTACAGAGTATGCTCAAACAACCCCTATTCTTAACACAGCATGGGAGGGTCCTTCATCCAGCAGTGGATTTACAATCGTCTAAATGATGTATTTACTACATATGCCAATTTTTTATTAACACATTCCTGCGGAGACAGCTGGTAGGAACGTTGGGTTGCTCGGTCAATGGCCAGGGTCAACGGCGGCGTGGTGTATTCCGCAAATATGCCCAACTGAGGGCGGGCACAAGCTGGCGTGAGTAGGTTAAACGTTGAGTTTTATAAGGGCACCACGGGGTGACCAGCCCCACCCCACCCAGCCCCTCCCTGCACGACGGACGGACACAATAATCCCCTGTGGGCTGGCGTAACCAGGAGGTTCCTACCAGTATAATCCAGAGAATACGGTGAGTGAATCAGACACATGGGATACGTTACACGGTGAATGGGCGACGGAGCAATACCCCACCTATTGCTTTAAAATACGGTGGATAGGGACGGGGGTGGAAAGTGCTTCTTATAATCCAGTAAATCAGAGACATGGGGATACGTTACACGATGAATGGGCATGGGAAGCAATGCCTCGGAGTAAGCCAGCCCCTGCTGCTCGCTACACCCACGTGCTCACGACTCACGCCCTATGTAAACAGTTACCCACTTGCCGGAAGCCGCGACGCTTTACCCTTATATGGCATTAACCACGCCCCCTCGAGGGAGCACGCCCTCTGATTGGCTCGCGAAAGGAAGGGGGGCGTGACCAACCCCACCGGGCCCATTGACCACGCCTCCCTTATAGCCCTTCCCTCTCCTCGGCCCGACAGCCCTGCCCTTGCCTTGCCCCCTCGGCCCATGCTCAGCACCCCCAGCCCCCTCGCCCATTGACGACGAGCGGCTTTGGCTCTCGGGGAAGAAGCACGAGAAGGAAGTGGCTTGCTCCAGGCACGCACCTCGCAGACTCGAGCCTCCGCCGCACTCTCCTGCACATCCGGTACCTCCTCCCCCCCCTCCTCCTTGCGACCCACGTGGTGGAACCTGCCGCTTCCTCACTCTGCCTCATCAGCAATGTGTCGCACTCTCCGCTGCTCGTCTGGTGCTGCTGCTGCTGCTGGTGGCGTTGGGTGCAGTGGACACTGAGCCCCTCCACCTGCTTTGCTTTCGCCCCTTCGCTCCCTTGCCTTCGCCCGACGTCTGTAGGTTGAGTCCCGACTGTGGGTCACCTCCGCTACAGTCAGAGCCCGGGGGCTGTCTTGCTCACCCCGACTTACTCGCCGCCCTTCCTGCCTTCCGCTTATCTCTCACCTCGTTCCACTTATCCGCCGCACCGCTCCTCCTTATCCACTCAACCGACCTCCTGGCCTGCTGTCCACAACAACAACCACCACCAGCAGCATCAGCATCATGTCTGCTGTCACTGCCTGCGGCCGGGGTTCCCGTGGCTCTGCGCTGACCGCCGCCCGCGCCCTCACCGTGCACACGGGCAACGTGGTGAACCGGGGCGCGCTCAGGAACAAGTACGGCTCTTCCCCCAGCGAGGAGGTGAGTCTGCAACGGGTCTGCACGCATTCGAGTCGCTTTTCTGAGACCGGCAAAGCCCTAGCCATGGAGTCAACATTGGCGGGGGGCAAATCTTCCAGGGGTTTGGGGGTCCCAACCCAGAAAAAAAAAATCTAAATTTGAAAACTCATTTTCTGCCATTTCCTGCCTAAAATATTAAAATATTCACTAACACATGGGATGGACTTTTTATTTATTTATTACAATAATGTCTAATAGTGTATTGTATTACATCGCTATGTTTTTACTTCTTTACCATTTCTTGTTTCATTGTATGGAATGTTTGAGATTAGGGATTAAAAAAGTACACTCATAAAACCACAACCATATGAACATAAATCTATGCATTGATTTATATGAAAAAAGTCCAGATATTTTAGGGGGGACATTTTTTGCATATTTGAATATTGGGGGGGGGGGGTGTGTGTCCCCCCCCCCCCCCCCCCCAATATATATTATAATTACGGCCTTGGTTCTGGGTCTGGTCTCGTCTGGTCTTCATCTAGGTCTGAGTCTAGGTGTGTGGTCTGTGCAAGGTTTGGGTATATGCATTGGTCTGGTTTCGATGTGAGTGATCTAAAGACGGAGTTGGTTTTATCCGTTGGTCTTATTGTGTTTCGAATTAAGAAGTCTACTTTTGGATCTGTGTGAAGTCTGGTGTTTTTCTTGGTTTGGGGTTCGTTTGGTTCTAAGTCTGATTAAGATTGAGTCTAGTTGGGGTGTGAGTCAAGTGTGTCAGGAACATATCAGAGCTCTGGTCTGGGTCTGTCTCAATCTGGTCTGCGTTTATGTTGGCTTATGATCTGCAAACAGTGTCTCAATCCGAAATGCTTATGGAGTACAGGTCGTGTGCTTGGTTATAGTGGCCAGGCGATGTGTGATGGCTCATGCTGACAATCATAGAGAGGACTCCCGGTTCATTTACGGTGAATCTTGGCCATCCATAGTAAAGAGGTAATGGTCTCGTGGGAAGTCTTTCGTGACTGATTGTGCCATGGTCATTTATGGTAATTGATGCTCACTTAATCACACGCAGAGCTTCATTTATTTACGGTGACCCCGGAGTAGGTCACATGGCAAGTAGCCGAAGCCATAGCGTCAGGTATACTGGATGTGGTGTGCTGGGCTCTGACATATGGGTTCCTCACCTGGCAAGACTCGGGTGAATTAAGCCCTCCGAACACGATATTGTTACTCATTGTTTTCCGGCAATGTTATACATTAAAACAAATAGGACACTGAGAAGCATGGGGGAAAAAATGTCATGTTAGCAGCTGCATGTAAGTAACCAAAAAATTATTTTATGGCCATTCGTGACTATAGACAGCCCTGTTGAACCAGTGTTGATCTCCTGCACTGTTAATCAGACTTGTCTGGCCTCATAAGCAGAGCTAGTTATGCCGTCAGTCCGAAATATAATCGGGTTACGCTTTTGAATTTTTCGTTGGATTTCTGACGGTTGACTTCTGCCCTCCAATGTGCCCCGATTTTTGTTGCCTCGCAAGCGATGTTTTGTTACTTATTTAAATACGAAACCACTTGCACTGCATGCGCCTGCATTCGTTGCATCATCCTCCGCATCTGTCAGCTTGGCAAACTGCTTAGTCATGGAAGGCGTAGGTTCACTGAAAGCTACTTGTCATGCTGAGTCACCTCAATGATGCACAATGCAACTTGGTGGGTGGGTCAGGTAGAACGCTTTCGAGGGAAGCCGGACCTGGGGATTTTAATCAACAGTGGCAAGTACGGGCAGCGCTTGCTAAAGGGCGGCGTTTTCAAGCTTGGGAAGCTCAAGATTAATTTCGAATTACTGTACAGTGAATAAAAAAAATACTTTTAACGACCACAGTGATCAATACTCCTCCACATTACTGTGTGTGTGTAATATGCTCGCTTCGCTTGTCTGCATTGAACAGAGAGAAATACATGGCATACACGCTGCTTTTTGTGTTTAGTTTCTTGTCCTTAGCTCCGATTAGTACGGTTGGTTACGTATGGGACGAAAGAAGTTCAACATGCGTAGATATATACACATCTGCCCTACACCCAATGCATACTGATGGTCATGAGTGAAGTGAGTCATTGTCCGTGGATTTTATTCATATGTCACAATAATAACGATAGTAATTTTCAGTCCTTTGTCAAGCCACCGCTGGACAGAGGCCTCCAAACAGCGGTGTCAATCATGGGATTTGTTTGAGCATACTGCACCACGCTGGTCATATACCAGCCGCCACTGATGGTAGCCGTAGCAGGGGATCGAACTCTGACAACCACATTTGCGGCCCATTGTGCTAACCACTAACCACTGCTCCTCACCCATACGACAAAAGGTGTATACGCACCAATTGAACACTTGCCTTTGGGCACATCGGTACGTTCCTTTCGTGGAACAAAAACTGAAATGTGCGTTAAGAAGTAGGGAGAGGTGCTTGCTTGGAATTACACCGAGAGACAAAAAGAGGAAGGCAGGGATCGCAGAACAAATGCAAGTTCTAGACATCATATTGACAGCTGAACAGGTAAAGCCCACGCAGCTCTTTTTCAGAGGCGACCTAGCCACACATGACGGCTCATAGAAGTCACTTATATCGTATGTCGGAATTTATAGTCGTAACCAAATAATCCCAAAATGTGTTTCTAAATATGGAGGTCAAAATTGGAAGACCTGGATTTAAAAAAACACCGTCCGTCGGGAGGGAGAGACATGCAAACTCCAAATATACAGCAGGCATCAGGGTCAGGATCGAACCCATGACTTCCTGTGTACCAGGCGAGGTAGTTAACATCTCACCACCGTGGTGCCCATCTCACAAGCTTTAAGTCAAGATTTTTTATTGAAAGTTAAGAAAAGTGAGTGGGCTTTGGCAGGACACGTCATCGCGAGAAGGGACGATGAGCTGGTGGTCGAGACTAATGACAGAGTGGCAGCCAATGGAGCCAAGACACCCCAGAGGGCATCCGCTGTGGAGACAAAGGGATGAGATGGAGTCGGATGGATTGTCGCACTGCGGAACCATGATAGAGGGGCAATGGCTTGCTGAGACCTTCATCCAGCAGTGGATAGGTCAAGTAAACCCATAGCTTACAACATAAAGGACTTGGAAATTCTCCATTCCCATGCGTGATTCGCTGCATGTGATGTGAGCGTGAAGATCCAATGTAATCGATTAAGTGATGCATCAATGCAACCCTTTGAGCAGCTTGTTAATATCCTGCCCTACCATTACACCATCTTTGTTAAAATGTGAAATTGGCTTCCGATGTCGGAAAACGTAACGGCCCTCAACTTACGTCCAGCTTTCTACCAAACTTACGATAAACTGAATTATCAGACGCACGCCTGGATGCCTTATAGTATTGAATGAATGCAGCTGGTCTCCGCTTGAATAAATGAATGAATGCAAGGGATTGGCTGATTCATAAGGCAAGGATGTATCGGAGTCCCCAAGGCCAGCAATGGAAACCCTTGTTACAAATCCCAGACTCGTGTCCTCCTTTTGTGTAAATGTTTGCGTTAACGATATCCTCCCCCTCTCCTTCTGCAGCTGGTGGACTGTGTGAGGAGCACATTATCCGATTGGGCTTCAAAGCTCGACGGGGGAGAGGTAAGCACCCCAAGACATCCATCACGACACGGTCTCCAGTCTGTAGTTAGTTGTGCTTATTTACTAATTCCAGTGTTTCAGCTGGAATTTACATTCAGACAGAATCCTCTCATTTGCAAGGGTTGCTCAGGGTGTCAGCCGACACATGCTTAGCAAGCACATTAATGGCACGTTTTAAATCTATGACATTTTGTCCATCGTCTCTCGTCAGTTCTCTTGATGCACACCCTGCCCCTATTCCGCTCCATGTTTTGTTTTGCGACCCCCGACGCATGTGCGCGTGTCTCTTTATCCTTTCGCTCGCGATCAGTCGCCTTCGTACCTGGCCCAGGATGTTTGCGTATGCCCGGGCACGGAGAAGATCAGTGCGGAGGATCGTGACGATTTGAAAATAACCGGTACGGCCACGTCGGTGTTAATGGAGGGGTGGGGTCCCTCCTTTGGGGGATATATCAGCCCAGGAATGTCGAGGCGGGGCGGGGGTGGTGCTGAGCCCCCTGCTGCTGAAGGTTCAGCCCCCCCCCCCCCCTTCCTAAATTCATAAAGTGAAGTCATTTTTTTATACAGAGTGCATTTGTTATCATGTACTCTGTTCTAGCTCATCTCCTATTTGGAGTCGTGAGCCAGTGGTGGAAATTACAATTTCCTATTCTGGGAGCGAGTCGATCCATATGACAACCGCTGTTGACCAGCCTCACGTTATAGTACAAATTTTATCGACCCAGAGGGATGATAGACTGAGTCAACCCCTAGCGAGGATTGCAACTCGCAACCTTCCGATTGCTAGCCGCTTGCTGTACCGCTGAGCCACCTGGTCAGACTCATAATTTCCAGGGAATCGTTTAACGTTTTTTAAATATTGTTGTTTTTTTGGCTTAAAGTCACTTGTCAATCCTGGTTTCTAGGCGACTCAGACCACTGAGTAGTTAGCCTCCCGTTTTTAAACCTTCTCATCGGGTGTAATTAATTGGTGTGCTCAGCTCATTTTCCAATTAATTATTGCATGATTCATTTGTTTGATTTTTCAATTAACTTGGCTCAATCCCAGCTCTAAGAATGGTAATATATGGTTATAACTGTTATGCAATAAGCATTTCTCTGTAGCAGAGCGTGTGAAAAATCTGTTCACTACTGTGTGTGAAGAAGGAGAAAAATAGTCGGTCACCGATCATCGAGAATGCATGTTCTGTGATATCTTCTTCAACGGGTTATTCTCCAACACTAGCAGCGGAATAAAAAACAAAGAGGGTTACAATACTAATGTAACGTGGAATTCTTTATTTGCTTTGTTGCTAAGTAGACTAAGGCATTTTTGGACCGGCGAATTGGGTGGGGCATGATAAGCGGAAGGGAATTTTTTTTTCATGCATTCCTGACCTCGTGCGCAAGGTTTGTGTTGGCACCAGGGCAATTTTTCGTCCAGCTGTATTTGGAGGCTGACAAGTGGTAACTTCTAATTCTTTTGGCGAGCACTTAGGTGTCCTGGATTGTCTGAATTAATTTATCTTGGTAAACCTCCAGTTACTCTTGTTTCCGCTGACTCCCCTGTTCATTCTCTCTCTGGCAGCCAAGATATTTTTGCTGGGAGGCGATGCGCAAGTCATTAAGCCGGCCGTGGAGAAAGGTACAGCGGAAAAGCCCTCTCTTCCCATCCATTCAAATTTATGTGCTCTCGTGCAGCTCGCCAGCCACCTGCGGCTGAACAATACAAATGATGTGGGTCATTGCGGAGCCGTGGCGCAGTAGTTGGCACACTGCGCTTTGAATCTGATTCCCAGCCATTGGCTAACATCAGTGGCGAGTGACATCTCAGCCGGTCATGTTCCACCACTTCACCATCCCACACTGACCAGCGTGGTGAAGTATGGTCAAGCAACACCTGCAACTGGCATGGTGAGAGCCCTTTATCCAGGAGTGGATTTACAAAAGGCGTGATCACTATTTGTTTTTCATTATTATAAGCCATGGCTCAAGCCACAGCTTGGCGAAAGCCTCCTTAAGCCACTACCACGGTTTTGGGATTTAATAATCCACCTGGTGCCTGCACATGAAAAATTTAATTGTATGGAAATCAAAGTACATCAGCACAGAAAATCTACACAACCACAGTGATACTTCAATTTTGGTGGCTTAAATCTCAGAGACAGGAGATCAGACGACAGCGTTTTAGGCCATAATTGCCGCTGACCAGGAATTTGACTTATGTTGATATAACCCAGAGGCTTTTCTCACTTATCGGTCAAGATTCCGGGATTAATTGGCTCGTCCATCCTGGTGGAAGACAATGGCATCTGAGGAGTGTCATGGGAGTGGCACAGTCCATTCAACTTTAATTACATCTGTGCCTAGTATTTTTCCATAAGACTAAATTCCATCCTGTGCCTTAGTTCCAGATGCTTTTATTGCTTTAACAGAAAAATCGGTAACAAGTGAGGCATCCAGAGATGTTGGTTAAAACCCATTGATGTGAAAAACACATTTGTTGCTGGTGTATATCCTGGAGCAAACCAGAGGAGCTAATTCCTTCTTCATACTGCAAAGTGAGCTTCCGTGGTATCATCATCATCATCATCGGCCATGGTCAATCCACAGCTGGATTGAGGCCACCACAAAGTTCCCGCCACCTCGTTATCCTGTGGTGTATTAAGCCATCAAGCATCTGGACGTGAGCTTGTTTCTTCACTGCTCCATCACCTTGGTGGACGTGATCTCAGATCCGGAATAGAGGTTTTTGGGGAAGATCACGTAAATGTGTCGTTAAGCCCGCCACCACCCGACACGGCAAATTAGTTGGAATTGTAAATATTGTCGGTTTACTCTCCAACGCGCCGGTGTGCTGAACTAGTAACTAATATTTACGTGATCTAACCCAAAAACCTTTTGTGGATAATATTGGGCGCGACAGCCTACGTGTTAAAGTGTGCTCAGACTCGTTCCATTCGTTGGCCGACACTCCGTCCGTTACACTAGACCACTTGCCAATGTCCCTACTTGTGTCATTATCCTGCCTTACCTTCTCGAATCCACGCATGCCTCTCCCTGTCTCTCGGTGCACTGGCAAGCATGCACGTCCGCTATGCTTCTTTGCACACTTGCGTTTTTAGTTCTATAATTTTCGATACGATCAAAACAACCTTCACGACCTGCACGGCGTGGGGAGGCCCTCACCCAGCAGTGGATTGGACAGACGGTGACGACGATCCGGCGATGACGACGATTGTGATGAGGATGGATGATGTGCGATGGCCCCGCAGCGTGCATGGCTCTGGGCGTGTCGCTGCTGGACGCCGTGGTCCTGGCGCCGCCGCCACTGCCTGAGGAGGAGAAGCTGACGGCGGACCGGCTGTCCCCCTACTGGGCCGAGCTGGAGAGCCTCATCGCCGCACACAAGGTGGCGACCATCGGCACCTCCGACCTGGACAGCCAACTTCTAGAGGAGCTCTACCACTGGGCACAGGTGGGTGGCTGGGTGGATGGATGGGTGGGTGGATGGGTGGGTGGATGGGTGGATGGGTGGATGGGTGGATGGGTGGATGGGTGGATGGGTGGGTGGGTGGATGGGTGGGTGGGTGGCGCTATTGGGCAGTTTGAGGCGGTCAACAACAACAGAGGCCTGGCGAGCGATGCTCACAACAAAAGCCAGAGCAACGGGTGGATAAAACACAGCAAGTTGGCACAGTGGAGCATCTGCTGGTCATCTCAGTCAGTTAACTCATAACACCTGGGCCTGTCCCATGACCTCCTGCTAGTGAGCTTTTGACACCTCACGTGGCCTTCGCGCAGAGCAGCTAGTCCGACATCATTCCCTAATGCTCAACAAGTCTCATCAGCGAAGGACCGTTGCGCCAAACGTGTTACCTCTTGCGGAAGCATTCGCATGAACTGCTCTAGCTGCCATACACCATTGTCTCGAGTAAGTCGTTTGATCTACGGATACGGGGGCGACCACGGGGGTGGCGCCATTCCTTTGAGCGTCTGTTGAAATTATTTAAGTTGGGTGTCCTGCCGTCGCACACGGCTCCGGTAACACGTTTCCTTGGTGCCACCTGCCCTGCGCCGCACGCAGGTGAAGCCGGCTAGCAACCAGGTGAACCTGGCCTCCTGCTGCGTCATGCCGCCCGAGCTGACGGCCTTCGCCAAGGAGTACGACATCCAGCTGCTGACGCACAACGACCCCACAGGTGCCTCGTCGCTCTCTCTCTCGCTGCCGGCGCGCACAAACCGGAGCGGCCGCGTCAGTCCGCTCCGGCGGTGCCAGTGAATGGTCGCGATTCGATTCAGAGTCGTGCATCGATTTGAGGATTTATCGGTTGTACAGATTTGTCGCCTCGATGTAAACTGCGAGGGAGGCGCTGTGTGAGTAATTGATGATGTTGATCATCACTTTGGTGTTTCGTTGCTATTATCCATTGGCGTTGTCTTCTTCAGTTGTGTTTTCTCCATCATGCTAAATGTAAGAGAATGTCTTTTTGTTTTCTACTTTTGTATAAATTGTACAGAATGTATTATCGCCTGCATGTTTTATGTGTGTATTGTGAGGGTGGCAATCAATTTTAATACTATCATTGATGCATCATTATATAAATAAAAATATATATTTATTTATACGTGTGTGTGTGTGTGCGCGTTGAACATATTCCAGAAATTCTACCGACAAAGTCTTTCCAGGACATGGTGGCTACTGTGGCGCCTGAACAGGCAGAGGTGTGGACGCCTCTGTGGGTCCTGCGCTACTCGGTGATAATCAAGTGTCGCGGGGTCCTCAAGTCCAAGGGTTATTTCCTGCAGGCACGGAGGGACGCCTGAGTGAGGAGCAGTGACACCGCAACTCCAACTCTCCGCCAAGCTTCGCCAAAACAGGCGACGGCAAACCTTGCCGTAACGATTCGCTGCTTGGGGTCGTTGCGTACGAAGATTTACGAAAAAAGAAAAACATGCATAAAATGTTCCCCATGCCTGCTTTAGCTGCTGCTGTCACCAGCCCTCTGCAATGAACGATCGCTACTGGAGAAATTAACAAAATGAGTTTCGCATCGTTTTAAACTATACAAATTTTTTTTTCAAATCTTCTTCCCATTATTTACACTTTTTTCTACAAAATAACTTTGTATTGCCTTTTTACCTGCACCCTTTGCTTCCCTCCTGTGATTAAACCATTGTTATTTAATCATGTGAGATTCCAGTGCAAGTCATTATTACTGGTCATCAGTAACCGGAATGATTTTTTTTTATCAATATACATTTCACAGATAATTTTCGGGTTTTGGTTTGTGGATGGGGGGCTGCGACACCTGCGCCAAATTATACATCCGTTTGTGAAAGCTATCACAACGTCTTAAAAAGCCACTTGCTTTGGCAATTGCTGTTGTGAAACCACGTGGATCTACGTCCGCGATAGATCCCTGCCTCTTATTTGGAAAGGTACGCGTGGCATACACATTTTTTCGGAAGGTGACAGGCCGTGGTGGCAATGGCACGCCTGTAATCCAGCACTGGAGGCAGTGCTTGGTAATTGCACAAATGTTGTGAAACGCCTTTTCCCATGAGTGTCGAGGTGCCATAGCCTGGCTTGCCAGGAGAAGGCTGTACAGCATATGTGGACTCCACTTGTACCGTTTAACACGTAGCCTTTGGCGACCAATATGGTGCATAATAAAGGTTATTTGTGTTAGATCGCGTGGATATACATTTGTCGTAAAATCCGCCACCACCTAACAGCCAGTTAGTAAGATTTGTCACGTAAACACAACATGCCAATTAGTTATTCGTTAAGCACACCGGTGTGCTTTGAGAGTGAACCCACGACATTTACGACGTTTCGCTGATGATTAGAACCAGCATCATCAGGCGATAGCAGGACTCACGGCAATATTGTTCTCGACTGAAATCTCTGGTTTCCAGCATTCGTGGAGAGGTCTTGCTCGGTTCGCTCCATAGCACGTGCCCTTTCCCACTGGCGCATCCGAGCCAAGCTAGCATGGTATCCACATGATTACGGTGCATTTTTTTCCACTGGATATTTGCTATGCTGAGCCGGAACCAAACCCTGGTAAGCTGGCCTCGCATGACATCACGATCGGCTACCCGAGTTCAGATCCCGGTCATGACAAACATCAGTGGCGAGTGACATCAGAACGGGTCCGAGGTGGCCCCCTTCATCAACCTGCGCTGACCAGGGTGGTGAAGTATGGTCGCTCACGTTCCATGCCCGGCCACGGCGTGCCGAGACCTTAAGCAGTGGATTGACAGAGGAATGTCCAAATGTAAGCCAGTGAGAGCCATATTGAGACCCGTTCCTTCGCAATTAAGTTTAGCCCATGGACTGTATCAAATTGAATACAGGCTTTAACACGGATATCTTGATATGGACTTTAATTCATGAAAATGCTATTGCTGTACGCCTTTTGGCGTCCTCTGGTCTTACACCGTTTGAGACGAGGCTCAAGAGAAAGCTGTCTCTGGTGTGGCCCAATCAGTTTCAAAGACAAGGCATATATTATCAGTGTGTTTTTTGTTTGAATTTTGACCACAAGTATGGTGGTTAATGCAGATATAATTCCTTGTAAAAGGTTTCAGTTTGGTTTTTAAGAACTTAACACCTGTTTTGTTGTTAGAAGGGGGAAAAACTTATTCTCACGCTATTGCATTCTTGAAATGCTCCTACCACATACTTTTGAGTAGAATAAAATTTACCCGATTTCAAACTATTCATGTGTGCTGTATATATACTGTATAGCACATTGTTCGTTGGAGCATAAATGCATTGTATTGTAATTGATCCAGCAGTGGACAGAGACTGTCCAAATTAGACCATTCAAATGCACGTGCACAGTCCTCTCATTTAACATTGGATGTCTGCATATTATATTCGTGTGTTATTGTTGTGTCACAAGATTTTCGTCTTTTGTCAATCCACTGCTGGATGAGTGCCCTCCCCACGCTGCGCTGGTCATGTAGCCATACTTCGCCACGCCGGTCCAGTGCCGGTTGATTGAAAGGCAAACTTCCATATAGGGCCAGCATATACGCGTGGCAGCTGATCGACAGCAGCGCATTGCATTGCCGCAATGATGTGTGATGGCCAGGGATGCGCGTGCAGAATGACGTGCGGCAGTTAATCAATAAATCAACGATGCAATTAATGGCCGACCAATCACAATGGCACAATCTCCGCAAAGATCCCTCCGCCAGTGTCATCTGGCTGCGGTACTGCGGCAAAAAAAAACATAGTGCCCCCTTGCGCCCAGCAGAAGCAGCCATCTGTACACGTGATGAAACTAATAATGGTTCCGTGGCGCATTTACACCTCTTGGTTTTTACGAATCACAGTCTCATTACTTGTTTTACATTGACCGTGATAACGGGGGGTCGTTAATCAATTAATTCACAGTCAGTAAATCCACTGCTGGATGAAGGACTCTCCACGCAAGTGTCGCTGGTCAGGGAGGTGGTGGTATTTGACCATACTTCACCACGCTGGTCAGTGCGGGTTGGTGAACGGGAGGGTGGTGGTGGTCAGGTCCGGTTCAGATATCGCTCGTCACCGATGGAAGCCGTGGCCGGGATTCGAACTCAGGTCTCCGGGTTCACGTCTTGATGCGCTAACCGCAGCGCCACCTCTCCCTGCACGTTGGTGTTCAGAGAGGGCCAAAGGGGAACACATCTGAGCGTTGGGCAACGTGCCGAGCAGCTTGCTGCTGCTGCATTCGCTGTGAACACCCCAGGGGCAGTGTGAAGTGGGATCACAGCAGGTGGAGGTGGCCAGCATTTAGTTAATCTGCGCAACAGGTACACGTATCGATCTATCGATCGGCTGGTTGGTTCGTCGATTGCCTAATTGCGATGGGGTGTGCTCTCAATGTGGATGACTGGGTCACAGCAAGTGGAGATGGAGGTGCCTGCGTTTGGCCAGGTGAGTGACTAAGGTGAGTGTGGGTGATGGAGGTGAGTTACATAACTGTGTGGGTAATTGATCTTGCGTCATCATCATCAGCTATGATATAATCCGCTGCGATATGAAGACCTCCCCCAAACTTTCGCCATGCCTCCGGACCCTGCGATGTAAATAACGCACCTAGTGTCTGTAATGCCAGCTGATTCCATCGCTCCGTCTCTTCTCGTTCGGCGGGCGACCTCTGGGGCGCTTGGCATCTGCGTAAAAGCCATAGGACTGTCGTCTCAGTGGTAGCTGCAATGCCTCTGTGTGATATAGCTGTACCGGTAAAGGCAAGGGATGGACTGATGTGGTACAGGATGTGAAGCTGATTGGAATTGCCGATGATCAGCGGTGTCAAGATCGGCCTCTCTGGAGGAGGCTCGTGAAGGACGCTACTGGGCAGTTGGAGGCAGTCGCCCTCCAACAACAACAACGGAGGGCAGAGGAGCGACGCTCACAACAACGAGCGGAGCGCCCGGAGGCTAAAACGTAGCAAGCTTGGCACAGATGGTGCATCTGTGAGTCAACTCAAACTGAAAAGTGTGCTTGGGCAGGGTAGGTGACTGGAAGGAACGCTGGCGGATTGCCAAGAATAAATACCGCGTGGTAGCCAAAATACTGAACGTGTCCGTCGAGGAACTGGAAAGATGAAACCATCTCGGGCGAAGGTATTTAGCGGATTATTTACAACGCAGGGTCGCGAGATGCTGGTGACATGGTGAGGGTTTTTTTTTTTTATCCCTGATGATGAGCTGGCGAGTAACTGCTGCTGCTGCTGATGATGATAGTGGTGGTGTTTTATGACGATGTTGATGTTGAGGGTTTTATGATAACGATATAATTTGGTACTAAAGTGAAATATATAATGACTGATTAATAGAATGAATAATGAGGATGAATTAACGGTGGTATTGGTGGGAAGTAACAATGCCGGATTCACGATGACAATACATCTTGGATTCATCAAACGTCGATGTCAATGGAGTGATGATGATGGAGTGATGAGAGTGTTGACATTGGTGCGTGATGATACAAAAACTATTTGGATACTACCTAACGGTGACATTGGAGGACTATGGTAATGACAGATTGTTTTTGATAGTGGTAGCATTGGTCACGGATGACGATTATACAATTTGGATGTATATAATTGTTATGATGATGATAGCATTAGTAAACTTATTTTTTGGGTGGCATGGTGGTGCTGTGGCAACGCTTGTGCCTCAGAGCAGGAGTGTCTTTCCGTGTGTAATTTGAATGTTCTCCCCATTGTATGTTCTGGTCCAATTCAACTTGGGTTTTCTTCCGGGCACTCAGATATCCTCCGAGTTCTCGGTTTTCTTTTCGTAAGCCAAGAAAAAGCCAAATTAACATACAACGTAACTGGAACTATATTGGCAAAACATCCCAATGATAAAATACTGGATCTGCAAATGACTAAATTGGGATTAGACGTGGCACTATAACTGCGAAAACTTAGCAAGACCCTCCTGGGTAAACCAGCTGAGTTAATAATAACTAGGATGGGGGACGATGATTGATTCTAACTCGGGACTAATAACTGCTGCCGACTCCACCAAATATACTTTGGCGCCTCTCGTCCTCAATCTTGCCGCACACAGTCCACTCAAAACCCGCTCACGCTCACCCACTCGTCGATATTTGGGGGATTATTCAAACAGACTAAGCAGCAGATTGACGCGTGTTCTGGCTAATCGCCCGATGAAGCCAGTCGTAATCATCAGCGAAACGTCGTAGCACTCGAATTGTAAATGGCTCGTGGCTTTTACTCTCCGACACACAACCGGTGTGCTGAAGTAAACACTACAAAACGTGCCAATTTGTGTGAACACACGAATTGGCACGTTTTGTTTAAGCGACGAACCTTACTAATTGGATGTGTCGGGTGGTGGCGGGTTTAACGAAACACATTTACGCAATCTAACTCCTCCCCCCAAAAAACCCACATTGATTCATATCATCGACCAAGCAGCAGCAGCAGCATCAGCACGACTCTCCAGACCCCGAGACCACGTGGCGCCGACTATCGGCGTGCGTGCGTTACGGCAACAACCCAGCCGAGAATAACTCTCGGGGCGGGGTGCCCCTTGCCGAACACGTGGGGGCCCTCCTCCTCCCTCCCTCGCCCTCTCTTTCACAGCACGGGAAACATAAAACACCGGTCAGAGTCCACACAAGTGGAACGGAGACGAGACACGAACGCCTGAGCCCTCACCTCGCCACCCGGGGCGTATCACAAACGCAGCGGGCGTCTCGCAGCGCTTGGGGAAGCGCGTTTTGTTTGTTTGGATCGCGAAAGCGTTGAGAATAAAATAATAAAATACAAGCAACGACTCCGGCGGGACTCGAACCCGCAACCTTTGAATGTCTGCCTTCCAAACCTAGAAGTCCAATGCGCTATCCATTGCGCCACGGAGCCGTATGGTCTCACGACCGCGGCCGGTGTCTATTTGTGCTCGGACTGGCGGATTGCGTAATCGCGGGCATTGTGGAGTTAAAGAGTCGATGTAGTAAACAAGACAGGGGGGGGAGGGGGGGCAGCTCAGTGACACTGCGCTAGGGATTGTAAAGTCGAGGCCTCCTGGGGGGACACGTCATCGCCCCCCCCCCCCCTGATTCTTTCACTTCTTCACCCAATAAACGTGGAAGGTTGAGACGCTTTGATGGGATGGGCGGCAATTGTTAGGGGAACGGCGTGGGACGTGGTAGGGGAGAGCACCTCCGCCGAGGAGATGGAGCGATCAAATGAGCGCGTGTTTGTTGGATCGTGCGAGATGGGGAAGGCCTTCATCCAGCAGTGGATTGACAAAGGGCTAGAGAGTTATTGAAGTGCAGTGTACGTCTTCTTGGTTCTTTCGGTAAAGTCACGTAGAAGGGAAGTAATAAAATAATAAAAATAAAACATAATAAAAATAATTCTCACGACGTTTCGGCCACAACGCAAGCAGCCGTCCTCTGGTGAAGACCAGGTCTGCCGGGGAGACAGCGTCTGAATGTGTACGTGTCTAACAAGTAAACCTATACCGCATAAGGTACAACGTGCGAATCGAAATAAGCGATTCGTCCACTGCCGATTGGATGCATGTAACACGGGAATTAAGAATCGATGTATCGATCTATCGATGCACAGCTAAGGAACACGTGGCCACCACGTGAGATGAGCGCGCCGCGGTGACGGGATGTTAGCGACCTCGCCTGGTATGCAGGAGGTCGTGGGTTCAATTCTCTACCCTGACGCCTGCTGCTGTAGATTTGGAGTTTGCGTGTCTCTCTCTCTCTCCCCGTGGTCGCGTGGATTTTTTTCTGCGGGTCCACCGGTTTTCCCCTCCACATTTAGAATCAACATCACGCGTTGAGAGTATTTGGCTGCTATACAGTTCCACATGATGATGATAAGCAACTTCGTTGGGCCATCATTTGTGATAGCTAAGCCCTAGCTTGGTTCAAGTTCATTTATTTGGTATAGCCCTGTGAGTCATTCGGCTCTTGAATTGGATGCAACCGCAACAAACAAAAACATGAACAAGAAAACAATAGTAAAAAAGAAAATTGTAGTCTTTGGTTTAGAGATTGTGATGTCTTTTGTTTCGAGAACGCACGCAAGTTAGAGACACCATCATCAATCACATTGACTCCATAATACAAGAGTTTTTTTTGGGGTTAGATCGCGTAAATACATAAATGTGTCGTTAAACCCGCCACCACCCGACACAGCCAACTAGTGAGGGTTGTCACCTAAACAGAACGTTGCCAATTCGTCACTGGTACAGCACTAGTGTATAGTGTAGTGTATAGTAGTGTATTGTATAGTGTAGTATACTAGTACAGCACTAGTGTGTGGTGTATAGTGTAGTGTATAGTGTAGTATACTAGTACAGCACACCGGTGATTTGTAATGCGGCAATTACAAATCACGGCGCGTGTGTCGCTCTTAAAATAATTACATAAAAATTGTTTGACATTTTTCATGAAGTACCGTAGACGTCTTCACAGAAAATCTGCCTCTTCTTGCTGTTATAGTTGTCGAGCCCTGGTCATCATGGTCGATGGTGGTGGTGGTTATGGACGCGTGTTTGTTTCAGTGCAAGGTGTCAGGTGGTGTCTTCTCGGTCTCGGCGTGTGCCGGCAGGAGGCGCACTGAGCGCGGTGCTCGCCGAAGCGATGGAGAACCCCGTGAGCGAGCCGGCGTCTCGACCACGGTCGTTATTGACGGCAGGTTCTGGATCAAAGTGACGGGACGAACAAGAGGCGAGAACGGGTGGAAGAGCTGACGTTGGTGATGAGAAATCAAAGCTGTCGACCCAGATGGTTTACCCCGTATTCCTGTTGCAGGGAAATTGAGTTTTCAGGTCCATACGTCGCCACAGCCGTTTTAATAGGGCAACAACAACAACAAAATAAGTTACCTGGAGTATGGAAGGCGAGGACATGAAATGAAGGGGTCTACAAACATTACATTGGTGACATACTGAGATAGTAACAGGCACGCGCTTATTGCCCGCGCTTCATCCAGTTACTGAGGGGTTGCGCAATCAGAGGGGAGGCTGAGCTCGTCGCTGCCTCACCTCTCGTCTCTTCCTGTATTTGCAGCGGAGCTTCGCAAATTTGGCGATTTTGACTATAAAAATGATTGGAATCGTACAGAAATGACATTTATAACACAGATCAGTGGGAAAATCTTTATATTTATTTGATTTGATTATTCTTTTTTTTTACTTTTTGTAACAGCTATTTTCATTGGAGTATGACAGATGAGGCTCTGCCTCCCCTGACCTCACGCCCCTGCTTTGTAGGATGAACGTTGGCATTTATAAGGTCTGAATTGGTCTGTAATAAGGTAGGGCACTGATAAGGGGTTGTCAGGTATGTAGTGGTGAGTGTAATAGTGGTGAGTGTAATAGTGGTGAGTGTACTAGTGCTACTCCTGAAAATGGGTTGACAGGGATGAGAAATCAACGTAGCAGCGTGCCTGACGAAGAGCGTTTTTAATCAGAAACATTTCATGATTTAACTTTATAATGTAAATGAGTTTATTTCGTATCACTAAATGAATGTTGAAGGGTGTGTTGTTACTCAACGGTTTACATTAAGTAACTATTCATACGGCAATGTGCAAACTTTGTATTTAATAATTTGATGCAAACGTCACGTATCTAAATTAGTTGCATGAAGTCGACATTGTGTGTGTTGTGTTATTACATCATTGGGCAGTAAATTGCCTTCAACCTGTGTTTACTCTGCACAATTCAAAGTTCACCCACTCCGTGCCGTGCACGCGATGTTTCCCAGGTCACAGAGCGCACCGTCTTCCTCTGCATGTCGCCGCCGTTTCTCCACACACCGTCTTGAGATGTGGTCGCCCTTTATAAATACTACATCGAAATTGCGCCGCGTCTCTTTACTCGGCCATCAGTCATTACTCTGTGCTTCTGTCAGGCAATAAAGTCTTTCTTATGGGCATCACAGTGACTTGTTTTGTCTGTCCAGTCTGTGCCGCCACTTGCCAGTTTCTAATAAATCCCAGGTACTCGCCAAACTGCCAATGCGGCGATGAGGTTCAAAGCATCCGGGGTGATCGGGCTTCTACTAGTGCAGCTCCCAAGCGTCGGAACGCTTTGCCTTTGCTAATAAGACGATCAGAATCGTTAGATCTGTTTGAGATGTCTTGAAAACTGACCTCTTTCAACTGACCCATTTGCCCTGCAGGTTCTGTTTATTTCCTGCTTTCCATACACAGAGGCGCATTGTGATCTACAGATGAAATCCACCACTTTACAGAAGAAAATTATTTGAGCACTGCATGCGTACCCTGGTAGAACCAGTGGACAACTCCACACTGCTACCAGCCCGGGATGCCGTGGAATGGCGTACAACATTAAACGGACAATCGTATCCACGTTGCTTTCTTTGTTCAAACGCCAAACAAAATAAGAACAACACCCCATAACCCTTATTGAAGTCAACGAGACGCCACTTACTTTTACTTTCAAATAAAGTCATCGACACAAGGGCATCATTGTTTGCTGCTAATACTTTTACAGAGCGAGCGGTGGCAGAGTGATCAGGGCATTGCACTATTAACCTGACCTCAAGTGAGTTTCATTCCTGGTCACGGGTAAACACCAGTGATATCTGAACCGGTCCTGAGAATCCACTTCACCAACCAGCAATGGCCAGCGTGGTCTAAGTCTGGTCAAACAGCCTCCATGGTCCATGTGCAACACGGTGTGGCAAGGCCTTCATCCAGCAGTGGGCTCACAAACATTTTAACACTGTACAGTACTCAAAGAATAAAATAACTCATGAGAAAATATGTAATTTTAGTCAATGTTAAAATATGTTTTTCACGCAGTCTTTCAATTTCACATCTATGTGGATTAGTGCTTAATGAACTGTTTGGAAAATGTGAATATAATTGGATGCCCTGTTAATCGCATCGTGCTGAAATGCCAAGTTCCGTTATTAACTTTATACTGCTTGGTTTAATTTCAATTCAGACCCTTTGTCAATCCACTGCTATTCCAGCAGCCTGTTTTTTTATACTATCAACATTTTACCAATACCAGTCACAGGAGCGTCTGTATAAGCAGGCTGCCTCTGGATCGGTTTTAACACTGCTGGGTCTCAGTCGGACTTTGGAAGAAAAAACACGTCCTGCAATAGTGAATTTTCTGCTGAGATTGTTATTAATGAAGTCCCCCTTTGTCAGACACGTGGCAGGGAAGCTCATTGTCCATTAGCACCGGGACATAAGATAAAGGTGTTTGCTTTTTTTGTGCACAGATAATGCAAATTGAGTCTGCCCCACTGCTCCCACGCAAAGTGCGTGCCCTGAAATTCAAGATTATATTCAGGGACTCATCGACTTATCAACGTTAGACTTAGAAACTTTAAGAGATACGAACAAACCTGTCCGTATGTCCAGTTGCCTGTTCGGACCGAGTCATAAGTTCAACTGCCGCGCAATAGATGGCGTTGGTGGCACCTACATCTGCAGAACGTGAAGAACCAGTGACATCTACATCTGGAGGAGTTCATACAACTTTTAAAACCATTCCCCGTGTTTATTGTACATGCCATACAACATGTTTGGAATCGACAGGAGTAAAGTTGGATTTCGAAAAAATCGACTTACGAGCACACCTCTGGGAAGATAACTTGTTCGTAAGTACAGGAGTTCCTGTATATATGTACTTGACCTGTTTTCAATTCCCACGAGTTCCATTAATTCAAACTCGAGTACTTTGTGTAATATATCGGACACACATGTGCATCGTACTCCCCGAAAACCTATCCTGCTTTGAAACAGGATGGAAGTGTTATTCATCGTTTATGTTGCGTCAAAGTCATTTCATTTAGGACACGGAGAATGAGAATTGTGTGTAAATAAGCTACATGTGACACGTTTCATCCAACCACAGTTAGAATCGGCACGGTACTGTAAAAACATTGTGTAAATTGCAGCACACGGTGCACTAAGTGTAAATAAAAAGATAAATCATTCTACTTTGGAAAACGCTTATTTGATGGAATACATATGTAGCCATGTAAGCCGAGTTATCCATCCTGCTTTTCATTGGAACCCTGGTAATATACAATAACTGTGTGCATATCTTACATACCATCACCCGATTTAGTCTTTATCGATTTCCTTCAGATAATGATGCACTATATAATGATATATGATACACTATATACACGATATAATGATACACTATGCCACATGGCCCTTTGTTAATCTGCTGCTGGATGAAGGCCTCCCCATACCACGCAAGGCATGGGGGTTATTTGACCATACTTCACCACGCTTGTCAGGGCAGGTTGGTGAATGCGGGGAACATAGACGGAACATACTACACGTGGAACAACGGATGTTGCAGCACTATCCTCTGCTAGCAACATAGCCTGGCAGCCTATAACACCTATTTTACATGATGGTCACCCATCTGAGCACTATCCAGGCTCAACCCTACCCTGCTTCACACATCTAATGATATTTGATGCAACCCAGGTGCAATATGGTCTATCATCTGCTGCATCGCTGAACCAACCACTGGAACAAGGTCCATGTTAAAGAGGAATCACACAAGAGTTACCTTGCCGTCATCGGCTCATAAACGAGTGACAGTTGGCAAATGACAGGAGCAGTCGCTAGTCTTGATATTGATCTGGAGGTTTGCTTTAGTATTGGATCACGAGGTCTTGTTCGAGCCCAAAGTGGCTGAGTGTTCTGGCCACTAGACCAGAACTAACTCCGAAATAATCGCAGCATGCGTCAATTCCCACGGCTCGCCGGGATAAATTATTTACTCTGCAGATGCGCTGCATGACGTGTCTATGTGCATATAATTCTACTCCCCAGTGAACACAAGACGCTCATATGGAACTTTATAGCATCTGAGTAACACGTGTCCCTGTGCCCCCAAATGCAGATTGCTCACTAAATTCGCGTAACTTATGAATAGTGAGTAGAAGTAATACACTTACTGTGTACATGTATGGCCAAGTCACCATCAACGTGCCCAATGTCCTCGGATCTCGGAGGCTAAGCAACATTGAGCCTGGCAAGTACTTTGCTGGGCAACCACCAAGGCTTGTCAGGTGATGCGTGCCACCTCTCTTGTGTACCTGATGGGGTTTCTCCAGCTTCTCCAGTTTCCTTCCACACAAAGTCAAACATTTTTTTTCTTTTTTCAAAATGACCATTGGACAAACATCTCAATGTATGCGGGACCCTCCTGAGAAAAAAAGGGTCCTGGAGACTCGGCGGGTAATTCCTGGGTTAAATGGGAACTGGGATTTGCATGAGTTGTGTGGTTAAAATGTTGCGACACAAAACTGAAAACCACGAAAATTTTACACATCAGAAGTGTGAGAATGAGAGGGGGGGGGGGAGTAACCCCATGCCGTGAAAAATAAGAAGACCAAATGGGGGATGTCACTGCCGCATGCGGCCACCTGGGCATGCCACACATTTTCATAATTTATTATTGACGCTGCACCTCCTCCTCCCAGAGAGTACGTCTCGAGGTGACTGAGCAAAAGGGGATATTGTTTGAGATACTTCCCGAGTAAGGAAGCCATTGCAGACCCAATAAGTAAGACGTTCAAAAACAATATAGTACTGTGAAGACAATATACACGACACATTGAGAATAGACAAAATTGAAAAGGCTATAATTTTTCTAACTATTTTGCCCTGGGTGCTTCGCATCCGAGGTCCGAGGGCCCCCCTCACATCAGAAAGGTCATCTGGCGCTTTGACCCGGGTTTCCAGAAACTGTGCCTTTTCAGCACGCTTGGAGGTCGCCGGTTCGATTCAATCTCCCGGTGTGGAAAAAAAAAATTGCCAATGTTTTTAATTATCTGTCCACCCAGCAGTATAAAGGGATGCACCACAGACCAGCGGCAGGGTGAGTTGTGTGCTGGGGTCAAGTGTGGGTACTTACACCTCTTTGAAGACGTCCACGAATTGTGTAGGCCAATGTCCTGTACCCTCTAGATCGGGGTTGTCAAACTCAATCTGACAGCGGGCCGGTTTGGATTCAAATTCACCTCCCGTGGGCCACACAGTTAGTCTTATGAAAACGAAAAGCACAATTCGGTCTTAATTTACCGATTCAAAATCCGAAAGCGCGGGAAAAGAGAGTTGATTATTTTTTTTGCGGCAGGGCGTGCCAAATCCCCTCCTCCGTTTCAATGTTCGGTTTAAATGAAGGTTGCATTTCGGTAAAAACTTTAAAAAAAGAACGTAAAAAATTAAACTAAGTCGTACAAAATTATAACATGCGGTGGGTCGGAGGAAAAGGTTGGGTGACCGGGTTTGGCCAGCGGGCCGTGTGTTTGACACCCCCTGCTTTCGAGAGTGGCTCTCTAAGGCTGTCCTTCTATTTACACTCTGCACGAGAATTGCAGGGCGACACTTTAACATTTCTACCTTTGTACCGTGTCCGTCAAAGCTCCCCAGAGGGAACTCCCCCCATTCTCCTCTGCTTATCGATTGCCTCCCGCTATAAGATGAAATGCATCCACTTTATCTGCACAGCAGCTTGAGATGCGGTCACATTTAGAGGCGATGTTAACACAATGCGTATCCTGTGGTGATCCCTGTTAACACGCTGAAACAAAGATGTGCATTTGAAGAGATTCTGGATATAGTACAGGGTAATTGTGCTGACATGAAGTCCCAGTCCATCAAAAACACCCTCTCACGACCGTAACTGCCACAACCAAAAAAAAATAATCTTTAACAGGAAACGTAGCTCAGCCAAGTGTATGTTTCACACTGTATCAACGTGGCGTTTTGGGTTCCTCAAAATCAAAACAAAAATGCCCTCGCTTTGCCGACAAGTGTCCACCGAGCTCTGCGAGTTGGACAAACTTCGCACGGAGCACAAAACGTCACGTGTCCTATTCGCCGGCGCGCGGGGCCTGTGGCACATGCGGATTGTGTGAGCGAGATCGGTGGTGATCGCACAACAGTTGAATGCCGCGCACAAAAGATTGCAACGGGGTGCGTGTTGGTGGTCAATTACTCGGGGCGGATGCGTGATGGTCGTATATGCGACGTTGTACCGTACACAATGTTTACGAGGACTACCCATTGTGTCAGAAAGGAGGCAATTACCAATAGCCGATGGTAACCAGGCAGCTAGCGGGGTGCAAGGTGTTATCCCGCAGTGGTTAGCGCACTGCGCTGGGAACTGGCACGCTGATTTCGATTCTCGTGTCACGGTCAACATCAGTGGCGAGTGCTGTCTGACCCGGTCCTGACCCCCACCCGCCCGCCCCCTCTACACTGCTCTTTCACTAATCTGCACTGAGCATCTGACCATAGCGTGGTGAAGTATGGCCAAACAACGACGTGACCGACATGGCGAGGCCTTCATCCAGCGGCGTATCGACGAAAGGGCTGTAAATTCCTACTTTTATTATTTGCTTGCTGCAGGAAGTCGTGGTTCAGATTTCCTCTGGGCCAAGACTCTAAGGTGGGATAAATCAAGTACACCAGGTTGACAAAGGCGGTGGCCGTGTGTGGGCCTCATCCACACTACCCCATCCTGTGGCAACAGTCTGTCCACGTGAATCTGTGTGCGTGTGTGTGTTAGGGTGGCAGCATTGATCAGGTCACAGCCACACCAATTCCGGTCAATCTAAGTTCGATTTTCGGGATCAGTGTCGCGTACAAGGGCCTGCTCAGAACCTCCCCGAGGTCTAACCCCGTATCAATCGAGCATTTTGCAGGTAAATATCAGTAAAAGGGATGCAAAGGTGGCCGCGGTGGTGGTGCCCACGTGAATAATGTACTGTAGATTCATAAACTAAGCAGGTTTGAGCCTAGATCGTGCTTTTAGACGGGTGACCGCCATGCACACACAGGTTGCTATCGGCTGCGACGTGATAAACAGCAAAGAGAGGCAGTGCACCAACATTGTTGTACGGTATTTGTATGCGCCTATACGTCTGTGTTGCCCCCCGTCGCTTTCTCCAACCCGCGCGCACTCACTGACCAGCGTGGTGAAGTATGGTCAAAGTAGATTATAACCCCCTGGGGCGAGGGAGATGCCCTCATCCAGCAGTGGATTAGCACGAGTGCTGTACATGTGCAATGAATGCGCAAAGGGGAAATAGTGAGTGGTGACTTCCTAGTTGTAACAAACGCCAGATAGAACCCCAGCCACCCACCCGGGCCCCCCAAAGCTCACTTCCCCAATTCACCCGCTCTGTCCCTGGCACCACCCAAAGTGGACACCACAGCGCTACCGGTTACTTCTTTCGGATAATAAAACGTTCTGGAAAATAAGACTCACCTCAAAATGCGTTCCCAACCACACCACACCACCCTCCCCTCCCCATGGTGTCAAAAAGGTTTTGAAACATTTTCCCCATACACACACAGACCGACTCAACGTTTGCTTTTGGTTATAATAAGTTGTGGCGAGTAAGAGACATCTCGCAGCCGTGTGGCCCGGTGTCTCTCAAAGTTCATACGAATTCTTCCCACATACACAAAGACACACACGCGAATCGGATTATTAGAAGCACCAGTCCACCCCCCTCCCCCTCCATATTTTAATTTCAAAATACAGAGGTTGGGGTTGGCAAAACAGTGCGTCTTATAATCTTGCAAATATACAGATTGCTCAGCTAAATCTAGGGCACGTCTTTGGGCTGCCAATGGTGGGGGGGGGGGAGGTTTGTGGGTGGGTGGTGGGTGCGTGGTAGTAGTGGTGGTGGTGGTCAACCCTCGTTATTTATTTAATTGCCTTACTTTGAGGAAGTTGCAATTCACCAACGCGCGTCTTCCTCTTTACATACAGCAGGAGGAGCTGGGAGGGGTGGGGGTCCCACGTTAACACGAGCCATAGTCAGAGAGAGATTAACCCACGTAAACTACTTTATCTCTCTCCCTATACACCACCCTTCTCTCCCCTCTCTCTCCCGCTGCGCCTCCTTTCACGTTGACCTTCGACCGCACCGACGAGCTGAAGCTTTTCTCTTTGGGTCAGAACCTCACGAAGACCGCCCGGATTGTTCATCGAGACGCGTCTCCTCTCCGACTCAACGTTTTGCCGGCCTGGTAACAATTTTTTTGTTTCATTGCCATTGTCGCAAATGTTTCGCACGCGATTGCGTGAACGGTACGTTGTGTAGCATTTATTTGTTCGACGATGCTGCCACTTATTTAGCGCGTCGCGCACCGAGGGGCCATACGTGACTTCGTGTCTTCTCGTTGCTGGTCAGATGTTAAGGTGGCTCGGCTCTCTTCTGTTCATTTTATTATCAGAAGAAACAAAATCTAGCCCCGAACATGATCACAATTGTCATATCTATGTGACTCAATTATCTTGTTAACAATTGCTACTCTATGTTTGCTGTTACGTGCATAATTGTTGTTGTTCTTTTGACGACTGCATACAGTGCGTGTGTTTATCCTGAATACTTCCCGCATTGACCTGCGTGGTGAAGTATGGTCAAATGACCCACCATGGTCCGCACGGTGCAGGGCAGGCCCTCATCCAGCAGTGGATTGTCATCCAGCATTGGATTGTCAAACGGCCTTCGTAGTCTGTGATTGCCCCTATCAAAGACCATCAACACCAACAATGTGTAAAGTGTATGTAACTGCTTGCAAGATTGTCGCACGCATGTTGAACTTCTTTCGCACCGTACGTAGCCAACCGAGCTCATCAGAGATACGGCGGGGGAGTAATTTGACGGAGATAATTTTGATCGCGTGCTATTTAACGTGCGCTCGTAAAGCGGTTGGCGCTGCACTGCGATACGAACTCGACGAACTTCAGTTCTATTTATTCTCGGCCACGGCCAGGATCAGTAGCGAGTGATATCTGAACCGGTTCTACTCCCATCTCCTTAACCCACTGACCAGCCCCCGTCGAACGACCTCTAATTATGACCCACACCGCGTGGTGGAGGAGGGAGCCCTTTAATGTTGATATAGAAAGGGCCGTGGATTGATATTGTTAAGGAGTCGGGCGCATCGCCGTGGTGTGCGCGTGGCATGCTGTTACCAACGTGTGTTAAATAACCAAATAGATGGCCCAATTGTTTGGGCTTGATGTGTCTTCAATCTGCTTTGTTTTATTAATTGAACTGCTGGAACTGCTATTGGTGGCGTCCGAATGTGACAAGATATGATCTCAGACATTCTCCTGATAAGCGTGGGGTTGAATAAAGTATTTTCCAAATGTTAGCTTTCTAGGACTTCTGCCTCATTAGAAAATGCATTGCTTGCTCAATAACAACAGCTTATATGCGTTAGACACCGTACACTACTGTATATTGCATTACTAATATATAAAGTACGTAATAATGTAGCACTATATAATGGTAACGTAATTACCGTAATCTCTGAACATTGCACCTCACTGAGACTCAATAGTATATCTTGATCGGGTACCACGTGGGGATAGATATATGTCCAGTTCCTAGAAGTACTGTACCGAATAGCTTAGCTAGGAGATGGTTTGCCCTCTCTGGCGATGTTATAATGACGGCTTATTGTTGAAAACGTCAGTCAAGTACACATTGCTATCATGCGGAGTTAATGAATAATGAACTGAAGTTCGTCGAGTTCGAGTTGATGAGTTAATGATGACGTCACCCTGCTGCTGCTCTATATAAGAACGGGAGACACAGGAGAGCCTCACCATTCTGGCGAATTGCCCGATGATGCTGATTGCAATTACCAGCGAAACGTCGTACTCAAATTGTAAATGTTGTTGCTTCAACACACCGGTGGGCTAAAGCAGTGAACTATTTGTCTTTGTCAACGTGACACATTTTTACTGATTGGCCGTGTCGGGTGGTGGAGGGTTACGACACATTTATAAATAAACGCGATCTAAACCCAAAAATCGTTGATTATGAATTAATGAATAGTGTTTGTATTGATTGTACTTCTGCTTGCTTATCATTCACAACACATTCCCTATTTTATTTAATCTATTTTATTAGGCTGTGGTTTTTTTTCTAACGTACGTTTAATGTGTACAGTGTTTATGTGTATATTAGCCTTAATTTCTTACTTATGAGGCTCATTAGACCACGTTATTACAAAGCACAGTTGCTGAGCACAGACTCAAAGTCCAAAAGAGCCAAATGGCCAGAAACAAACAGCCCAATTGAAGGTGTCATTTCAAAAGTGACAACAATTTAGCGAGGTTATACGAATACGGGAAACAAGACCATGTGAGGCAGAGCATGGAAAGAAGCAGAGAGATAAGTCAGTTTATTATGAAGCAGAGATAAGTGTTGTGACTTGCCGTGTGGTGGTCGAACACAGTGTGGCCTGGTGGATCGAGTGATCAACATGGGTGGAGGAATCAATAAAGTGGAAAACATAGGAACAGTAAAAAAAAATTATTTTGTTCCTGGATTATTACTTGAATATGGGACACCTGATTTGGAACGGCATCCATGGTATGGGGTAACCGTGGTAGCAGCGCTAAAAGAGTGAAACGGAGATGACAGACCGCCTGTGAGCAAGTGACAGGAGCGAATCAGTGAGCGCTGTAACATCGGTCAAATGTTGAAATCTTATCAAGATGGCACGGGGCGCTCCGTCCCAAATATGACAACTTTGCCCAAATGTACACTCGGTCTAGGAGCCGTCCGAATGTTCAACTCTGCCTAGGAGTCGATGATCGTTCATCGGAGTTAACGAAACCTTGTGGTGGGGGGGACCACTCCTGTCGTATCCTCTCTCCCCACCGGCCGTGCAGAAGCCATGGAGGAAGAGGGCAGGTTGTGGCGGCAGTGTGCCGCGTGGCTGGTGGCCTGCAGGGTTCTACCCCCCAGCCACCGTGCCGTGCAGGATGACTCGCAGGTGTTCGAGCTCGCCCAGGTGCTGCGGGACGGGGTCCTCCTCTGCCAGCTGCTCAACAACGTCGAGCCGGGCAGCCTGCCCCTCAAGGAGATCAACCTCCGTCCGCAGATGTCCCAGGTGAAGGGCGCGACCAGGTCACGTGGCGAAGGGAATCTATAATAGAGGGGAGGGGAGGTTTGGGGGGGTTAGAGCGCGTAAATATATAAATGTGTCGTTAAACCTGCCACCACCCGACACGGCTAATTAGTAAGGTTTGTCACGTGAACAGAACGTGGTAATGAGTTACTAGTACAGCAACACTGGTGTGTTGGAGAGCAACGACACGTTTGTATTTACGCGGAGCTAACCAACAACAAAATGTGATGATAATGGTCGCGAAAGCCTACGTGTTAAACAGAAGGGAATCCGTTCGTAGACTTTCCGTACGGGGGGTGCAGGTTAATCTCAACCACTTTGGGTTGCCACCTTTGAGGTGGTGCATAAACCGGGCACAGGTCGCGAGAAGGAGAGTGTCTCGCGGTAGCAGAAGAGGAGAGAGCTACGCGGTAATGCGTCGGCTAGAGTGGTGTATCATTACGCAACTGTGCAAAAAAACGGGGGACTTTTAATGTCCTGGGAAGGTTTTTCAGATTTCCCACGACAAAGAGGATGATGCTGGGAAAAAGCAGGATAGGTAGCGACTCCGGTGGCTACATGAGGCCTAACTACTTGGAAATGGCCCGCACACGATATTTAATCGTCACTGCAAACATTGTAAGCTGCACTAATCTGGTACTGGAGGTGAATATTGTCAATCTGACAACAAGCCTGAGTTGAAAATGTTCACGTGCTGAGTCACTGCAGTTACGGAAGTGACTGCAGTGTGTGTTGCTGTGTGGTTGCCTGCCAAAGGTAATTGATTGAAAGTCCAATCCGACCCACAGGAAGAAAATGGCTCCACTCATTTTGCATCCTAATTTGGTGGAGCAGCGTGGGGTTGTGGGTGGTTGGTGGCGGTGGTTGATGGTGATTGAGTGGATGCTGTGTGGTGGCGGTGGATGGTGTTGGTGGGTAGTGGTGGTGGATCGGGGTGCCGTGGTGGCGAGATGTCAACTACCTCGCCTGCTATGCAGGAGGTCGTGGGCTCGATCCCGACCCTGACCCCTGCTGTATATTTGGAGTTTGCGTGTCTCTCTCCCCGTGGTCGTGTGGATTTTTATCCGGGTTTCCCCTCCGCATTTAGAAACGTGCGTTTAGAGTGTTTGGTTACTATAAACTTCTACGTGATAAGCAACTTTTTTGAGCTATCATTTGTGGCCAGGTCGTTTCTGAAAAAAAGAGCTACATAGCTCAGTGGGCATTGCCTGGTAAAATTTAATTTAAAAAATTCACATAGTTTAATAGTAGCGCTGGGTGTAGGTTGCGAGTGGGCCGTGGTAGTTGTATCGGGGCAGCGACATGGCCCAGCGGTCGAGCGTTCGCCACTTGCTGGAGAGGTTCGCGGTTCGAACCCGACAGGCCACCCCGGTTACTACGGCGGGTGCGTTGACCGTGAAATACCGCGCGTCGCCCGCTTCACGGAGAATGTTCAAGATCACCTGACATCATTCGAAATGTGGCGCGTGTGCCAGAATCGCGGACCCAAATTTGACAAGTTCGAAGAGTGACCCCACAAATTACCCTCAGCAACTTCGACCGCCCCCCCCCACCACCACCGTGAAACTCCTGCAGACCGCAGTCCGTGAAACGCAGCGCCTTCGCGACAGCCTCGCGCTATTAAATATGGCGCGAATGCACAAGTGTACAAAATAATGATCGCGTTGGTAGCGGTGGTGGTTGGGGAGGGTTGTGGTTGGTTGGTAGCGGCGGTGGGTTGTGCTTGATGCCGGCGAGTGGTGGTGGTCGTGTGGGCTGTTGGCTTCGTGGCCTGGGGGAGGGGGGGGGCCCGCGGGCTTTTTTGGTTCTGTTGCGTTTTCTGGATTTCCCTGGGGCCCTGCTGGTGCTGAGACTCTTTGCTGACTGTTGGCTGAACACGCCGCTGTGTTCCCGCTTTGGTGGTGTTCATCCCACGTTGATACCATTGCTCCCTCTATTCTTCCCCCCTTGATCTCTTCTGAGAGATTATTACAAACACGTGTGTATTCTTGGTTCTTTTGGTAAAGTCACGTAGAAGGGAATAATAAAATAAAAAAATGTTTATATATTTAAATAAAAATATTTATATAACTTTATTGCATTATTTTATTATTTCCCTTCTACGTGACTTTACCGAAAGAACCAAGAATATGAATCCCTGCAGTCACGAAAGCTTTAAATCAAAATGTAACACGTGTGTGTTTAGTTTGTTCAACACGTAGGCTTTCGCGACGAATATTATCCATAGTAGAGGTTTTGTTGGGTTAAATCGCGTAAAAAAACCTCGATTATGGATGTCTTTAGTTTGTTGTCCTTTCCCCCGCAACTCTGATTAGCATGGTTGGCTACGTACGGTGTGAAAGAAGTTCAACATACATACCTATTTATGTGCATGTTTGAATTTCCTGGATATTCTCAAGTCCATTTGAGATGTCGCAGCATTTTAACAACAAATAAGTGCACGCACATCCTCATTCTTGTGACCAAGCGAGCCTGAATATTTTAATTTTTTCAAGGGAGACCTCAGATACAAACAACAACGATGGGAGAAAATATCGATAAACAGTGCAGTACATGGGTATCATGGGTACAAGGCAAATTCAGTGTGGATGAAAAAAAAGCGTTGCATTAAATTTGATTACGGAAGTAATAAGACCTATTTTTTGTATTTAGAACATATGGGCCTTCACATCATACAGGATTTAAAAAGCACTTGCATTAATTTTACCAAAATTATGAATCTCAATGCTTCTTCAGGATTGACGGACACAGTGTAGAGTCTAAGTGTAACAATAATATAATTGATTCTCAAATTGAATGCCTATCCTTAATCATGACAATTCGTTGAGTTCGTGTGCTAGGGTAGGTGAATTGTTAAATGCTTTATATTAAATAAGGATTACTTAAAGTGCTCTGTCAATCCATTGGTGGATGAAGCCTTCTCGACACCGTATCAGTCATAGGGATTTTTAGACGATACGTCGCGATCCTGGTGGGTGTGGGTTAAGTGAGGGGGGCAGAAGGGGGCCGATTTAGACATTGCTCACCACTTATGTTCGCCATGGCAGGGAATTAAACTCTGAACGCCGGGTTCATAGCATCGTGCGCTAACCACGAACCAACACGCCAATGCACCACTCCATATACGGCACGGGGTTTCAAAAGTGGTGAAATGCCCACGACTTGTAATGCGTAAGAGTACTTCAATGTTAAGCATGTCCTTAGCATTCCGTATGCTTTGCGTATCACTGTGCGCGTCCAGTACATTGTATGGATGATTGTGGTTTCAGTGATTGTTGTTGAATTCTAGTGAAACAGCAGTTGCCTTTTTTTACGCTCACAACTCGAAAAGTCCGAAAAAAATTATAAGCAATTTTGAACCCTCATACATTATGGTGTGGCAGTACATTTGGTTCATTCCTCGGGCATGGTTAGCCCCAAGTTTCACATTGTTCTACTCTTTAACGTTGAATGCTTACACATAACGACATCCCCTTCGTCAGTGAACCAAGTAATTCACCCCTCGTGGAGTGTGGTGCTAAAGCCTACCGGGTTTTGCCGAAGTATCAGTGCCAGATTATTTTAGTAGCAAAAGTAGCTACAGATGTAGCTACAGGCTCCGCACTTTAAAATGCCCCGCGCTAAATGCTTTCAAGCTATCAATTCTGGTTCAGTGATTCTGCACTTGCTCTATTACTATAGTACTATACTGCCTTTAAGGTTAGCGATTTTTCGTATTATCTGGCTGTATACGAAATGAAAAAATACAATAACTTTACAATGCAAGTAAAACATCTGTGTTTTAAGTATTTATGTGTTTTTATATAGGGCCCCTTTATAACATATGCTACAGGCCATGCACTAGCTTAGTCCTGGCACTGCGAAGTACTGCATGGCCCACACCACGCAGGCCAACATCCACGTTGTGTTGTTGTTTTATTGTGCTCGTACACCACTGCCAACACTGTATCATCAAATGCACTGAATGTTTATACTGTGCTGGGCATTGACCACACACTTACATAGATCATTTTACTGACACGCACGGTTCGTATAAATACGAAATGTTTACTGATATCAGGTCAGAGTCAAAATGTATCAACCAATGTGTTCTCTTTTTTTACATCACCATTTCACGAGGCAGTCACAAGGAGTGCGTTGTGTGAATCCTTTGTCGCATTGAAGAACAATGAACAAAACACTCAGGCATTGCGATGCATTGTTGCTAATCCAGGCTTAGCACGAAATTAAAGACCCATTAACTTCATACGCACAGAATCCATTGCAGAAATTGCTTCATTTGCTAGGTAGACCCGTGGCTAAGTGTGCGTGTAATTTACGTCTCGGCAGCGGTCATTACATTTTCTGGAAATAACTCGTTAGCACGACGCAGTTAAAACCGATTCTTGTACGAAATGCCTCTGTCGTTTCACTCGCGCGAATCTTCTCAGGGAGATGGATGTTTTGATTTGAGCTGGGAGAACCCAAAGTGCTGTGAAGCTGTCATACCCAAGTCTCCAGCCCCAGCTGTGGGTCGGCAAAAGCGGAAAATAACGGAGGACGTTTGTCTCCACAATGTGCATCTGACAGGCTACTTGAAAGCTTGCTTTTGGCTAATTCACTGTGATAGCTGCCGTGTGGATCAATACACGCCGGGTATTGATCTACGCCCATGTACATCGTCAGCCGTGCTCTATGCACTGCTGGATGAGGGCCTCTCCGAGCCGTCGCCATCTCTCGCGGCCTCACGAATGCAACACGCCGCACGAGTTGATCTTGTCGCTCCAATTGTGCGGGTAAATTGCTGTACTCGTGATACCCGGTGACCTAATGTGAATCCCAGCCACGGCTCACATCAGTGGCGAGTGATGTCCGCGCTGGTTCTGGACACACCGCCCACCTTCACCAACCCAGGCACTGACCAGCGTGGTGAAGTAGGGTCAAACAAACCCCCGTGACTGATGCTGCTGTGCAACAGTGGATTGATACACGGGCTGTAAATGATCATTGTCACTTGTTTTTTGGCTAACCATCAAACAAAGACAGTCGCCACATCGCGCAGTTTCTGGAACGTTCTTCCTTCGGATATTCGGAAGTCACTGGGAGCTAATGCACATTTACATTTAGATTGAAAACTAGTTTCTATAGAACTGCTTTGTGTGTTTAGTTTGTTGTCCTCCCCCGCATGTCCGGTTAGCACGGTTGGCTAAGTACGGTGCAAAAGAAGTTCACCATACATACATTATGACTATAATTGTTCTTATGTTGCATGCACATCACCCTTTGTCGATTCCATTGCTGTGTGAGGGCCTCCCTCTCCGCCGTGTGTTCCTGTCTCTAATTTCGTAGAGGTCATAAGACATTGACATCAATTCACTGACGGCACGACCTTTTTGCCTCGGCAGAAGGGGTCGCGTGTACCGATCAGGATCTTTGGTACATATTTATATTGAACTTTTTTCGCACCGTACGTAGCCAACCGTGCCAACCGGAAGTGCATGTGGAAGGACAAACAAATCCAACGCAAAAAGCAGGATCTGTAAGTGTCGTGCAACACTAAAGGGTCACCAGTGTGCCTGTGTGACGGCTGCAACTCGCAGTGAAAAGAAACGAAGAGGCTTTCTCAGCCCGTAATCTGAATTAAATGAGTCAGAATCGCACTCACGAGCATGTGGGTGGGTGCGTGTGTGTGTGTGTTGGGGAGCAGTGGCACGGTGGTTAGCGCGCTGGTGATTATCTGAACCGGTCCTGGGCCTCCCCTAGGTCGACTCAGCCTCAAATGAGTAACCTGGTGCGATGTGTATAGTGCCGGCCACCCACCCCCTCGTGTGCCGTGCCGGTCTTCATAGGTGCTGCTCGCTGACAGCAGTTGAACGAAAAGCCTGTTCAGGCTATACGGGGGATTTGCATCTTGTGCGAGGGCGTGCGTGTATTTTTCTGTTCGCGGGCACCGATGTGTTTGGTTGTTATGAAGTAACGTGCCAAGTGGGCGACAAGAGAGATAAGGCGGTGAGGTGGTCAAGTTAGCGATGAAAATTCTGCCGGCGGTCCAGGTCGCATGCGGAGAGGGATAGGGTTTGCTATCTGCAGCTAACGTGATCTGCAACAGTGGAAAACATGCCCCCCACCTCATTACTCTCTACACAATGCATCTCTTAACAATGTCTGAATGCATATGTATGTATATCTAATATTATACTGTAACAAAAGTTATCGGTAAAGACAGATCTGAATGTCCTGTAAGTTTTAACTTCCGTATTTTAGTTATAATAAATATTAATTCAAATTTTCTAATAAATAACACGAATTTGATGCCTCCTTGCTGAGCTGCTTTGGAATTCTCTGCACCGAACTGCTACCATCCAATAATTGACAAAGGCATGAGGCCATCGCTACGACCACGGCTATTGCTCCCATTAACGTCACTCATGGATTCTTCCATTCATGTTGAATACTCCGAATATATAGGCATCGTCAGGGTAGTTGTCGGCGAGGGAGATAAACATCTCCTCGCTACCGTGAGATAGTATCTCTGTGTAGATGTTTGAAAGAGTCTGTGTGGATGTATGTATGTGTGGGGAGTGGTCATGTAGTGGTTAGCGGAACTGCGCTACAAACCCTGCAACAGGGGATCAATTCCCACTCACAGCCACCAGTGACGATTATCTGAACTGGGCCTTGGACCTCCCCTAGGTAGACTCAGCCTCAAATGAGAACCTCGTGCGGTGTGTAAACATCGCCACTTTGGAGACAAAGGTGGCCGGGTGTGGGGCCGCAAGTTGCCCCAATAGTCTGCGAAGGCTATACGGGGGATCTTTGGCTTAGTATACGCATGTGCGGGTCGTGGAGGTTATTTCACCATACTCTACCGTACCGGTCAACGCAGGTTGGTGTATACGGGGAACATGCACGGGCTGCAAATGATTATTTTGCACTGCGACCATTTAAGTTAAATATTATTCGTGTATGTGCATTTATATATATGTGTGTGTGTGTGTAATGTACGTAGCAATATTCACGCATTGCGTTTTTATGAACTTGACGTCCGAGCGTGCGGCTGTTCTTCCCCACCATTCTCCCAACCGCTCCTCCCACAGTTCCTGTGCTTGAGGAACATCCGCATGTTCATCAACACCTGCGTCAACAGATTCGGGATGCACCACGCTGAGCTCTTTGACCCGTTCGACCTCTTCGAAGTGCGGGATTTCGCAAAGGTAAGACGAGCACCTTTGGTTGCCGACCCCTGATCATGGTCAATTCACCACCGGATAAAAAAAATCTTACGATGTAGCAGACCACCTGGACACATGGACGCGAGTTGATTTAACCCACCTCTCGGGTGCGATTCCTCTCGTTTGGCTGCCATTCCGTCGTTAGACTCGACCACCGTCGTTCTAGCCATGGATGTGTCCTGCCAAAGGCACGATTCTCTTTAAAAGTCAATGTGATTGATGATGGTGTCTCAAACTTGCGTGCATTCTTTAAACAAAGACCTCAAATATCAATAAAATAAAAATAAAATAAAATTTCTACCAAGTAAGGTCTACTGAGCTCCATAGCTCTTTTTCATAAGTGACCTGGCCGCCACAAGTTATAGCTCAGTGAAGTGGCTTATCTTAATGTGGAAATTTATAGCAGTCAAATACTCTGAACGCATGTTGATTCTAAATTTGAATGGGAAAAAACGGGGGACCCCTTAAACTGGTCCCAGGTTTAATCCTGGTCCCAGCTGCCAGTAGCTGGATGAATTAGTGCCACCCTTTGACATGGCTTCGATAGTGATGCCAGTAATGACTCAAGTTCAGCACCAGTGTATGGGTGCCCACATTCCATGAGTCACAATAGTCTCGAGGGTTGGCCTCAAATTCCATTCTGTGCCCTCCCCTCCCCCATCCATCTCCCCTTCCTCCCCTCTTAAAATATTTTAGAATTAATTTTAATGCAGGCATGGCTCAACGTGGACCATTTAAAACAAACGTCTGTTATATGTATCGCATTACACAGTGTGCTTCTTCTTAACACTAACACGGCTGGAAAGCTGAGCCAAGTGAGGGAAGTCACGTCTGGTAACGCTGCTAAAAGCATGCTGCGCGATTTATTTATGCATTCTAGCCAAATACTGATCTTGCTTGCGATCTCCCATGGGGGACACGGTCTCATTGGTGCAACTGAGCCAGCCCACTTGAATTGAATGTGGAAACTTGTCATTCATGCATGGCCTTTTTGCTTGCACAAAAACACCTGGAAAATCCCTGACATGTGAAGTTGTGATTGCTCAGACAAACTTTTCTTCTTGTTCCATCACCGATAAGACACCACCACTGGGGGTTCTAAAACAGTTACGTCGTCTCTTGCCATTCGGCAGCTGAGACATGTTTGTAATGATAAATGCACTGGCATTTAGGAAGCTAAATTGAGTTGTATGACCGTACTTCACCGTGCTGGGTTGGAGAAATGGGCGAGGGTCCAAGGCCGGTTGAGATGTTACTCGTCGCTGAAGTTAGCCCTGGCTGGGAATTGAACTCAGGTCTCCGGCACCATAGGGCAACGCGCTAACCACTCCACTACCACTTCACCCCTCCACTCGCTGAGACTGTAACACCCTAAATGTAGGAGGAAGAAACGAGACACGCGTGTGCTTGCACACATTCCCCATGTAGCCTTAACAGACTGTTGGGGCACGTGCTGTTGACATACCGCATCAGGTACTCATATGAGGCTGAGTTGACCTAGGGGAGGAGGCCCATGAGTGGGAATCGAACTGGGGTGGCTGGGTTCATAGCGTAGTGTGCTAACCGCTGCACCATCACTCCCCACGTGCTTGCACACAAAGACAAATGTCCCATGTTTAGCCATGCCGACTGTTGTGGCGAGCACCTATTATGGCTGAACAGCCACACAGAGGGGTCATCTGGCCTGCGTTGTGCACAGGCATCATCATTAGTCTCCCCGTTGCTGCTGTTTACACGCAGCACCAAGTTCTATTTTATGGCAAAATCAACCGAGAGGAAGGCCCCGGAAAGTTCAGATACCAATTGCCACTCATGTTATTCGGGTTTTGCGCGAAACACTTCACCACTAACACGCGCGCGCATCACACAATTTGTATGACTCGTGTTATCTCTGAGTTAAATCGGCAACAATTACTTAGAAAATAAAAAAAATATTGGCCCGCATTAAATATCCCTGAATGCACCCAATCTCATCGGATCTTGGAAGCTAAGTAGAATTGAGCCCGATTAGCAAGTTGGAAGGGCACCCAGCAGCGCTTGCCAGGTGTTATAGGCGTGGGGCCGCAAGTTGTGCGTTAGGAGGTGGCAGCGCCGTACGCCACGGTGCTGGGCTGTTCTCTGGGTCATCGGGTTTCCTCCCTCTTGCAAGCGATCGCACTGGGTGAGGTATTCAATTAAAAATAAAATGCAAATTAATAATGTTTCATTTACCAGCCTTTGGGCGTTCAAGATGAAAGCTTCTGAGTAGCATATCGGGTTTAAAAAAATTCAGGCAAGATTAGACTGGTTTTGATTTTATTTACATCATATCAGCAAGGTGTGTCCCATTGAAACCGTTGTCATAGTCCAACCTTATCCTTTCCTGGGAAAATACTCGGTATTTTTGCCAACGTTTAGGCAGCTGAACCATGCAAGATTGTTTAAACACGTCAGCAAAATGCATACGTCTTGTCTTTGCAGGTATTCAATTAGAGGTATAGAAGCTGATGGGTAACTGCCAAGACAAATGCCATTTTGTTCTTTGCTAATTCCGTAGTCTCCTTTGCTCTGGTTTGTGAGTTTAAGTTTTGGGCGGTGCCTTTGATCAGTTTGGCTGGTTTTCTATCGAGTAAGTCCCTAATAGCAACACAACCATATTCTAAAGTTCAGCTCATATTGGGTCAGCTTTACGAGCGTTACCCCCCCACCCATCCCTTTGCAGAAACAGACAGAAGGAGTGATTGCATTGATGCTTTCATCCCTATTTGGAACGTGTGATGAAAGGAATGAAAAATGCCCATCTGCCAGAATTCCAGCTGGAGCGTTTGCATTGGCCCCATACATTTCGCGGCCCACAAACTTCGCCGTAATTCAAGTTTCCCTTATTTTAAATGACTTTCACGAATCAGGAAGCCTGCCGGGCCTTGGCGAGAGACTGATAAGAGAGCAACACAGAAAAAAAAACCCAGGATCAACTTCCGCTGCCGCCTCGCCTCCGCGGGCTCACTGCGGTTTTTAAAGCGGCAGCATACGCACCGCCCTCACGGCTGTTTTTTTTTGTTTCATCGAGTCACAGATCCTTTATTTGCTTCGTACTTAGTCATCGGCTCTTGCCGCTTGCTGCTGAAAAGGCAAATGCAAAAAAATAATTTATATACATCGGGGGAGCGTGGAAACGTAGCCTATTAAACGGTCGCATCCTGCATTGGGAGATTGCATTGAGGACACCCCTAAGGGGACATAAAATAAATAATAGTGCAAGTTGAAGACAATAATTTCGCTGATGATGTGCGTTGCAATCGAAACCCAACTTGTGATGTTCTTAAAATAAAGTATAAGCACAACTCCGCACTATCTCCACATATAGATAACATTCATACATATGCAGTATTATTTCTTAGTCCATTAGCCTACTGGCTTTCCCAACTAATATTATTCAGCAGACTTGTTTTACGAAGCACAATGTGGACCGATTTTGACCTTCTGGTTCTAATCAGGGGAGGTGGCGGGGGGCGAGAGGGGGTGAGAAGAGAGGTCACCCAGCCCATCATCATCATCCCTGCTGCTTGATTAAATTAGTACCACTTTAGGGAAATCAACTATGGCATTGAAAATTAGACACTGGTCCCCACCGGATGGGATGTGAAATTTCCACCGTCGATGCACCGAACTGCCACTACCCAACCCGCGCACGACAGAGCGGGGAGCCGCTGACTCGGCTCTGTCAGGAGTTGCAGCCTTGAGGGAGGCGTTGAGAGGAAATGTCATTGGGCAACTCGACGTCTGCTCCTAACTGGCCCTGCTGGGGGCAAGGAAGGGAAGCTGGTTTCTGGGAAGAGCCTCATTCCTCCAGCTCGCCGCTGCACTAATCATAGATGTGCATGAAACCCGTGACCCATTCTCACATTTACTGCAGGCGCGTGCGTGCGTGTCACAGCTCATGTCCAGCCGCATGTTTTTTTCCACAGATGTATACAGAGAGGAACCAAGCTGGAACTCTTTATTATTTTTATTTATTAAAACCGATTCAAAGAATGTTATTCTTTTCAGCCATTCGTCAATCCACTTTCGAATGAAGTGTTCTCCGCCCCATGTTGGTCACGTGGATTTATTTGACCATACTTCACCCCGCTGGCCAGTGTGACTTGGTGATGGCAAGCGCCATGCGCTTGCATGGCGCGATGCTTCCAATCGCGCGTTGGCGAATTGACCACTTACCGCGCACGCAAATGATATGCAAACGAGATGCTGATTTTACATCCAGTTGAACGGAGCGATGGGAAAAGCTAAATAAGTGGGAAAAAGTGCAATCTGGTCGATAAACATATAATTGCAGCTCCCAAATCACAACAATCCATAGAACCGCTGCGAGTGTGGTGATTGTTCCAGACGGAACAACGGGCGGCTCATTTTTTGTGTGGAACGAGGTGATTGCGCAGCCGGTTAGCGCGCCCTTCGCAACGAACGTGGCAGTTCATTTCCCTCCTCGGCTCGCATCGGTGGCGATTGATATCCGAACCGGTGCATTGGCGCCCCTTCAGCACCGGCCGTGGCACAATCCTCGCGGCCGATGCCGAACGGGAGGAGGCCTTAACTTGGCGGTGCGATCGACAAATGTGGGTCATTTTAGAATGAACAGATAGCTCTGACCGGAGGTCCTCAAATTCCCTTTCCCTTCCAAGCGCCGCCACCACAGCAGAATTGTTTCGAGGTGGATGGGAGAGATGGCGGGCGATGGGGGTAGGGGGGCATTAAATAATACAGAGGGGGGCACGGCACAACGTCAAACCTTGAACGGATGCCGTCTGCTTTTGTCCAACGTGCGTTCTGCTCCGGCTCTCTTCCGCTATGTAGATATTGTACCAGTAAGAATTTAGAACGTGGGGGGGGGGGGGGGGGGACTGACCTGTCAGGAGGCGGGCTCTGCCCTCCCAGCCCCCCCCCCCATGCTATTAGGCTGCCCCTTCCCATACCCCTCAAATGATCTCAAGCTGTATTGAGATAATTTATCACTGAGCAGAAATGAATGTGGACTTTATGATTCAATTGACTAAGTGGGAATTGCTAACTCTGTGTACCCCGTATCTACCCCGTATTTACCCTGTGTGTACACTGCGTGTTCCACGTGTGTTCCACGTGTGTGCTCGTATATGTACCCTGTGCGTACCCCATGTGTGCCCCGTGTGTTGACAGGTGATCAACGCACTCTCCAAGCTCTCGTACTCTGCTGTGGTGCAGAAAAAAGGCATCGGGTAGGAATGGCTATCGCAACCTCGAACCCGAACAGTACCACGAACCCTGACCTGAATCATCAGCATCATCATCATCATAATCGATTTCTCATTTATTAAGTCGGACCGAATGCTGATGCAGCGTTTAGCGAACTGGGCTAAGAACCCAGCAGCCTGAACAATTTTCTCAGCTACAGCTGACATCAGTGGCACATTATATCTCATGAAACAGATTCTGGACAAAGGCGACTTGTTTATAGAAAACCCGTGTGCCACAGCTGTTACAGGCCGTTAATACAAACATTGAGGAACACGTAACAGCTAAACGGAGACGGGCATTAAGAACGCAGTAACGTTATAATTGGACGGTGAGTCGGATGGGAGATGCGCACTCACCGAAGTTATTCGAAGTGACGTTTGGAGACGTCCCCCCCTCCCTCTCACCCCCCTCCCCTCCAAAAAAAATTACCAAAAATGGTATTCAAACGATAAACAACAAACGGAGGAAATATTTCACTATCTCGGATTTACGTTCCGCGACACACGCTACCTCTCTCGCCCCAAATGGGGCAAAAATTGTCACGGGGCGATTGCACAGCTCTGAGAAGCGTCACGGTTGACGATGACCGTGAGAAGCCCGCGTCACCCCCAGCTTTCCCCTGCGTCGTCACGAACGCGTGCGCTCACGCGGCAACCCGCCAGTCTCGGGTCTCTCGTCGTTATTCCGGCGGCACAGGGGACGGGGGTCCGTTGCGCAAAAAAGACCGAGCGGGAAAAAAAGACGCCGCCGCGATTTTGAAATTGTCTCTGTCTCGTCGCCCACGCTCCCTTCCGCAGTGGATTTCCCAGCCAGGACCTGGAAGATGACGAAGACATCTATCACAGCCTGGAGGAGATGGCCGAGTGAGTAATTTGCCACGCTCTCGGCTTCTCAGAACCCGTCCTCCTCTTTCTCGTCCTTCTCACTTCTAAAACTGCAACAGGAGCCTCGTGATCGGGGAGACGTTTGACGTGGTTGTCGCGAGACGTGGACTCCGAGTCATTTCCCCCAACTGTCAGTTGCGGGTTTTTTTTTGCGTGACAACACGCGAGGGCATTCGAGGGACGTGTGCGATGTTTTATTCCTCTTTCATCCGTAATAGATTTTTTTTAAATCACCTATGACCTAATGACCTCTTGCCGAAGCTAAGCAGGTTTGACTCTGGATTGTGCTTGGATGGGCGACCACCGTGCACAAATAGGTTGTTGTAGGCGGATTCCTCTGCGTGGCCCAGCAGAGGTCAGTGCAGCAATATACGTAGTTGTCAAGGCCGTAGCCATGGAGTCAACATTGGGGGGGACCACATTTTCCAGGGGGTCTTGGGGTTCCCCTCCAGAAAAAATATGTAAATTTGAAAACTCATTTCCTGCCATCTTCTGCCTGAAATATTACAAAATTAACTAACACATGGGATGGACTTTTTTTTACAATAATGTCTGATAGTGTATTGTATTACATTGCTCTGTTTTTTTCTTTTTTACCTTTTCTTGTTTCATTGTATGTAATGGCAGAGATTAGGGATTAATAAAGTACAACCATAACCACAATCATATAAACAGAAATCTATTTTATAGCAATATATTGAGGGGGGGACATTTTGAGCATATTTGAATATTATAATTTCGACCTTGGGAGTTGTACTGGACCATGCACCCACGTCTACGCTGACCGGCGTGGTGTGGCCCAATGACCCCCCCCCCCCCCCGGTCGTTACGATTGATGGCAGCGGTAACAACATCACAGCCAGCGCCTATTTGTGGAAACCAAAAAGTGAGTTGAAACACGACGCAGCGTCATGAATCACAGGGACTCTGGAGGGACTTTGTATAAAAGTGAAAATAACAAAGTTCCGAAATAAATTAAATAATGAATCAATGTCATTTCGGAGCGCAATGCTCTACCTGGGCTGCCAAATGTGTCATCTGAGTTCACCATGAGTTTGTCTGACGTTTGTATGTACGTTGAACTTCTTTCACACCATACGTAGACAACCGTGCTTATCGGAGGTGTGGGAGTAGGAAAATAAACTAAACAGTTGTTTAGAAATGTGCTTTCAATCTAGATTTAAAAGTCCACAGCTCAAGTGATTTCCTATTATCGGAAGGAAGAGCTTTCCAGATAGCTGCGGAAGAGCATCTGAAAGAGCTCGATGTACTGACCGTCTTTTTGCTATACCAGCCAAAAGCCGCCGCTGCAAGTATGACCGGAGTTTGCGTGATGGTGGTTTATGTTCCTTTACGAGACCATAATTCCCCACTGTCTCTGTGCAGGGCAACTAAACTGGGTTCATGATCACTAAACGTTCATCTCCACAATCTACAGGTGAACGAGTCCACGGTCAGGCAGGCTCGTCTCACGTTTTACCCCACAGCGGTGATTGGGATGGCCAAGATTTGGGCTCGCGATTCAAGATTCAACAATTTATCTTTTGTCTAGTTTCTAAAGTCTCTTGGTTTTTTAAATTTTCTCCTCGTTCAAATTTCCACCCGTTGTTTGTGGATTTTTTTCTTTGCACCATTTCGCTGTATTTGTCACGTCCGCAAAAATATTGCATGAATGTGAGTGGTAGTGGGAGTGCCGACCAAAGCTGAGTTTAAAAAGAGAATGATGAATAGACTTGACAAGAACCTTTGTGAATGTTTAGGATGAAACCAGTTGTTTCAATGGTGTCCCTTTTCCTTGCACCAACTTGGTTACATTTCGTGCAGTCGTCTGCATGGCCTCTACTTGCCTCATGCGGTCACTTTCCTTCCCAGAGGTTCGGCGATGTTTCTTGTATCTTTAAGGTGTCAAAAGTGCAATTCACCTTATTCAAAAGGGCACTAAATGATCGTTAAACTTATCGTCGAGGTCTGTAAAATTGTTAATGTTTTTTAGGGTCTTTTTTGCATTTGGTACGCGGCATTCTTTTTAAAACTCGATCATCAGATTTAGTTGTCATTCGCTTGGAGAGTTTCTATCTCTAAGATAATTTAAGGAGTTAATTTTTGATGAGTGATATTTTACCATTTTCGTTGTGGTATCTATATTTGTTTATCTGATATTCCATCCCAGTTCTCCCTAAAAAAATAGACACAGTCTCTCTCGCCTCTTTCCATCCCAGATCTCCTTTAAAAAAAATAGAGACGCGGTCTCTCTCACCTCCTATGGTCGTGAATAAGATGCTCGCTTACTAGCTTGTTGCTATACGAAATCCTTTCTGATCACACTGAGCTGACATTTATCGGTGCATTGCATATGTAAAGCCATCAGCTGCGTATGTAAAATGGTCACCGTGGCTTCTCCCAGAAGGGTTAATGCACGTGTCAAGCGTTCTTGCGGTTTGCTTTTTCAATTCTGGCCAGTTTACCCCACGTGTGTGCGTATGCGTGTACACGTGTGTACATGTGGGAGCGGTTAGCGCCACGCTGCGCTACGAACGCGGCAAACCGAGTTCGATTCCCGCTCGCGGCCAAGACCGGTGACAATGATCTAAACCGGCCATGGGCCTCCCCTAGGTCGATTCAGCCTCAAATGAGTACCTGGTGTGGCGTCAAAAAAATCACCACTGGGGAGACAAAGTCGGCCGGGCGTGGTGCTGGCCACCCACCCCATCGTGTGCCGTTCTGGCCTTTATAGGTGCTCGCTAACAGCACTTGCCCCAACAGTCTGTTAAGGCTATACGGGGGATATTTGTCTTTGTACTGTACATGTGTGCGTATGTGGGTGGAGCGGTGGCCGTAGTGGTTAGTGCACCGCGTTACAATCCCGGTGGTCTTGAGTTGCGATTCCCGGCGAATATCTGAACTGGTCCTGGGCCTCCCCTAGACCGACTCAGCCTTAAATGAGTTACCGTGTGTAACACATCAGCGCTGGGAAGAGAAAGGCAGCCGGGCGTAGTGCTCGTCAAGTCAAAGCACCACCTCGTGACTTGCTGTCCTTCATAAGTGCTCGCTAAGCAGCACTTGCCCCGACAGATTATTGGAGGCTAGCGGGGAAGATCAAAGTCGTGGTGTGTGTACGTGTGGTTTTTTTTTCTGCACCTACTCCAGCTTGTAATTATTACTAAGGGGGGGGGGCAGTGTTGGTGACGAGACGAGGACGCTAAGTCCAAAGGTGCAAAGAACTCCCGAGGCAGCTTGGCAAATAAAAAAAACAATCACACGAATAACTCGTGGCGACATCCTCCGTTCATTTCCGAAGGAACGTTTCTGTTCCCATACGATAATCGTACGGAAACGTTGGTTCGTCAAGTCAGTTTGCCTACACACCCAGCAAAAACCTCTTTGACCACATTCAGAATCAGAATATTTATTCATTCTGGAGGAATCCGATTAGCTACGGAGCTCTGTGTCACAGATGTCCAGTCGGGGCACGGCATAAGAACGTTACAGCAACAAACAGTGCACAGACATGTTGGGAGTGCAAAGTATAAGAAAGGCCAACACATCACTCAAACACATTGAAATAAAACTAAACCACCCCCTATCCTACCAGGAAAAGCCCACTGAGGGATTAACCTATTTTTCCAGAAGCGACCTGCCCACAAGTGATAGCCGCTCAACAAAGTTGCCCATCACGTGGACACTTATAGCCCCACAAGAGCGCAAAAAAACCTCAACGCGTGTTTCTAAATGTGGATTTGGAGAGACTCTGGAGATCGTAGTGGGTGACACTTCAAGAATCTGTCCTTTCATCTTGGAGAGTTGTGGTGCCCCCATGCTGTGGCTGAGGATGTTACGGCAACCGATGGCATTGCAACGAATACCACCACTATTTTTTCGCCGCTCGAAACAATTCATTGGCGACGCTGCTAACGCGTGTTGGCAGTGCTTGTACAAGGATGCCTGTCAACCCATACTGTTTAACCGTGTTCTTGTATGGGCAAAACATTATTTGTTTGTCTGTTTGTTGTTTCTCCGTTGTGACGGGACTTTGTAGGTCTGAATTGGTCTGTAATAAGTTAGGCACTGTTAAGGGGTTGTTGACAGGTACGTACAAGCACCAACTAAATAACAACCAAAAAACCATAAACATATTCGTCAGTAACCCTTACAGCTTTAAAGGGAAAAAATATAAAATATGCTCTAAAAAACAAGAAAATATAAACTTTTTTAAAATTTTACCAGGTAAGGCCCACTGAGCGATACAGTTCTTTTTCAGAAGTGACCTGGCCACAAACGATGGCTCAGCGACGTGGCTTATCATTTGTACATTGATAGAAGCAACCAAACATCCTTAAACGCACGTTTCCAAACGTGGAGGGAAAAACCCGGAAGACCCGGAGAAAAATCTAAGCGGCCACAGGGAGACACACGCAAACTCCAAATATACAGCAGGCGTCAAAGTTGGGATCGAACCCACGACCTCCTGCATACCAGGCAAGGGAGTTAACATCTCAGCACCGCGGCGCCCGAATAGCAAGCAGACCATGGGGCCTGATGACATTGATTTTTAACAAATGAAATTCAGCACGTGTATAGTGCACTTGCTTGTTAGTCAATCTAGATTTGAAGCTTTTGTGACTGCAGGAATCCACACTCTTTGGTTCTTTCGGTAAAGTCACGTAGGTAGAAAATAAAATAAATCACGACGTTTCGGGCGCAAACCAAGCGTCCGTCATCAGGTGGGAAAGGTGGGAAAGCATGGTCTGCTGCTGAGGCAGCAGATCTGATGACGGACGCTTGTGTTGCGCCCGAGACGTCGTGATTTGTTAGTCAATGTTACAGCAATCGATGCATTGTTGCACACTGAAGCTCAATAACTACAGATCATCGTCGTCAGCCACGATCAGTACTGCTGGATTGGGCTGTGGAGCTGTGCTGTGTTTGTTGCGTGACATTGTTGAGCGATGTCGTTGTGTTGTTGCGCGCACTGTGCCTCAACGTGTCTTTGTAACCCGCATCTCGGATGGTCATCCCTTGAGTCCGACGTAAGTTTATAGGTCCTGTGTGAGTCTATGGGTCTCTGTGTGAGTCTATGGATCTCTGTGTGAGTCTATGGGTCTCTGTGTGAGTCTATGAGTCCTGTGTGAGTCTATGGGTCTCTGTGTGAGTCTATGGGTCCTGTGTGAGTCTATGAGTCCTGTGTGAGTCTATGGATATCTGTGTGAGTCTATGGGTCTCTGTGTGAGTCTATGGGTCCTGTGTGAGTCTATGAGTCCTGTGTGAGTCTATGGGTCTCTGTGTGAGTCTATGGGTCTCTGTGTGAGTCTATGGGTCTCTGTGTGGGTCTATGGGTCTCTGTGTGAGTCTATGGGTCTCTGTGTGAGTCTATGGGTCTCTGTGTGAGTCTATGGGTCCTGTGTGAGTCGATGGGTCCTGTGTGAGTCTATGGATCTCTGTGTGAGTCTATGGATCTCTGTGTGGGTCTTTGGGTTCTGTGTGAGTCGATGGGTCCTGTGTGAGTCGATGGGTCTCTGTGTAACTCAATGGGTCCTGTGTAAGTCGATGGGTCTTGTGTAAGTCTATGGATCTCTGTGTGAGTCCATGGGTCCTGTGTGAGTCTATGGGTCTCTGTGTGAGTCTATGGATCTCTGTGTGAGTCTATGGATCTCTGTATAAGTCTATGGGTCCTGTGTGAGTCGATGGGTCCCTGTGTGAGTCTATGGGTCCAGTGTGAGTCTATGGGTTCTGTGTGAGTCTATGTGTCTCTGTGTAACTCAATGGGTCCTGTGTGAGTCTATGTGTCTCTGTGTAAGTCAATGGGTTTCTGTGTGAGCCAATGTGTCTCTGTATGAGTCAATGGGTCCTGTGTGATTCTATGGATCTCTGTGTGAGTATATGGGTCTCTGTGTGAGTCTATGGGTCTTGTGTGAGTCTATGGGTCCTGTGTGAGTCTATGGGTCTCTGTGTGAGTCTATGGGTCTCTGTGTGATTCTATGGATCTCTGTGTGAGTATATGGGTCTCTGTGTGAGTCTATGGGTCCTGTGTGAGTCTATGGGTCCTGTGTGAGTCTATGGATCTCTGTGTGAGTATATGGGTCTCTGTGTGAGTCTATGGGTCTCTATGTGAGTCTATGTGTCTCCGTGTGAGTCTACGGGTCTCTGTGTGAGTCTATAGTTCCTATGTAGGTATATGGGCCCTGTGTGAGTGTACGGACGACTCTCTGCCTGCAGTGAGTACGACTTGGATGAAGAAGATGACATTTACGACTTGCCGGGCGACGAGGAGTGCGACGAGCTGTATGAGGACATCATGAAGTCGGAGGTGATGAGGCCGATCCTTCCGGTAAGGGCAGCAGAGTGCTGACTTCTCCTGACATCATCATCGTCATCGCCCCATGTACCATGGCTGAGCACTGTTGGCTTTGTACGGTGCTAAAGAAGTTCAAGGAACATACATATTTGGCAAAGTTTCCCTAATAAATGTGTGGGTTCATGTGTTCGTTTATGGGTCCATTGTAAGACTATGGGGTCTGATGTAAGTCTATGGGCCCAGTGTTTTTATATGGGTCCGATGTAAATATGTGGGTCCAGTTTAAGAACATTCTAAATTGAAAAATAGTTTCTTTAGAACTGATTTTTGTATTTAGTTTGTTGTCCTTCCCCCGCACCTCCGATTAGCATAGCTAGCTACGTACGGTGCAAAGAAAGTTCAATATGCATGCATACTGTACATACTGTGTAAGTCTACGGGTACAATTTTATTCAATGGGTCTACGAGTCATTTTTTGACCTATTGATTCAACGTCTACGAGCCCAACTTTAAACGCTTACGCCACTGACAACGGAGAACGTTTCCGTAAGGCGTTAATTCCAGTCCAGAAAACGAATTAAAAGGAAACGTCTTTGAGACTCAATGAGGCTATCCCAAAGAATAAACAAATCATTGTATGAATGCATGCATAGATGACATTACGGGATTCATATAAATCTCTGTCAACGGAGAGGAAATAGCGCAGCGGGGGGGGGGGGGGGGGGGTGCGGGAATCTCTCGCGTTGACGTTCCCCGCTCGCGCGTGTAGCCAGGCCAGATGAGGGACGAGGACCGGAGGAACTGCTGCCTGAACGAAATCAGCGAGACGGAGCGGCGCTACACGGACACGCTGGAGACCATCGAGAAGGTGAGCGATGGCGTTCGCCCACCGACACCGCACCGTGCGCTCGCCGCATCACGCACGCTCCGCGCTCCATGCCGCGGGGTAGGGGACCGGTTTCCATACTTCTCACTCTACAAGCGGTACTTTATCCCGTGCCTGTGCGTAATTTCACGTAGAGTACAATGGTAAGCGCACGGTGCTACGAACCCGAGTTCAGAATCAGAATCTTAATTTATCCTGGAGGAATCCGATGAGCCTATGAAGCGCTTTTTCACAGGTGTCCAGGAGTTCGATTTCCGATCACGGCCAACATCAGCGACGGTTATCTGAGTCGTTCCTGAGCCTCCCCTAAGCCACCCACCCCGTCGTGTGCCGTGTCGGCCTTCATAGGTGCTACTCACTTACAGCACTTGCCCCTACAGTCTGTTAAGGCTAGGGGGATCTTCGTCTTATGCATTATTTTGTTCGACCGGTGAACACTCGCTCGTGCTCCGGTACCTGCATTCAACGGGTGACTTGTCCCACGGCTCAATCAGCCATCGAGTCTTTACCGCACCTCCGATTAACACGGTCGGCCACGTGCGGTGGGCAAGAAGTTGAACACGCGTACATACGTTACCATGCACTCTCTCCCCGATGCAGCACTTCATGCAGCCGCTGAAGAGATTGCTCACGAGCAAGGATATCGATGCCATCTTCAGCAACATGGAGGTAGGAAGGCATGGTCTCTTTTGCGTGCATTCATTCGGTCACCATTCATTCGTTCGCCGGCAGATGGGGCGTTCCGTGCGCACGAACGCGGCGTTCCCACGACACGTAGGAGATGAGATGCGAGCCGCGCCGGCCTGTTCCTAGGACGGCCCGGCGCCGTTTCGTTCCTCCTCAACGGTCGCGCGGCCCCGTTGGTAACGAGCGGCCGTGGGAACGCGGCATGCGCAAAACCCGTCCCGACGACGGGAAACCGATTGTCTGGCTTTCGGCAGGAGCTGCTGAGGCTGCACCGGTCGTTCTGCACCGAAATTCAGCACAACATCTTGCAGCGCGGAGGACAGAACCTGCACCAGATCTTCATCAACTACAAGGAGAAGTACGTGGGCGGGGAGACATCGGGACACGCGACTCTCAACCCCCACCCACCTACATCCTGTTCCCGTACTTTCGAGATAATTGGAATTTCATTTTTCAATTACATCGAAGGCTGAAGCTGGGGGTGTGTCTCATAGTCCGATTCGTGGCTTGAAACTTGACACCTGACCACGTAGATCAGAGTCTGATCTTCGTGGCCCACACGCCACTCGGTCTACACGCCACTCCACCCACACGCCACTCCACCCACACGTCACTCAACCCACACTCCACCCACACGCCACTCCACCCACACGTCACTCAACCCACACTCCACCCACACGCCACTCCACCCACACGCCACTCCACCCTCACGCCACTCCACCCACACGCCACTCCACCCACACGTTACTCAACCCACACTCCACCCTCACGCCACTCCACCCACACGCCACTCCACCCACACGTTACTCAACCCACACTCCACCCACACGCCACTCCACCCACACGCCACTCCACCCTCACGCCACTCCACCCACACGCCACTCCACCCTCACACCACTCCACCCACACTCCACCCACACGCCACTCCACCCTCACGCCACTCCACCCACACGCCACTCCACCCACGCGCCACTCAACCCACACGCCACTCAACCCACACGCCACTCCACCCACACTCCACCCACACGCCACTCCACCCACACGCCACTCCACCCACACGCCACTCCACCCACACGCCACTCAACCCACACGCCACTCCACCCACACGCCACTCCACCCTCACGCCACTCCACCCACACTCCACCCACACGCCACTCCACCCACGCGTCACTCCACCCACACGCCACTCCACCCACACTCCACCCACACGCCACTCCACCCACACGCCACTCCACCCACACGCCACTCCACCCACACGCCACTCCACCCACGCGCCACTCCACCCACGCGCCACTCCACCCACACTCCACTCCACCCACACGCCACTCCACCCACGCGCCACTCCACCCACACGCCATTCCACCCACACGCCACTCCACCCACACGCCACTCCACCCACGCGTCACTCCACCCACACACCACTCCACCCACACTCCACCCACACGCCACTCCACCCACACGCCACTCCACCCACACGCCACTCCACCCACACGCCACTCCACCCACGCGCCACTCCACCCACACTCCACTCCACCCACACGCCACTCCACCCACGCGCCACTCCACCCACACGCCACTCCACCCACGCGCCACTCCACCCACGCGCCACTCCACCCACACTCCACTCCACCCACACGCCACTCCACCCACACTCCACCCACACTCCACCCACGCGCCACTCCACCCACACGCCACTCCACCCACACGCCACTCCACCCACACGCTACTCCACCCACACGCCACTCCACCCACACTCCACTCCACCCACACGCCACTCCACCCACACTCCACCCACACGCTACTCCACCCACGCGCCACTCCACCCACACGCCACTCAACCCACACGCTACTCCACCCACACTCCACCCACACGCCACTCCACCCACACTCCACCCACACGCCACTCCACCCACGCGCCACTCCACCCACACGCCACACCACCCACACTCCACTCCACCCACACTCCACCCACGCGCCACTCCACCCACACGCCACTCCACCCACACTCCACCCACACGCCACTCCACCCACACGCCACTCGGCCCACGTGCCACAGAGGCGATGTGCTACACAGTCTCCATGCCGGTCGGTCTACGCAGGCTGTCGCAAGCTCATTCCTGAGTCGGGTCTTCAAATTAGTTGCTCGTTCTATAGGCCACTCAGCTTTCGCATCACCGATCTCTGACATCCTTTGCGGCTATCAGAAGAGTCTAACTAATGAACGATGATGACGATGGAGCCAGCTGACCGCCCCGTAACCCCTGTGGTGTGTGGTTCTCGGCGTGCGCGTCGCGTGCCGCTCGCTCCACGCTCCTTCCCCTCCTCCTGTTCCCCCCGCTCCGTCCCAGGTTTGTCCTCTACGGCCTCTACTGCAGCAAGATGACGGACGCATCGGCGTACATAGACACGCTGACTGCCCGGGAGGAATACCGCCAAAAGATAGAGGTAAGATCCGGGGCGAGCCCACAAGTTTCTTCTTTGGCGCATATTGTGCGCAATCGTATGTAACGCGTGCGCACGGAGAGGTGATCGCTAAATGTTTCCGAGTATGCATGTTGTATGTGTCTATGTTGAACTTCTGTTACATTGTACGTAGCCAACTGTGCTCATGGGAGATGGGGGAAGGGGAACCGGGGATGTTACCCGGTGTCACCCGGTGTCACTGGGGGCAGCAAGTCCCCTTGGGTGGACGACTTCTCCACCGCATAACCCTCCTTTAGCTGCCACTCCGTTGTTCGTCTCGACCGCCGGCCATCGTCCCCACTGACAACGTGCATTGCCCAAACCCAGTAGGAAAAACTACGTGAGGCCGAGGGTCACCCTCGATGGAAGGCCTCGCCTAGCCGCTATCCTAAGCCGACGCCAACCACTGTCCCGTGACTTAAGAGCGTTCCTGGCGTCGGATCGAGCGGCTGGGCTCAGAATCAGGGTCCTTCTCGTTCCGCGGTCACGCAAGTCAACGGAGACGTTTGGACGGTGACTTCTCGACCAAACGTCTCCCGGCTCTCCAAACAACCACCCAAGCCCAACTCTACAGGGTGGTTTGGGACGCGAACCTCCTCCGTATTTTATTAACCGCGGAGCAAGCGACCGAGCGCCGGATCGGGGGCGTCACCACGGCCTAGTTTCGAACCATGGACCCTCGCTCCGGTTGCGGGGGTTTTATGCGTACCGACCACAGGGCCGCACGAGCGACCGCTCGGCCCGCGCGTGGCCCGCGTGCGCTCCATTCCGTCGCGAACTATTCTCCCTTTCCTCGTCACGCGTGTCAGGAGTGCAGCCACCGCGCGAACCAAGGCCGCCACTCGCTCCGGGACCTGCTCGTGTTCCCCATGCAGCGTGTGCTCAAGTACCCGCTGCTGCTCAAGGTAGGGATCGTGACGGGGCCCCACGGAAGCCCCTCTGGTCGATCGAAACGCACACGCGGCGTGACAAGCACGTGTATTCACATTCATAATGATAATGCTCGATACGGAATGCGCACAGTTTTAGTTCACTGTCAGAGAGAGAGAGAACTATAAAAGCAAGGGGGAAGGAAGACAGAAACCGGTACCAACTATTGCCCAAGCTCTGTGGTTTTATATTTGGACCTTTTGGCCAACTCCGTGAACGAGTGTGGCATGCACGCGGGATGGAAACAGGAGTGCCTGGAGAAACCCCACGCACGCTACGATGGGTGATGCTCAGCCCCCGTACGGATGGATTACAGATGGTAATTAACCCACTTGCTGTGCTGTCGTACCTTGGCGGGCCAGGGGATGGCGACCGCAACGCGCACGAGTCGGGAGGTAGTTTGACAAAATGTGTGTGTGTGTAATCCACCAATCCTCGCGACCTCCACAGTGCTGGGCTGCAGGCGTGCGCCACCAACACCCGGTACTAGGGGTGGAGCGGAAACGCAATTAGATCGGTCGATTCAAATCCATTCTCAAGATCGCTAATATTTATGCAATTTGTTTGCTAACGTGGTGAATTAGCGGCGTAACGGAGCATCTCTTGATGTAATATCGATTCCTAATCTCACGATACATTCGATGCGAACATCCAATCAGCGTCTCTCCAGTGATCGTCCTCTTACAATATGCAAATGTTAACACATTTAGCAGGATGTAGCGATGCGTCAATGAGTATCAGTTCCTCTGGCTCTACACAGGGGATCTTTGTCGTGTAGATTTAGTCGCCAGTCTCACATGGAGGCTGTGTCCCCGTGTGAGCAAGGCGCGTCACGGTGGCGAGACGTTAACTACCCCGTCCTGGTATACAGAAGGGTCGTGGGTTCGATCCCGACTCTGACGCCTGTATATTTGCACAATCTCCCCGTAGTTGCATGGATTATTCTCCGGGTCCTCCAGTTTGCTCCTCCGCATTTAGACTCAAGAACATGCGTTTAGGGTATTTGGCTACAATATCATTTACACGTGATAAGCCACTTGCTTGAGCTATCATTTGTGTTGGCCAGGTCGCTGGCTCAGTGGGCCTTACCTGGTAAAATAAAAAAAAATATGTGAGACTCTCAGTCACCGTGTGTGAGCTCGGCTCTGCACATCTCACGGTCGCTTTGCTCCGTGCAGGAGCTGCTCACCTTCACGACGAACGCAACGGAACGGGAGAACCTCAAGAGAGCCCTCGATGCCATGAAGGTCAGAATTGCACACAGCGCATCAACATCGACAAACAACAACAAACAACAACAACAAAAGACTATGACCGCAATGTGGGGTCACTCGTGGAAGATTTATTCAGCCTCAAATGAGAGACTCGCTGCGATGTGTAAAATATCGCCACTAGGGAAACAAAAGTGGCCGGGCGTGGTGCTGGCCACCCACCCCTTCGAGTGCCGCGCCGGCCTTCATAGGTGCTACTCGCTAAAAGCGTTTGCCCCAAGATTCTGTTAGAGGCTATACGGGGGATCTTTGTCTTGTTCGAGTGAGCGAGTGAGTTGTTGGGGCGGTGCTTTAACACGGCGTGGATGAGACAAAACAGTCAGCCTGGTGGCCCTTAATCCTGGGCCAAAGACTCAAGAAGTCACACTCTTGTTAATAATTGGAGTTATTATTAATATAATTCTTATTTTTTTTTAAGAGCAGAGGTAAAACACCGCTTGGATGGATCTCTGACCTTTCCTGCTGCCCTTGAGTTGACACGGCCAGTTCGCTGACCGTGCAATCGGTGGTCAGGATGTTGGGGCTTTTTCTGCTAACGTCTAATCAACATAACTGTTGCCCTTCCGACCCCTCCACCATGACCACCGCCACCACTACCACCGCTACTACCACCGCCACCGCTACCTCCACCACCGCTACCACCACCACCACCACCGCCACCACCGCTACTACCACCGCCACCGCTACCTCCACCACCGCTACCACCACCACCACCACCGCCACCACTACCACCGCTACTACCACCGCCACCGCTACTACCACCGCCACCGCTACCTCCACCACCGCTACCACCACCACCACCGCCACCACCGCCACCACTACCACCACGACCACCGCTACCTCCACCACTGCCACCACCACCACCGCCACCAATGCCGCCACCACCACTACCACCACCGCCACCGCCACCACCGCCACCGCCACCACTGCCACCGCCACCACCACCGTGTTCCTGTGCAGGACGTGGGGCAGTATGTGAACGAGGTGAAACGCGACATGGAGACCCTTAAGACCATAACCAAGATGCAGAACTCCATCGAAAATCTGGTAGGAGGCGTCGGCGTTCACCGTTGTGATTCCCGCATTTTTTGAAAACCGTTCGTGAATAACCACAACCCGTCTCAGCCTCACCTTGACTCAAGAAATCATTAAACATTTGTAATCTCTCCATGGCCTTGCGTCCACCTTACCTCGGCTGTCTCATCTCTTTCCATGCCCCCTCCTCTTGTCCTCGTCGTTCCCATTCTTCTCTCTCTCTGTCTCCCTCTCTCCGTTCCTCCTTTTCCCTCCTTGCACCCCTCCACTGGAATCAACTTCCCCTGTACGTTGAGCAACACTGCTCATAGACTCAACATTGCCCATAGAATCAACACTGCCCATAGACTCAACACTGCTCATAAACTCAACACTGCTCATAGACTCAACACTGCCCATAGACTCAACACTGCCCATAACCTCAACATTACCCATAAGGACTCAACACTGCCCTCATAGACTCAACACTGCCCATAGACTCAACACTGCCCATAGACTCAACACTGCCCATAGACTCAACACTGCCCATAGACTCAACATTACCCATAGACTCAACACTGCCCATAGACTCAACACTACCCATAGACTCAACACTGCCCATAGACTCAACACTGCCCATAGACTCAACACTACCATAGACTCAACATACCCATAGACTCAACACTGCCCATAGACTCAACACTGCCCATAGACTCAACACTACCATAGATCAACACTGCCCATAGACTCAACACTGCCCATAGACTCAACACTGCCATAGACTCAACACTACCCATAGACTCAACACTGCCCATAGACTCAACACTACCATAGACTCAACACTGCCCATAGACTCAACACTGCCCATAGACTCAACACTACCATAGACATACCATAGACTCAACACTGCCCATAGACTCAACACTGCCCATAGACTCAACACTGCCCATAGACTCAACACTACCCATAGACTCAACACTGCCCATAGACTCAACACTGCCCATAGACTCAACACTGCCCATAGACTCAACACTGCCCATAGACTCAACACTGCCATAGACTCAACACTGCCCATAGACTCAACACTGCCCATAGACTCAACACTGCCATAGACTCAACATGCCCATAGACTCAACACTGCCCATAGACTCAACATGCCATAGACTCAACACTGCCCATAGACTCAACACTGCCCATAGACTCAACACTGCCCATAGACTAACAACCCATAGACTCAACACTGCCCATAGACTCAACACTGCCCATAGACTCAACATACCCATAGACTCAACACTGCCCATAGACTCAACACTGCCCATAGACTCAACACTGCCCATAGACTCAACACTGCCATAGACTCAACATACCCATAGACTCAACACTGCCCATAGACTCAACAACCATAGACTCAACACTACCCATAGACTCAACACTGCCCATAGACTCAACACTGCCCATAGACTCAACACTGTCATAGACTCAACACTGCCATAGACTCAACACTACCCATAGACTCAACACTACCCATAGACTCAACACTGCCCATAGACTCAACACTGCCCATAGATCAACACTGCCCATAGACTCAACATACCATAGACTCAACACTACCCATAGACTCAACACTGCCCATAGACTCAACACTGCCCATAGACTCAACACTGCCCATAGACTCAACACTACCCATAGACTCAACATACCCATAGACTCAACACTGCCCATAGACTCAACACTGCCCATAGACTCAACACTGCCCATAGACTCAACACTGCCATAGACTCAACATACCCATAGACTCAACACTACCATAGACTCAACACTGCCCATAGACTCAACACTGCCCATAGATCAACACTGCCCATAGACTCAACACCATAGACTCAACACTACCCATAGACTCAACACTGCCCATAGACTCAACACTGCCCATAGACTCAACACTGCCATAGACTCAACTACCCATAGACTCAACACCCATAGACTCAACACTGCCCATAGACTCAACACTGCTCATAGACTCAACATTACCCATAGACTCAACACTGCTCATAGACTCAACATTACCCATAGACTCAACACTGCCCATAGACTCAACACTGCCCATAGACTCAACACTGCTCATAGACTCAACATTACCCATAGACTCAACACTGCTCATAGACTCAACATTACCCATAGACTCAACACTGCCCATAGACTCAACACTGCCCATAGACTCAACACTGCCCATAGACTCAACATTACCCATAGACTCAACACTGCTCATAGACTCAACATTACCCATAGACTCAACACTGCTCATAGACTCAACATTACCCATAGACTCAACACTGCCCATAGACTCAACACTGCCCATAGACTCAACACTGCCCATAGACTCAACACTACCCATAGACTCAACACTGCCCATAGACTCAACACTGCCCATAGACTCAACACTGCCCATAGACTCAACACTACCCATAGACTCAACACTGCCCATAGACTCAACACTGCCCATAGACTCAACACTGCCCATAGACTCAACACTGCCCATAGACTCAACACTGCTCCGTTCCTCTCTCAAAGCCACACTTCTTCATCGCCCATTCCCATCCTCTTCCCTCGCCCCTCCACTCCTTCCCGTCCCTCCCCTGCTGCCCTTTCGTAGCCCCTATGCACCTTCTATCGCGGTCACTCATTCCTCATCCCTGCCATCTTAATCATTCTTTTATCATACTGATTTTTTATTTTTTTACTGCGCTAAGGACCTTGAAGCAAAGGCCTCTCTATATAAAAAAAGATAAAATGTATCAGCTCAGTGTGCTGTTTGTGACGTTCATTTGCTGCCCCGCTGGTGACAAAGGTCCAGGGGCATGAGTGGGCGCCGATCGTTGCCCTCGCCGCGTGCAGCGTCCGCCGAGCTTGCGTGCGACTCTTAGCACCGTGGAGAATTCTGTGAATTGGCGATTGGATTTGTATTTGTATTTTTATTTTTGGTCCGTCACCTGCATTTGGGCCGAGCGTTGCATGTCCGCAGCGGCACGAGCGATTTTTTTGTCACCGGTTGACACGCACGTGGCCGTGTATGGCAACCGTGTTGCTGTACTGCCCCGAGTGTTTAGGGTGGGCTTTTGCCTCCTGACCCGAGGGCAACCCGGCAGCATTTGTCTAACGGGCTATAACCCTGCTGATGAGATCCAGAGAAGTGGAAATCAGTCCGGGTTTGTTTGCCGCGTAAACAAATTCTGCCAGAACACGTTGGTCGAAAAAAGACCAATCGGCTCTTGAGCCTTACAAGTTCGTTCTCTGTTAGTGAAAGAAACCCTTGGCGGACACTGGCGCGTGGAATTGCTATTGGTGGTTGGGTGTTGTGGTGGCAGTGGGTGGTGGTGGTGGCGGTGGATGGTGGTGGTTGGATGGGTTGTGGTGGTGGTGGGGTGTTGGTATTGCGGGTGCTCTGCTAAAGCCATTTGAAATCCACGTTCGGTCCCTCCGTGAGCCAGGCGTCTCCCCACCCGTGCTTCAGTGGGGACACACACGGCTCATCGCCGTGCGTGTGCGTTTGTGTCTCGATGGCAGAACCAGGCACTGTCCATGTACGGGCGACCCAAGATCGACGACGAACTGAAGGTGTTGTCGGTAACGGAGCGTCGGAGCAAGCAAGACCGGTGAGTCTGCGCAACGACAGAAACCTTCGAGCGACGCGATTCTCGCACTTGTCACGGCGCGAGTTCAAATACCAGCCGGAAGTCAACTCAGACCTTCGCTCCTCTGAGATCGATAATAAAACAAGAGTCCAGCTTCGTGAGAGGTCAGCAGCAGTTCTTGTCACTTCTGCCGTGGTAATGTTTGGAATTGGCACCCGATGGCTCGGGGCTTTGGAAAGGTAAACAATCGCCTCTCACCTCCAGCTGGAGGCCTTTGTAGACGAAGGTTTATTTCGATTACAAACTCACGATTATTACATTCCACCGCACTGGTCAGCCCGGGTTGGTCAAAGACCAGCTCGTTGTGACAGGTTCTAACACTTTGATGCATAATGTACAACCCTCTGTCACTGCCCTGCTGGCTGAAGGCCTCCCACATTCCGCCACGGATGGTCGCTTGACCATCTTTCACCAACGCATGTGGATTGATGAAGGGAGAGTACGAGAGCGGTTAAGGATACTGCTCGCAACTCGTGTTGGCCACGACCGGGGAATCAAACTCAGCGCGCCGGGGGGGGGGGGGGGGGGGTGGTTCACATCTCCGTGCCACTAGCCCGCTGCGCCGCCGCTCCCATCCCCGTCGACGACACGTCAATATCTGAGTCGTGAACGGCGTCATCAACGTTGTCGCCATCCCCCCCTCGCCCCTCCCGCGCGCAGCAACATCTTCCTGTTCGATCTCGCCGTCATCATCTGCAAGCGGCGAGGGGACACGTTCGAGATGAAGGAGATCCTGGACCTGAAGGAGTATAAGGTGACGGACGACCCCACTCCCAACAAGGATAACAAAAAGGTAAAACGCGCCCGCCCGCCCGTGCGCGTGCGACGCCACGGGCGGTGACCTCTCGACCTCGGCGTGGGCTGAGCCCCGTAGAGCCAGAATCAGAGTGAGAATGTTCGTTCATACGGCAGGAATCCGATGAGCTATGAAGCTCGTTTTTCACCGATGTCCAGTAAATGAGCCGCCGTGGTCTCCCCCGTGCGCCGGGGGAGCTTCTGCAGGAACGCAATTGAGTTGGTGAGCCATGCTGGCGAGTTGTTAACTACCTCGCCTGGTACACAGGAGGTCGTGGGTTCGATCCGAACCCTGACGCCTGCTGCTGTATATTTGGACGTAAATGTGTCGTTAAACCCGACACCACCTGACACAGCCAATTAGTAAAGATTATCACGTAAACAAAACGTACCAATTAGTTACTACTTTTAGCAAACCGGGGGTCTTGCAACATTTACAATTTAAGTACGATGTTTCGATGGTGATTACAACCAGCTTCATCAGGCGATAGCCATAAGTGTTAAGAAATGTTCCTGTTTCGGCCTTAAATAGGCCATTAAAGGTGATGTCATAACTGTGGGAAGACCAGAGGAGGATGAATGTAGTCACATAAGTTACAATGGATCATGTTAACCTGAGAATATGGCCGAACCTTGTATTGGTTGGGTGATTCCCAGTTAATCAACATGCACAATGTATGTACAACTACGTTGTTCTAAGAGTATGCAGAGAATATGCAGAACCTATTATTGGCTGCTCGGTGACTCGCTGCTACTACCGGGAACCTCACCAGCGCTCCGTTACCCCCTGCCGCACCCCCTCAGTGGTCGTTTGGCTTCTTCCTGGCTCACCTGCATGGCCAGAACGGGTTCCAGTTCCACTGCAAGACCGTGGAGCAGAAGAAGAAGTGGATGGAGCAGTTCGAGATGGCGCAGTGAGTGGCTCGCACGGGGGTGGATGGGGTGGGTGGGTTTGGCTCCCGTGGTTTCACGGTGCCGTCACGTTTCCACTGCGGTCTCGGTGTACATGTCCTGCGAGTCAGAGCTGTAACGTAATACACTTAACTAACTCGCCTGGTATACAGGAGGTCGTGGGCTCGTGGGTTCGATCCCGACCCTCACGCCCGCTGTTGTATATTTGGAGTTTGCGTGTCTCCTCGTGGTCGTGTGGATTTTGCTACAGGGTCCACCGGTTTTTCCCTCCACATTTAGCGATGCGCATTGAGAGTGTTTGTCTGCCGTACATTTACAGAGCCACTCCGTTGAGCTGTCATTTGCGGCCAGGTAAGGTCACTTCTGAATAAGAGTTACATAGCTCAGTGGGCGTTACCTGGTAAATAATACAAATATATATATTTTTTAAAGTACAAATACCCTTTTGGTGTTCATAAAAGCGTTTACGTTTACCCGCGTCTCGAGACGCTGCACAAACGTGGTGACGCACAAATTGAGACGATTCTAATAATCCATTCGAGGTGCCACTGTAATTCGTGATAGCTCAACAACTCAAAAGACATTTAATTCAAGATTCTTGGAGAGGCCTTGAGGAGGCCTGTGGCGAGGCCTCGGTTGGATACCAAGAATGGGTTGACCATGGGGGATGATGATGATGGTGATGATGATGCTGTTAAACTATTGCCATTTGCAAACACGTGCTCAAAAAGCACGCTTCACCTTCTACAATACATTTTTTCGGCAGATCAAACATCAAGCCGGAGAAATGGAATGGGCAGAACCACGAGTTTGAGATGCACACGTTCGACCGCTGCACTGAGTGCCGCTCCTGCCACATGCTGCTGAGGTGGGGGGGGGGCACGTGGGGCCACTGGGGGGAGGGGGACACGGGGGGCAACTGGAGGGGGGCACAGGGGGGCACTGGGGGTAGGGGTACATGGGGGGGGGGCACTGGGGGGTAGGGGGCAATGGGGGTAGGAGGACACGGGGGGCACTGTGTGGGGGGGGGGGGGGCACTGGGTGGGGGGGGATTTTCCCACGATGCATCGTAGCTTTTGGCCATTGTACATTTTGAGTTTGCTCAACCATTCATTCTGTTGATGATGCCATTCGCTGTAATGAAGATGCTCGTGATGATTGGTTGTGGTGATGATGATGATGTACGCCATGCGTGGTGCGACGTGCAGGGGAGTGTTCTTCCAGGGCTACCATTGCCTGCGCTGCGGGGCGAGTGCCCACAAGGAGTGCCTGGGGAACATGGATGCCTGCCGCCAACCGCGGCTCACAGGTGAGACCCCCGTAACTCCAAATCGCAAATCCTATTTAACGCCTTCCAGCCGCGGTTGCGAGCGTCAATGCCTTAGCCGTGTCCCTCCGTCCGCCTGTCCGTCCTCATTTGTGTTGTTTCTCGTGCGTTTTGTCTCACCGTGTGTACGGTTCTGTTCCCTCCCTTCGCCGAAGTGGAACATTGACGGACAACTTGCATGAAACCGTGATTAATAATTTCTCACGAACCCACGCACTCGATCTTTGTGGACGAATCGATGCGTCGTTACGTACCTCGTGGACTTTATATGATGCCAGAAGTCACGAAACCTCTATACGTTCAGCTGTAGGTGAATAATCTCTGTGATTTTTCCTTGCAGATTCACCTCTCAACACAATGGACAAGGTATGTATGAGTTATATTCTGTTCCAGGGATGACTGATATGGTTTACGTACACGATCATCGTCACACTGCAATTTAATTGTATATTTTTTACGCTTGTTTGACACTTGTTCTGATTATAACTCAAGAATCAAATGTAGCACAAGAATGAGACGATTTCACACGAAGGCTTTCGAGACCAATGTTACGATTCATAATACCTTTTTTTAATTCAGTTCGGGTAGGTATAATGTGTGTCGTAAACCCTCCTCCACCCGACAGCCAAACAACAAAGTTGTCAGTTGGACAAATGTGCCAATTGACTACGACTTCAGCATCACCAGTGCAATCCACGCAGTATTTAACCTACTGGGTACAACGTTTTGCTGGTAGTTAAGAGCCGGCGTCATCAGGCGGCTGCCGGAATTGCCCGGCAGTTCCACGACGATCATATAAATCACAAGGATGAGCAATTCACCGAAAGTCTGCCCAAACAAATCCCCTTTCCCGGTGAGAACGACCCTCGCTGCTGAGTTTCGCTGAGAAAGAAGTGATCATCGTCCCATCTTGCCCTCCCGTTTTCAGAATTTCAACGGACCCAGGAGCGCCGCTGCCAGCCCCATCCCAGACTTGGGTGAGCATCAACTTCTAGATTTGAAGCTTTCATGACTGCAAGGATTCATACTCTTAGTTCCTTCGGTAAAGTCACGTAGGTAAAAAATGAATTTAAAATGAATAAAAATAAAACAATAAAATCACGACGTTTCGGAGGCAACACAAGTCTCCGTCATGCAGCAAATCTGGCTGTGACGGTCCCACCTGATGACGGAGACTTGTGTTGCCTCCGAAACGTCGTGATTTTATTGTTTTATTTGTATTAATTTGAATTTAATTTTTTACCTACGTGACTTTACCGAAAAAACTAAGAGTATGAGCATCAACTTCACGCAGAGAAAGAGAGCGGGGGGAGGGAGCTGGGGAAGGTGTTGGCATAGAGGGGTGTCGGCAGAGGGGTTCGGAGGCAGTTATGTCCAGGCCTCCGTTCCGAGTGGTGAATGAGCGGCGAGTGATCCGCGCGTGTGGCCCGCGACGATGCCGTGTGCGCCTGCCAGGTCTGCCCAAGATGTCGGCGATCAGCGGCTACTTTGGGATCCCGTCTCCCCCGGCCGCATATCTTCCCGCACTCACGTTCGAGAAGAACGAAATCATCGAGCTCATGAGAGGAGACCCCAAGTCCAACTGGTGGCAGGTGACGTGGAGAGCACACTGTCCCCAGCCTCGCCGCTCCATCTCCTCCTCGGTGGCGTCAGTGTACCGGAATAACAAATCAAACAAGAGGTTTACATAACCAAGAATATGAATCCCTGCAGTCACGAAATCTTTAAATCGAAATAGGTTTACACTCTTATCTACGTAAGATTACGTTTGGGCCACCCTGGTGTGCATGTCATGCGGGCAAAAATTCGTCCTAATTGGTTAAATATCGTGTGGTTTTTTTCCTTCCACATTTAGAAACATGCATTTAGATTACTTGGCTGCTGTAAATTTCCACACGTGATACGCCACTTCCTTGAGCAATCATTTGTGGCCAGGTCGCTTCGGAAAAAAAGAGTTATATAGTTCAGTGGGCCTTACCTGGTTACATTTAAAATAGTTTCGTTTATAGTTTCTTAGATTGCACTCAAGTGTCTATGAATTTGGTTCCACCCTAAACTCTTCCTCCTTGCCCTTTCCTCACCACTCCTTCACCGCACTGCTCACCCTCCCGACCCGGCGCGCTTCCTCCCATACCTTCCCGCTGTGGTTTCCTCTAACCCGAGCGTCCTCCTGCTCCACCGCAGTCCTCGCCACGTCCGCGTCGATCACGACGGAGACGAAATGCAGTGCTTAGCAAACCCTGGGTGTTGTGTCTCGTGTAGTTTGTGTGAATTTTATTGCGTGTGGCACTTGCCCCAAAAGTTATGTTGAGCCTATACGGGACATCTTTGTCGTTGTGTGTTTACATAAGACAAAGGCTCCCCGTGTAGCCTTAACATACTGTTGGAGCAAGTGCTATGGCGAATATTGGGGAGCGATGGTGTAGCGGTTAGCGCGCTGTGCTACGAACCCGGCAACCAAAGTTCGATTCCCGCTCACGGCCAACATCAGTGATGATTATTTGAAACGGTCCTGGGCCTCTCCTAGGTCGACTTAGCCTCAAATGAGTACCTGGTGCAGTGCATAAAAAAAACATCTCCACTGGGGAGACAAAGGCGGCCAGGCGTGGTGCTGGCCACCCACCCCCTCGTGTGCCGTGCCGGCCTTCATTGGTGCTCGCTGACATCACTTGTCCCAACAGTCTGTTAAGGCTATACGGGGGATCTTTGTCTTTGGTGTGCATGGGTGTGCTCATGTCTGTGTGGGGGTGTGTGTGTGGGTGGGGGGATGTGTGTGTGTGGGGGTGTGTGTGTGGGGGGGATGTGTGTGTGTGGGGGTGTGTGGTGTACGTAGGTGTGTTTCCTAATGTCTGTGTGTGTGTGTTTTCTCTTGGGTTGCTGCAGGGTCGCAGTGTGGTTTCTGGGAAGGTTGGGTATTTCCCTTGCACCTTTGTGGAGCCAGTGCGGGTAAGTGCGCCACGGGTTTCTTTCTTACTTTTTTTGCAATCTTTTCGTATTTTTTGTTTTCACGTCTTTCTGCCACCCGCTATCGTGCCTACGATTAGCTACGCGCCGCGCGAAAGAAGTTCAACATACTTACATAACATCTCTCGCGCCAACCCAAGGCGATGGCCAATGACAACGCTGTCGTACTATTTGTAACATCATTATGGCAATGCACACGTCTGGACGAGAACGTGACAGGCACTTCATTTAGATACGTTCCAGATTTCGGAGTAAAAAAAAAACCCCGTCCTTTTCACCGTCATGCGAGTAACATTGCGGTAAGTTGCGGAGGAATGGGATAGTGCTGCCACCTACTGCAAGAGAAAGGGATTTCAGAGGCAGCTCTGTAATATCCGCTTCCGTGGTCCATTCTCTTAACATGAAGGGATCCGAATGCATACTTTGTCTCATGATGACTTAACACAATGGGGACAAACATATTTTTACCCAAATAAAAAACGCCGCCTTAATAACAGACACGTTTCTAATACGCTGTTGAAGCACCAATTCCTCTTCAGAAAGCAGAAATATCGACACGCATTATCAAACTCGACACTGCGGTGCCTCAGAAAGTCACTGGGCGTTGACCATAGCCCAGCGGTAGCGCATTTGCCGCTTGTTTCAAAGATTCACGGTTCGAATCCATCGGCCTCCCCGGTTATTACTGCGGCGGTGTGTATGAACCTTCGTAGTAGTAGTAATAATACTACAATGCGCCGTCTGCTTCAGAGTGGACGTTCAAAATCCCCTGTTGGCGTTCGGAAAAGGAGGCCGTCATGTGCCAGGGTCAGGGTGCAAATTTGCCAAATTCATTCTTCTCAGCTGGGATTACACGTTGCAAACATCACCCACACCCCCCCCCCCCCCTCCTGACAAATAATTCCACAGGTCTCTTGAGTTCTCACCTGGTTAAACAACATTAAATTCAAACTTTCAAAAAAGTTGACATGAACAGTTTTGATTTGAAATGTGAACACTTTTATTATGTTCACATATTTTTCTCATGCGCCTTAGCAACTTACCGATTGAATATACGTAGATCTGTCCATCATCAAAACGAACAAAAAGACACACACACACGCATATATACACACACACGCATGCACAGGTCAGCTCAGTCCAGAGGAGATCAGATGAGAACCATCGAGTTTATAGCCCAATGGCACGTTGTACATGTTCGTAAACGCCACTTTTCGTCAGGTTTTTGGTCAAAACGGGCCGACGTTTTTATACTAGCAATTGGGGGGGGGGGGGGTGGTCACGAAGGGGATGTTTTAACGGCCATTTTGTCAATAATCCACTCCAAATGGGTGTGGTGCAGCGCCCATCTCCATTAGTGACCCTGAGTTGGTACTTAACATTCCACATACCTATGACAGGGACAAAGTCCAACTTTGCACCACGTGGGCCACGACGATTCCATGCACCGACATGAATAACATTTATCTTTTTTTATAAAGCACGTGGCCATGTTATCGCCTGCTCGGTGAGATTTACAAATGCAAAATCACCGCGGATGTGAGGTTGTGGCTATGGCCGGTGACCTTTGCTCGCTGCCGGCGATGTTGGCCACGGCGGTGGTGGCCAACGTTTTCCGGTCCGGATGCCGAATGTTGGTTCGTCCTCACCCCGTGGCAGAAACGCCGCTGTGGTCGTGGTCCGTAGCGCGGTTCGTTCGATAAAACGTAGCGCAAGGGGAAAAAAAAGCAAGCGCCGTTTACAGAACTTTGGTCAAAACAACGGTAGCAGGGCAATTACACAAATTTGACAACCGCTCCACCCCAGTAAGCATTTCAAAATCACCCGAATAATGCGTGCGCACGCACGGCAACATTTGCCAGCCAGATTTGATGAAGCTGATGAAGCTAGTTGTAATTACTGGCGAAACGTCGTACGCAGATTGCAAATGTTGTGGCTTGGCTCTGCAACACACCGGTGTGCTGTACTAGTAACGAATTGTCCACTTTCTTTTTACTAGTTGGCTGTGTCGGGTGGTGACACATATTCATCGATTTAAAGCTTTCGTGACTGCAGGGATTCATCTTCTTGGTTTTTTCGGTAAAGTCACATAGAAGGGAAATAATAAAATAATAAAAATAAAACATAATAAAATACAATTCTCACGACGTTTCGGCCACGTGGCCGAAACGTGGCCGAAACGTGGCCGATGTGGCCGAAACGTCGTGAGAATTGTATTTTATTATGTTTTATTATTTTATTATTTCCCTTCTACGTGACTTTACCGAAAGAACCAAGAAGACACATATTTACGCGATCGAACCCAAAAAAACTCTATCATGGATGATATTGGTCGCGAAAGCCTGCGAGCTAAACTAAGTATTTGGCTGCTATACATTACCACATGATAAGCCACTTCACTGATCTATCATTTGTGGCCAGGTCGCTTCTGAAAAATTGCTTTATAGCTCAGTGGGCCTTACCTGGTACAAATACAACATAGTTTAGTTTTTAGTTTCCGAGATCTGATGAGGACAAGTGCATCCTGGGTAATTTGGGCAAAGGCTTGGAAGAGAAGCACCACTGAGAATGTGGTGAAGCAAGACCACCTTCAATTGACGTAATATATTATTTCAGGCTGAGCAGCTGAGTAATAGCTAATTGTATGCCTGGTGTATGACACATACAGGTAACTGATCCGTAATATTTGTTGTCTTCTGTCCTTTATTTCCTGTGAAGCCAAAGAAAGTAGAAAACCACGACTATGGCGGATACCCATGGTGAGCAGATGATTATGTTTCCGTTACTTATTTGAAAAGGATGGTGTTGATGACTGTCTAATATATGTTGCTAATGCAGCGATGATGATGATGATGATCAGTGACGATGATAATTATGATAACACCGGCCAGGCGGCATGAGCGGGTGGCGGGCAGTCGGATGGCCGTGACGTAAAATCCTGGTTTGGGGTTGACTCAGCCCATTATCACTTGAGGGTCGATACAATAGGTACCACGGTGTGGGGCAAGTCAACAGTGGTTGTTGCCCCGTGGATACACTCTCCCCCGCCACAGGGAAGTGTAATGTCCAGCTCTAACTCGGGGGCCCGTGAACGGGAGTCGAACACCGCCTCCGCGACGCTCATTCATATGTACGGTGCGAAAGAAGTTCAACGAACACACGTGCACTTGCGCGGGAACTCGCTCTGACTCGACAATGACAACGCTCGGCTCCGGGGGGCAGGTTCGCGGAGGTGCTGGAGAGGAGCGCGGCGGGGGACATCCTCATGAGCTGTCCGCATGGGACCTACCTGGTGCGCGGTCGCGTCAGGGACCAGCGCGAGTACGCCATCAGCATCCGGTACGCTTCTCCCCCCCCGCCCTGCCCCCCACCCCAGTGCCGGCAAAGACGCAGCCACGCCAGACACTTGTGTTCCCAGCACTCGACGGCAGTATCGTCGTCATCATCGCCATTGTCATCATCGTCGTCGTCATTGTCATCATTGTCGTCGTCATTGTCATCATTGTCGTCATCGTCATCATCATTGTCTTCATCATCGTCATCATCGTCATCATCATCCGTGATTTTCGGGTGAGATTGTGTTGCGATCAGGCCAAATTATTGTCATGTAACCGCCCAACACAGCCACACAAATTCAATTGTCGCGCGGTGTATACAAGCATTTAACAACGCGTTAAATACTATAGTTTGAGACCACTCAGCGACGATGATTTGAAGGACAATTCTCAAAACGCAATCAAGCTATTTTTAGATGCAAAATGTTCGCTTGAAACTGCATCAAGCATTCTCTCAGGTCATCTGAGGTTGCTGCCAAGATATATTGGCCGGATCAGTACGTGCCCTAACTGAAATAACTTGCGGTAAAGCCCAAAAACACATCGAGGTGATTTGGTAACTTCTCCTGCTGCTGACAAAAGCGTTCAGCCGCCCTGGGTCTCTTTTCGCCAAATGGGAATTTCCCCGTGCGGAGGTTTCTCCCGCGAGTGAAATTCGCGCTTCGCCTGTGTCTGTGCTTTCCCAGGCACAACGAGGAGGTGAAGCACATCAAGATAGTGGCCAAGGAAGGAAAGTTCCACATTACCGAGACCAAGCGCTTCAAGAGCCTCGTGGTGAGTCTCAGCCCCTGCTGGGAGCCGCCAACCGCGACGTTTGACTTCGACAGGTCGCGACGCTGAACCCCCTCTCACCCCAACCCCGGGACGGTGACGCTCGTTGCAGAGGTTTCGCGGTTCGAATTCCAGCGACCGACCCGGTGTGTGTGTAGCTTAACGGTGCTACGTGCCGTCTGCTTTACATCGCAGCCGATGTTAAATAGCCGTTTGCAAAGGCGGCCATTGTTTGCTGCCGTCACGGTCCAAAATTAGCAAAATGTTCCGCAAATTACTCAATTGGGTTGTGGCAGGACCCTCCTGAAAAAAAGTGTCATGAGACTCGGCGAGGCTTTCCTGGGCAAACAATAATAATGGGAATGATGCAACGGTTTATTTTCCTTTTTTATTATTGCTATTAATGCAACAATTGGGCAATATCCGTCCATCTCTAATGTCGCGCGATCCATAGCATAGTGTGCTAACCACTGTGCCACCGCTCTCCATTTTTACACAAAGACCCATATAGCTTTCATAGACTAATGAGGCAAGTGTTGCACTATGCCATGTACTCGGTGATCTAAGTTCGCCTCCAGCTCACGGCCAACACCAGAAGCGAGTGATATATAGCTGGGGACAACACAGTTAAGTCGATCGGCAGGCCACATATTGTGTGCTAAAACTATTGTACTATAACAAAAAAATATTGAAACAATTTTTATTTTATTTTACCAGGTAAGGGCCACTGAGCAGTATAGCTCTTTTTCAGAAGCGACCTGGCCACAAATGATAGCTCAACGAAGCGGCTTATCACGTGGAAATTTATAGCAGCCAAATACTCTAAACGCATTTGTATTAATGTGGAGGGAAAAACCGGAGGACGTGGAGAAAAATCCACGCGGCCACGAGGAGAGAGACACGCAAACTCCAAATATACAGGCATCAGGGTCGGGATCGAACCCACGAACTCTGTATACCAGGCGAGGTAGTTACCATCTCGTCACCATGGTGCCCCAAGTGTGGGTACCCCACCCCCTACCTCTTCCTAGGATGTCTGGCCAGCGTGGAAGGATAGGCCATCTAGTGGAGGCCCTTCCTGCCAGCAGTGGCACGAGCAGACAAATGCAAGGGCTGCTCCTTCACCTGTACGCGTGCGTGCGTGACTTTCCTCGCGTGCGTTTCGTCTGCTTCTCTCCAGCAACTGGTCGAGTACTACCAGGTGCACTCGCTCAAGGAGGGCTTCAGCGCGCTGGACACGAACCTCAAGTACCCGTACAAGGGCTCCATGCAGTCCGTCTTGCCGCTTCGCCGGATGCGAGGGCCGGCAGACAGTGAGTGATGCCCCTTTACCACCGCGCAACCGAGGCCGTGTCGAGCCAGCCCGGTTGCATTTTTTTTCCTTCCACTGCAGAAGCCGAGCCGTGCCGCTGAGATGTATATTTTCTTTACTCATACAGTCGCTGAATGCAGACCCACAGCGTCGTAAACCAAGTGTGGATGAGATTAAACAGTGTGCACCGAGTCTTCCACAAGGGTGGAGGAATCCATGAGAGAAGTTTGCAAGAACAGTAACCATGGCAGTAACGATAGCAGAGTGATAGCGGGGCAAGTCAGGGTTATAAATTTGGCAGCCGCCTGCGCTTAAACTGCGTATGCTGAGTTCATGGTCTCAGTCCAGTCACCAAAGAATGTTCAAAAACATTATAATTCACAACTGATATATAACCATTTTATTTACATTAAAATATTTTTTCTTTGTATCGTAACAGCTTCTTTATTCAACATAAATCACTCCGTTAGAACAACACGCAAATATATATACGTATATACATGCACACACACAAAAGTTCCAAGTGTCCCATCAGCCCTGGTTTAACAGACCGGACCCCCTCGACGCAGGCAACCACACTCTGTTTCTCCCCTCTGCCTTCGGCGCTCAGAGCCTCAGCCCATCGGCGTCGGCATCGCGCGCTACGACTACGTGGCGCGGGACCGCGCCGAGCTCTCCTTCCGCGAGGGAGACGTCGTCAAGATCTACAGCAAGGGCGTCAACGGCTGGTGGAAGGGAGAGAGCTGCGGACGGGTAGGATGGACACGCGTGCGCACTCGCAACGCGCGCAAGCATTGACGTTACAGAAATATTTATTGTTGTCATTAAAGAACCCAGAATGCAATAGTGGATTTCAAAAAGAGAGAGAGAAAAAAAACCAACGACAGATAACGTGTGTAACAAGCTCGATGTAACGCGCCCTCCACATGAGGGAACGAACGAGGGTGTTTCGGGCTCGCTGCCCTACCACGGCAGGGGTGTCGATCGGGAGCCACGATTGCCAGGCATTAACGACGCATTAAAATGTTTAACGCACATGCACCCAGTGGTTTATTCAGGAGAAAAACCCTCGAAATACGTAGATGTCCCAAAAAAGTGAAAGTGCGTATCACTGAGGACAAAAAACAATTCACATTCTCTGATAATGCCCTAACATCCCTGGCGTTCCATTGCTTCCAAAATGTCCTTGCTTACTCTCCCATCTAAACCAGAATGTGATGCCGAGCTGTCGATTCTGTACGACAACTTTGCTTGCATTGTATTTGGCACACATCCCTGTCCACATACTCGTGCAGGAATCGCCTTGCATCTATTTTGATCTGTCCGTACCTTAGGCTTGCTACGAATTTTATTTTAAAGTAATTCGTCCGAGTCAACGTTCGTCGCTGACAATTAATTTTATTTAAAAAAATTTCGTAACATATTTCTTTTGTCTTCTTGGTTTTTCGGTAAAGTCACGTAGAAGGGAAGTAATAAAATAATAAAAATAAAACATAATAAAATTATTCTCACGACGTTTCGGCCACAACGCAAGCAGCCGTCCTCAGGTGAAAACCAGGTCCGTCGAGGCGACAGAGTCTGAATGAAACAGCACACGAGCTTGGAGCATATATATAAGCTGGGCGCCTTGACAAAGGAATTTGCATATCAAGAGGAATTTAGCATATTTATGGGAAATGCAGGAATGTGATTAGTACTACATATGCATGTGCATTATGCAGGATTAACAGCATCAAAGGGAGCTGCAGTTGCTGCTGCTGCAGTTGCTGCTGCAGTTGCTGCTGCTGCAGTTGCTGCTGCTGCTGCTGCAGTTTCTGCTGCTGCAGCAGTTTCTGCTGCTGCTGCAGTTGCTGCTGCTGCAGTTGCTGCTACTGTTGCAGTTGCTACCTTATCCATTTTAATATAACACTATGTATTATTCTACCCACCCTAATGTGTATCACACTGCTATATATTTACTATACAATTACAACACCATACATTACTCTGCACACTGCACCATGCCAGTGAGTGGAACGCGGTCTGAAAGTCACCGTAAACGTGAACACAATCAGTTAAGATCCGAAATGGTTTATTACGTCCTTCCAATGATTGCTAAGCCAGAATCCATCTTCTCGGTTAAAATTGTCTCTGTGTTTGTATATGTGGATCGCCTCATGAACGAATCTCTCATGATAGCCAGATGGCTTGCAGGGAACCTCTGTCTTGGAGAAGTCAATGTCATGTGAGCCCACTGAATTGTAACAGTGATCTGCCACGGCTGAGGTGTTTGTCCTACCGAGTTTCAGGTCTGCTTTATGTTCACGAATGCGGTCCGAGACATGTCGTTTGGTTTCTCCAATGTAACTGCTACCACAGAGGCAACTTAGTTTGTAGACGCCAGGGTACTGTATGTCTGGAACCACATCTTTTACAGACGGGACCAGATCACGGATTTTATGTACTGTGTTGAATCGGACCTGGATCTTGTGTTTAATCAGGATTTTGGAGATCTTTTTTGTGACCCCAGCAATGTAGGGTAAGGTGATGGTCTTGAAAGGCTCCTCAACAGGATCCTTCTTGATGGTTGGAGTGATGGCCTTGCGGATTGTGTAGTCGGAGTAACCATTAGCCTTAAGAGCTTGGCGTACGTGTTTGAGTTCACTGCCAATGTGTTCCTGGTCGGAAATGCATTGGGCTCTATGGTATAGAGTCTTGATGAGGGAATTCTTCTGGGATGGATGGTGGTGGGAATCCGGTTTTAGGTAAGCATCCGTATGGGTGGCTTTCCTGTAGACAGAGTGGCTCATTGAACCATCAGGTCTCCTTTTAATTAGGACATCCAAAAAGGGTAGCTTGCCATCTTTTTCGACTTCCATGGTGAATCTGATGGCTGTGTGTATGGAATTGATGTGGTCGAGAAATTGGTCTAGAGCAGGCCTGATGGTTCAATGAGCCACTCTGTCTACAGGAAAGCCACCCATACGGATGCTTACCTAAAACCGGATTCCCACCACCATCCATCCCAGAAGAATTCCCTCATCAAGACTCTATACCATAGAGCCCAATGCATTTCCGACCAGGAACACATTGGCAGTGAACTCAAACACGTACGCCAAGCTCTTAAGGATAATGGTTACTCCGACTACACAATCCGCAAGGCCATCACTCCAACCATCAAGAAGGATCCTGTTGAGGAGCCTTTCAAGACCATCACCTTACCCTACATTGCTGGGGTCACAAAAAAGATCTCCAAAATCCTGATTAAACACAAGATCCAGGTCCGATTCAACACAGTACATAAAATCCGTGATCTGGTCCCGTCTGTAAAAGATGTGGTTCCAGACATACAGTACCCTGGCGTCTACAAACTAAGTTTCCTCTGTGGTAGCAGTTACATTGGAGAAACCAAACGACATGTCTCGGACCGCATTCGTGAACATAAAGCAGACCTGAAACTCGGTAGGACAAACACCTCAGCCGTGGCAGATCACTGTTACAATTCAGTGGGCTCACATGACATTGACTTCTCCAAGACAGAGGTTCTCTGCAAGCCATCTGGCTATCATGAGAGATTCGTTCATGAGGCGATCCACATATACAAACACAGAGACAATTTCAACCGAGAAGATGGATTCTGGCTTAGCAATCATTGGAAGGACGTAATAAACCATTTCGGATCTTAACTGATTGTGTTCACGTTTACGGTGACTTTCAGACCGCGTTCCACTCACTGGCATGGTGCAGTGTGCAGAGTAATGTATGGTGTCGTAATTGTATAGTAAATATGTAGGGGTGTTAAAGAGAGGGCCCGTTATGCATGGCAGCCTATGGAAAACAAACACAGTGGGCGGGGCTACGTAAGTGCACGAGCAAGTGCCCTCTACGACGTCCGAGCCAGACACCCTGGGGGGGGGCTGGTTCGAACGTTATGATCCCCCGGGGCCCCACCCCTCAGGGAGGGGTTGGGTATAAAAGGGGATGTTTCAAAGGGCTCGGCAGTTATGTTATGTTTAAGCTAAGGGAAGAAGATTGAAGACGTCTTAGATAGAGCCCTGGACTCCCCTGGTTCGATGTCCTTTTCAGGGCCGGACAGGATTGAGCCAGCGGCGTGGTCCCGAAAGCCAGAGCCGGTGCTCTTGTAAGAGCTGGTCTGGAACTCCGGGTACCGGGCCCGACTTACCAGTGTCGGGCCAGTTAGCCTCCCCTAGCCCATTAGTGGAGGATTCGGGGCTAGGACAGAGTTAGCTAGGGGTGTATCCCGAGTTATACGGGTGAGGGGGCCGATACCCCCTCGAGTGTGTATATGCCCACTGTCATATTGTGAATAAACATACGTGTGCCTCAACCTCGGCGTCAAGCGTCCTCACCGGTACTTCAAATATATAGCAGTGTGATACACATTAGGGTGGGTAGAATAATACATAGTGTTATATTAAAAGGGATAAGGCAGCAACTGCAACAGTAGCAGCAACTGTAGCAGCAACTGCAGCAGCAGCAGAAACTGCTGCAGCAGCAGAAACTGCAGCAGCAGCAGCAGCAACTGCAGCAGCAACTGCAGCAGCAGCAACTGCAGCTCCCTTTGATGCTGTTAATCCTGCATAATGCACATGCATATGTAGTACTAATCACATTCCTGCATTTCCCATAAAAATGCTAAATTCCTTTTGATATGCAAATTCCTTTGTCAATGCGCCCAGCTTATATATATGCTCCAAGCTCGTGTGCTGTTTCATTCAGACTCTGTCGCCTCGACGGACCTGGTTTTCACCTGAGGACGGCTGCTTGCGTTGTGGCCGAAACGTCGTGAGAATAATTTTATCATGTTTTATTTTTATTATTTTATTACTTCCCTTCTACGTGACTTTACCGAAAGAACCAAGAAGATGAATCCCTGCAGTCACGAAAGCTTTAAATCGAAATATTTCTTTTGCTCTAATTTACATGTTTCATTGTTTTACTCCCGATTTTATTTTATTGATTTTGTCACGTTGGTGACCCTGGTCACTCTTGCAAATTGAGACTACCATGGTCTCTTGAGTTTTCATCTGGTTATACTAAAAGTGGAACACTCGTGCAGTGGCGCGCCAGGCAAAATATTTCCGACGCGAATCGTTTCCACCGTGAAAGTCACTAATATTCATTTTTTTAAAAGTTGACTGCTTGTAAATAAGTTTCGCAGAATATAGCCAGTTGGCTCGGAGGTGGAGTGAGAGGCTCGCAATCGTATGGCTGCGAGTTCAAATTCTAGTTGGGGGTTGACTCGGCTCATAGTTTTTTTCGGGAAATGACAAAATGACTTTGTGGGCAGGCAACATTCGTTGTCACGTGGGAAGACTCGCCACTACCATCGGAACGAGGAATTTCCACCACTGGCTCAGGGCTATGAACATAAGATGAACGCTGCCCCCAACGCTCACTTGAGCAAGGAAATAAAATTGGCTTTTGTTTAATGTATCTCAAATTAAATATGCATCGTATGTATAATTTTACATTTATGACCACATCTCAAAAATGTTGTGAGATACTCCCCCCCCCCCCGCCACTGGGGGGCCTCTACACTCAAATTCAGACTAAATGGTCGCTACGCACACTGGACGTTAATCCCTCCGTGTAATAGCGTCATCATAATCATTGTCATCGCCATCATTGGTGTTGTCAAATTTATTTCACACCTGTCACTTGCAAACACATCAAGACCGACACCAGGTAAGGTCTGGTGGGAATATATAGATCAATTGTCGCATATAATTATCCATTAATTAGTTGTAATGCCTAATGTATTTGCACGTCAGTTATACGTTGTCTTTGCTTTACGACATTTTCAGTGGTGTATCTCAAGTAAGCCTATGACCAAATCACCTGTAACGTGCCCGATCTTGCCAGACTTCTAATGCTAAGCAGGCGGGGAGCCGAGCATATTGCTTGGATGGGTTAGCACCATGCACAAGTTATATGGTCAGCAGTAGAGGGCAGTGCAGAAAAATCCATTGCTGTACTGCACTATGCTCAAACGTCTATGCTCCCCACCTTCGCCATCCCGTACTGACCAGCACGGTGAATTATGGTCAAATAGCCCCATGATCTGCCCAGCGCTGGGATATCCCTCATCAAGCAACGGGGCTGTACGTGTATATCTCTGCCGGAATTATTTTAACCTTGTGTTCATTTCCAAGAGGCAGCCCCCCGCACCCCCCCAAGTTGTACTAACATTAAACACTGCCCCCTCTTTTCTTTCAGTTTGGACTTTTTCCCTTCTCCTACGTGGAAGAAGAAATGCTCTGATGTGTGGCGGCCGATTCTGGGAAAGCAAATGTAGCTATCGTGCGGTGTCCCACGAGGCCGCTCCCCTCCAATTTTTTCTACTTTTTCCCCCGTTGATGTCGTCCCCTCGTTACGTTTCAAGACCAGCATTCAACGAGCACCTCCGGCCCGGGTGCGTGGCCGACGTGCCGGTCTCAAGCTAAACGCACTCCGAGATGCTGTTTTTATGTACATTGGTTGTGCACATTGCGCCGCGGCCCTGCGTGGGTGCAGAGGTGCTCATCGGCCAATGAGTATCGCCGCCCGGGGAGTCGGTGGCGAAGATGATCGCCGGCGTCGGAGCGGCGCGCCCTCCGCGGCCACGTACGGCCCGTGTTACTCGGCGGACGCCGAGACGCTCGCGGGGATTGGACGCGCGGCACGGGATCGGAGTCGATCCTTTGCCCCTGACGACCTTCGACAAATCACACAGACGCGTGCGTCGTACGCGAAACATGATCTATATATGAGCGGCGGAAAGGACGAGAACTCTACGTGAAGACTTTTTTTTTCTGCGTGCGTAAATATGTATATGCCCGTTTTGTAAATAGCACGAGGGCGCGAGGGAAAGGTGGCGATGCAAGGGTGGACATTGTGGTCTGGAAAATCTGCTAATTGGAGACATTTTGCCATGATCGGTTCGCGTGATCCCTGAAAACACTCGTGGCCATGACTTTCGATGCAGTGTCAGACACGGAATTTGATTCGACAATTGAATTGCGACTCGGTTCCTTGCATCTCAAGGAGGGGGGGAAATTTAATAATGTCACGAGTGGCTTGTAAGTGACGTTAAGCCATCATGATGGTGACAATTTTGACATGTTAATTGTAAAATTCGCAGGTGAGGTGCGGAGAAAAAAAACATTAATTTACAGAACGGTCACGGATATGAAGATCTACTGGCACTGTAGGTTTAGAAGAAACATTGGCTGTGTCTACACCTGGTTTCATCTCTTAAGGTGTTTCTACAGGCATAAGACTTGTTTGGATTTAATTCAGGTTCACTATTTCTGACACACTGCCTTCGACCGTCACCTGTTTCGAGTGTCTAGACTCTTGGTCTTTACAAACTGCACGTAAGTGCCCATGGAAATGTCTCCCTTGGCAATTTTCTCAATCAGTTTTCCCCTCATCAGAACACCCCATCCGGTTTAGAGCCAACTGCAATCCCATGACATTGTGCACACTGCAGCAAAACATTTCATGTTGTTAACGTCCCTGGTTGTAAAAAAATAAAATAAAATATCCACTAATGGTTTTTGTGTTACTAATAATGCATGAAGCCGAATGTATTAATTTTAACTTTAACTGTTCCTTTTTTAAAATTGCTACCATGAAATTTAAGTATTAAATTATAACACAGACGTTTTGTTTACGTGCGATTTTACGAATGTTGTCCCTTTTGCTTAAAGTGTACATAGTTTCGCGTCTCACAAAGCGACGCTTCTTGTTTTCCTGAATAATGTGAGAAGTGCATTACAGAGAAATAAATGTTAACATAAACGTTTTTTTAATTTATAAATTCTACCATTTTGTTCCGTAATCGTTTAAAGTAACGTGTATAAAGGTATGCCAGTGTGTTGTTTTAAGGGAATTCCTTTAAAATGTCTTGGTTTTTTTTGTTTAAATGACTCCGTTTTTACAAAGCCCTCTGCCAACTCGCAGTTGTTCACGGATGTACAATGGGAACTCCCCCATCGCTGCCTTCTGCTGGCTGACCACAGCATGCATGGGTATAATCAGGGCCCAATTACGTTTGATGGGGGCCTTTGGCTGGTACAGCTTGGAGAGAGGGTGGAGGGCCCTGTTTTTATACTCGGTTCATACCCTCAACTGCTTCACTGCCACCAACGCATGGGGGCAGCACACAAACCTTTGCTATTTATCTCCGTTCTTACGAATTGTAAGGTATAGTTCAATGTTAAAGTGAACAAAACCCTTGGCTTTTGCCCACATAACTGGTAGTAACATAGCCATGCTACTGTGACGGTATTGCATTTCACCCGTTATAAATCTAACTTTGTGCATGGAGGCCCCGAGTCTCAGACCCTGGGTAGCAATCCCTAAAACCCCTGCATTAAACCAGCTCTGGGTATCATGCGAATATGATTTTTTTTAAATTGTCTACTTCATTAATCGCTAACAGCTTTTAGAATCGCTTCACCTGCCTTCGAATGTAACTCATCGGCGTTCAACTGAAGCCCATGTTTGTACTGATGCACATCGAGATGGAATGAACTGTACTTTGTACAAACAAAATTAAAATGTTTTGTTAAAAGCCACCAAGACGTTGAATGTGTGTTCATGTTAGGCAATCTCAGTTACCCTTGTCACACAGTCGGTCTAAATGTTTCTAATACCAGTGTATTGGATTCAATTATCGTGAGTTTTGTTTTCTCAGAATCCTCTCTACGCTATCTCCTACAATCTCCCCTCTCATCTCACTACACCCCTCCACGCACTCTCCTACCTCTCCACTCTCATTTCACTCTACTCCCCTCCACGCACTCTCCTACCTCCCCCCTCTCATCTCACTCTACTCCCCTCCCCCGACTCTCCTACCCCCCATTCTCCTACCACCCCCTCTCACTCCCCCCACTCTCCCACCACTCCCCTCACTCCCCCACTCTCCTATCCCTCCTCTCACCCCTCTCACTCTCCCACCCCTCCCCTCACTCTCCTGTCCCTCCTCTCACTCCACCTACTCTCCTACCCCTCCTCTCACTCCCCCCATTCTCCTACCCCTCCTCTCACCCCCCCCCACTCTCCTACCCCTCCTCTCACTCCCCCCCACTCTCCAACCCCTCCTCTCACTCCCCCCCACTCTCCTACCCCTCCTCTCACTCCCCCCCACTCTCCTACCCCTCCTCTCACTCCCCCCCCACTCTCCTACCCCTCCTCTCACTCCCCCCACTCTCCTACCCCTCCTCTCACTCCCCCCTCCACCCTCCTACCCCTCCTCTCCCCCACTCTCCTACCCCTCCTCTCACTCCCCCCTCCACTCTCCTACCCCTCCTCTCCCCCACTCTCCTACCTCTCCTCTCCCCCACTCTCCTACCCCTCCTCTCCCCCACTCCCCTACCCCTCCTCTCACCCCCCCCCCACTCTCCTACCCCTCCTCTCACCCCCCCCCACTCCCCTACCCCTCCTCTCACTCCCCCCACTCCTCTCACTCCCCCCATTCTCCTACCCCTCCTCTCACCCCCCCCCCCACTCTCCTACCCCTCCTCTCACTCCCCCCTCCACCCTCCTACCCCTCCTCTCCCCCACTCCCCTACCCCTCCTCTCACTCCCCCCACTCTCCTACCCCTCCTCTCACTCCCCCCTCCACCCTCCTACCCCTCCTCTCCCCCACTCTCCTACCCCTCCTCTCACTCCCCCCTCCACTCTCCTACCTCTCCTCTCCCCCACTCTCCTACCCCTCCTCTCCCCCACTCCCCTACCCCTCCTCTCACCCCCCCCCCACTCTCCTACCCCTCCTCTCACCCCCCCCCCCACTCTCCTACCCCTCCTCTCACTCCCCCCACTCTCCTACCCCTCCTCTCACTCCCCCCATTCTCCTACCCCTCCTCTCACCCCCCCCCCACTCTCCTACCCCTCCTCTCACTCCCCCCCACTCCCCTACCCCTCCTCTCACTCCCCCCACTCTCCTACCCCTCCTCTCACTCCCCCCCACTCTCCTACCCCTCCTCTCACTCCCCCCCACTCTCCTACCCCTCCTCTCACTCCCCCCACTCTCCTACCCCTCCTCTCACTCCCCCCTCCACCCTCCTACCCCTCCTCTCCCCCACTCTCCTACCCCTCCTCTCACTCCCCCCTCCACTCTCCTACCCCTCCTCTCCCCCACTCTCCTACCTCTCCTCTCCCCCACTCTCCTACCCCTCCTCTCCCCCACTCCCCTACCCCTCCTCTCACCCCCCCCCACTCTCCTACCCCTCCTCTCACCCTACTTCCCCGCTACAGAGTGGGAGGTCACTCATTCCTCCGTGCTCTTGATTCCCTTGCCCCTATCCAGGGCTCAAGACATTCATCGTTTTTCCTATAGCCCATTGAACGTCTCTCGCCATAAATAAAATGCCCCAAATTGTCAAGCGGCCAGCAACAAACAGCAGTCTCATATTTGTAATATCAAGGCGTCCACACGTTTCTTGAATTGACAAAGGTTTAAAGAGCTTGGGGGGGGGGGAGACAATGGGAGAGGGGTGGATATATAACTGGGGAGCCCTTCATCCAGCAGCGGATCGATCACACGTGATGGTGTGTGTACTGTTATTGTACAGTGCGTAAACCAGTGAACACTACTGTGTGATTCTACGAAGCTGTGCAGGGTGGTCCAGATGTCTTGTGACTCCCCCCCCCCCCCCCCCCCATTTAATTCTCTAAAACTTTATATTTTTTAAGTTAGGTTTATTTAAAACAAGTAAATATGAATAGAGAAAAAAAAGTTGGGTGGGTACAATTTGACTTGACGGTCACAAGACATTTAGACCACCCCTGTAGAATCGAGACTAAATCGATAACTAAACTCGTTGAATCGAACGCGGCTCGAATCGATAATTAATCGATTAACCCACGTGAGCTTACCGACTCCGGCGGGAGGTATCGTCAACGTCACCACCGAGCAGACCCAACGTGGCGTAAATCTGAAAACACCCCTGTAGAATCGAGAGTAATCGATCATTAAACTCGTTGAAACGAACGATAATTAATCGATTACCCCTCGGAAGCTCGTCGATTCGGCGGGAGGGGGGGGGGCATCGTGACGTCACCGCGCGAGACCCAATTAGAGTCGGCGGTCGCCATCTTAGGCATGAGTCAACTCGACACAAATTCGATGTTGTACTTTTATTTCTTATTAATTACGGATTTGTCCGTCGCTCAAAAGCCACCAGGGGACCACTGCTATTAACGCAAAATTTTTAACTGTTTAATCGGGAGAGGATTAAAAACAAACAATAAAAAAATCGATTTATCCGGCCCCATGGCGTTCAGTGCAGCCTCCAACTCTTAAGTGGCACGTGCGACACCGCAAATCGACAAAATTCTCTACAACACGTGGATCCTTCCCCGTCATTCAGCTCAGAAGGATATTTTGTTGCGTTTCATTCAAGGCAATTTTAGCATGAGGGTAAATATGAAACTTTGCCTAGCTTCGTTTTCGAACCGCGTGCCGCCAGTGCCGTCGACGATTGTGTGATCTCGGTTCTTTGTTGTGTTATTTAATTGTGGGTTTTTTTTGTTGGCAACGCGACGAAAGCAAAAACAGTGATGACAAATTAATTGGTACCGAATTTGCCAGGAAAAAAACATATGATAATTGGTTTTTTACCCTTTAATAGAGGTCGCAAATGGGTTTTGATTCCTTACCCGTACCCGGCCGGGTATCGGGTAGGGTACGGGTAGCCGGGTATCGGGTACCCGATTGCGACCTCTGGGATGAAGCCATGTTGCAGGCGCGGGTGGGTTGATTCTAGGAACTTGAATTGTGAGAAGAGACAAGACGTTGGGAAATGAGTGACAATCACGGTGACTCACCAGTGACTCACGGCCTACCCGTACCCGGCCGCACCAGGGTCGCAAACGGGTATGGGGTAGGGTATCGGGTACCCGATTGCGACCTCTGCCCTTTAATCTGGCAACAAAACATTTGAACTCTGGTTTTTTCGGTAAAGTCGCGTAGGTTAAAATAAAGTGAATTAAATCACGACGTTTCGGAGGCAACACAAGCTTCCGTCTTCAGGTGAAACCGTCACAGCAAAACTGCTGTATCGAGTGACTTTGCCGAAAAAAACAAAGAGTATTATGAATCCTTGCAGTCACGAAAGCTTCAAATCTAGAATTATCTCCACTACAGTTATTTTGCTGTGCCTTTTTACACCTGATGAAGGAAGCTTGTGTTGCCTCCGAAACGTCGTGATTTATTATTCTATTTCTATTATTATTTATATTATTTTTATCATTTATTTTTACCTACGTGACTTTACCGAAAAAACCCTAAGAGTCTAGAATGATCATTTGAACTTAAAAAAAGTGCTGCCGCTTGAGATTGTGACGTCATCGGCTCGCCCCTAAGCCAATCGGATCGCTCAGAAGTCTCGGCGGCCTCGCGCGCCAGTCACGTGGTCCCCCCGCTCGGACGAGTCCATTTTGTTCTCGACGCGGGGGGGGGGGGATCCACGCCAGGGCCTCGACCGAGTCGCCTCTCGCGTGGTGTGGGGACGTTTGCCTCTTCTCCTTAACGACGTTTAAATTACAATAACAATGTATTACTGTTATTATTGACGTCTCGCATGCATCTCTGACAGACCTCGGCGATGTCGACGGCGTCGGTGACGGGGTCCGGCTCTTCGTCGGGCCCCGGCTCGAATCGTCAAGCCTCGGCCGGCTCTTCGGCCGGAGCCTCGGGCTCGCCTAGCGGGGCTGCCGGGAGAGGCACGCCTCGAGGCGGCCAACGCAAGCGGCCGCAAGCGCCCATCTACAACGGCCTCGTGAACTCGTACGAAGACAAGAATAACGACTTCGTGTGGTGGGTTTAAAGCACGCGGGCGGCGTGACGTTTGTTAATTTGTAATGCGACATAACCCCTTGGCCAATACACTCCTGGATGAAGGCCTCCAAACTACGCAGTGGCGCTCTCCATGCGAATTTTTGCCCATACTTCACCACGCTGGTCACTGCGTGTTTGGGAAGTACTTAGTGGGTGGAGGGGTGCTGGACAGGACTGGTTCAGGCATCGCTTGCCATCGATGTAAGCCGTCGCCGAGATTCTATCCGAGGTACAGGGAGTCATAGCAACAATTGTAGTTTTATATCGTTTAAGTGCTGCACTGCCATGGATTGATGGGACCGCACGCGCAGTGGTTATGTTGCTGCTGCTCTGTGAGCCCGGTTTTTTCCCCCCGAATTCGATTCCAGACAACGGCTCAACCTCAGTGCCGAGAGAGAGAAAGATTCCTCGAACCGGTTCTGGAACTTGGCTTCTGTACAAAGCCACCAATGAGCTGGGAAGATGATCACACAAACATCGTGGCCGGCAGGCAGGGAGGGTGTGAGTGTGGTGGGGAGGCACTCGGCCACCAGTTGATCATCGGCATGGCTTTTGGTAATTTAAAGGACCCTTGTACGAACTCGGTGAGACACTTTACTTAACAACGATTTACGTTATTGTTTTAATGCAGTATTGACTGCACTTCGTTTTGTTTACGTTCGGTGGGTAAATGACAATAACGACGTTAATTGCTTGTGTTTATCTAGGGATGCTTAATTGAGTTTCAAGGATATG